TGTCCGAGTGGCAATCCTAGCGCTTACAGTCGGTAGCGAAATCAGCTTCCTCCCTAACGACCGCTTTTCTTTTCTTGGGACCCACTGCCAAGGCCTTAGCGCAGAGCTTTTATTGATCGGGCCACATCAAGTTGAGGGTCGTTGTAAAATGTGCCGTGTATGGTAATGTATCATCCTCCGTAATATTACACCCGGTGCTTTGAATATGGACGGTAAACGTTGATAGCTACGGTACTCGATAAGGAGCATTTTACGGCGGCCCTCAATTTAGCGTGGTCCAATTAATACACGATCTAGGCTAAGGACTTGGCAGTGGGGCCCGACAAAAGAAAAGAAGTCTGTAGGGAGGAAGCTGATTTCGCTACCGACTGTACTAGGGGTAGGGGTAAGAGGAAGTTATAACGCATTGGCTAAGATAAATTTGTGTCTGATAGGCTTAGTCCCGTGGGGTAGAATCCGCTAAAAAAAAAAACTAAATGAAATCACGACCCTAGGCTGATAAGGTCCTAAAAAATAGCTTGCAACTTCGCGACGGCCGTATATTGACCCTTCACTTTTAACCTCCCTAATATATATAGCTTCCGGACATCGGCTTTTCCTTTAAGCAAATCACTAAAATCGGACGCTCTCATCGTGAAGATAACTAATTAACGTGGTTAACTAAAGGGTCTAGAAGTTGGATGACCTAATAAGGAGTCGTGCTAAGCGGGAACTAACTATTAGGGGATGCTGAGAACTTCGGCCTCTAAATTATGGCTTTACCGTGTTTACAAACGATTAAACGTAAGGTCACTATGCTATTATCACTCTTAATATTGACCTCGAAATTGGTCTTATACTTAAGGACTAAGCTGTGCCGGGTTTCTGTGGAGGCATTATCGAGGTTGCTAGACTAGCTATTAAAATAGCTATCGGCCTTAGAATCTTTAGAATAAGATAAGCTCTAATTAGCACGAATCTAGAGCAACTCGGGACTAGGACGGGGGTAGGGGAGAGTGGCTTCGCTTTTGTAAAAACGTACTCGATATTATTAAGTCAATTAACTTTTTATCGTTTATATCTAGGGAGTAGGTCTATAGTCTATCGATTGTAGTAGTTACGGAATATATAGACCTAAATGCCTTCTAGTGGCTAGCTAAAGCCACGTTATTAAGGCAATCACTCGACGCCTAGCTACGATAAACGTGCGGGGAGATAACGTAATACCCCACTTAGGAATCTACCTTAATAAAACCTAAGGGATTTCTTTATATAGTAGTGATAATGCCCTAGAGAGTGCAATATAGTTAGAAGATTAGCAAAGCGCGGTCGCCCTAACTAAGCTAGATCGGTTTTATTCCTTAACGTTTGTGTTATTTCTATATATAGGTCTTTGATATTCCACGGTATTCTATTAATATAATCTACCGCTATTCCCGATTTAGGGTAAATATTAGTATCTAATCTTAAGGGCCCTCACAAACTTACGTCTTACCAATAAAACCAAAAAGAATAGGATAATATGACGATAAGTATATATTAGTGCTATAATAATGTAAATTGTTAATTTGCATAGCGCTTTTAAGGGTTTGCTATTAAATTATGCCTATAGTTAGTAAATTGAGGGCCGTAACTACCGGTGGGTCTTTCAAAAGCCAATTCTATAGAAAGGAACCCGGTCACGTGTATCACCCAGAACTCGAGTTAACATAAATCAAAACACAATTCAAATGTATTGTACTATAAATTTAGAACCGTAACTCCGGTTTTAAATACCTATCAATACCTTAAGTAGTCGACTTTTTATTGATGGCCGTTAAATAAATATTCACACTAGTACCTTGGTAGTGGGGCCCGAGAAAATAAAAGCTGTCTTTAGGGAGGAAGCTGATTTCGCTATCGACTGTACCCGCAATCTGAGAACCTTACAACCTCACATATAAACTCGTTGTCTCTGCTTCTTAGTATATTATCAGACCAAATTAGCAATCGATTGGCTTCGTTCCGATCGGTTTTGAACATTCCCGCTGACCGAAATCAGCCTGTTAGAACTCTATATTTATCATTTCGAGATTTTTTGGTCTAGCCTAGGACGAAGTTTTATGTGGATAAGTTAAGAAAGTATAGAGACATTGCTAAATCCTGTCTGTAAACTATGCGATATCGTCTACGGAGAGATATCTGCAATTTAGGGAATCCTGGAACGTACAGGACCGCCATGGACTCTGAATATATCCGCCAATATCTGCCCCAGAACTTACAATACTCTTGTCGCCACTGGATATACCCAGTATGTACTATAGCAGACAACTGTTTATGATATATACTCATAGATGCAGGGTGACGATAATTCCGTTCTAACTGAGTTTCTACATGATGCAAATCGCTTTGTGTTGAAAAATCGCCAGACAGCCGATGAAGCACCACTTCAGATTTATTGCGCAGGATTAATATTTACACCTCGGACAGCAATAATTCGTACGCAGTTCAAGTTAGACCTTCCCAATAGGTTATGCCAATTCCCACAAGTTGACGAAAAATGGAGTGCGGAATTGCAGGCCCTCGAGGGCCATACGGATTGGGTTCACTCGGTAGTCTTCTCGCCCGACGGCCGACTGTTAGCATCCGGCTCTCATGATAAGACAGTGCGACACACCTTGAGGTATTGCGTATTCTCCTAATAGAGCTCTTCCTCCTGGTGTGTTAAAATGACACAGTCACTAGTTGGATAAGTGACACATAAGTTGATAAACCCTTGGTCTATTTGCTCATCTCCTATGAAGGATTGTTCTGCCTGATCAACTGAGCCAGATTCCAACCGTCCCGTGCATGTACCGCATTCACCCGCCCGACAGGAATAAGGCAGAAAATCTTCTCCGTTAGCTTCCTCGGCTGCATCCAGAATTTTCATGTCGTCAGGACACTGAAAAGTAAAATCACGGCCAGGGGTTTTCAGGGTGATCGTGTACTGCATATCGGAAGTTGTAACGGAGCTGGATGCGAAGAAAAGGGCGCCTTCAACGGTTAATGAAGAAGATAGAAAAGAACGCTTGGCTTAGGCAGTACATGGGTGAGGATTTATGCGAAAATTCAAACAAGCAAGCCAGCCGCTACAAAAACTCGGTCTGGCTGGGTTCATCTACTAAGAAGTAAGGATACCTGCGATCTGCACAACACTGCCTGAACCTTTGATGTGTCGACTGATAGAACCAATTACCATTTGATTACGCTCTGATTTATGCGCTGCGGTGGAGCATACAGCCCCGCCTGTGGAGCTGGGGTTACATCGACTATTCTTTTATATGCACATAGTGCGTTCGGCGGAAGTCGGTGTGAAAGAATTGTATTTGGGAATATGGTTCTGGTGCGTATTATTTCGCATGCATGACTGCGTTATATCTACTAAGCCTTGCGTAAAGTTCGATTTCCGTCTATGCGGATGTGGCTTAGCGATCTCAATGATATAATTGGTCTATGGCATCTACTACCTAGTACAAAAAACTCGGGGCCCGCGACGGTCCAGTTTTTCCAGCAAGGCCCCGCAGTAATTCATTACCGAACACAGCCTCCTCCGCCGCATTTTTTAATACCCGGCCCTCGTATCTGCGGCAATTGAGGGAAAACAAGGTGCCGCTCTGTTGGTAAGACGAATCATGACTTGCGTCCAAGATACAAAAGAGGGAATTCAGTTGACCTCTTTTTGTAGTCAAGCCGTATCTATGTAGATTTCGGTAAGTAATCTGTCGCCATAAGATAATTGTACCAGCAATCCAGGGAAGTTCTTAGATCCTACCTTACTGATCTCTTTGAGGGCTTCCAGAGCTAGGTGGGCTCAAAAGGCCAGATGACTGACCGTGCGCCGCTAAACTCTCCACGCTTCCGCTTTTGAGTGTACTGTGGTGAACTCGGAGCCCCAAATCCCGTCAACAATTTGATACAATTCGCCCACCATATAATAATTCTCAATAGAAAATATTCGCCCCGCTCTCGCGCTTTGCATTATCCCTCACTTGCCCGGATTGTGTCCTCAGCAGACCTCTGTCTGAGTTTAAAACATATGCTTACTCTATCGACTAAGTCGGCTTCTTCTCCTAATACTGGCTTTTACATAGAGCTCCGATCTAAAATTGGGTCTTGGCAAGCTCTCCAGGCTTCTCGCGCTTGTCCCTGTTAAGACGTGGCTGCGCTATCAACGATTGAGGTTCGAGATGCTTTATTGTCTTTACCTGACTCTTCCCGAGCTGTCAATCAGTATTTGGCGGGCTTCTTTTCAACCCCTCAAAAATGAGAGGTTTGTGGTGGAGATGACGAGTCTGTGACCGACGGGAGTGGCACATATAGGTTAGGAATTTATAACTAATCTGTAGAAACTTCCACGAAGATTTTACAAGTTCTGAAAAACTCGCGGAGCCACAAAAAAAGAAGAAAAAAAAAATCTGTCACAAGTGATACAGCCACACAAGCGGCCCGGCTATTTTTGAAGGCGAGTTTAATCTATATATTTGTGGTAAAAAATATTAGACATAGGGATGGAACAGACTTACTACTTTGATAACAAAGTACAAATATAATCAACAGGGTATGGCGTTGGTAGATGTAGTAATTTTTGTAACTTCATCCAGAACTACTCTGACTCAAACCCTGATATCCTTGAGACGCTTCAAAAATTTTACGTGAAAGTTCTGTTCGAAACAAGCTAGGATTATCGCATTGTTACACTTCAAAAAGTTATATTAAAGTGGTCGGCCACTAAGTAGTGTGGCGAGGTACAATTGCATGTTAACTACCATTAAATACAGATGGAGCTTGGTCATAGTCATGGTCGGAAACTGCATTCGTTGTGCGGATGAACCCCACTAGTACTGGAGCGCTTTTCTGGCCCTACCGCTTACCGCCATTTCTTAGGGGATTCACCCTTGCTCTTCCATCTCGAATATTATATCTACAGCTCTTTGGCTCCTTCGCTTTCTCTGCTCCGCTTCTAATTAGTGCAATTGACTTTTTGAATACGATTCCGCATTATGTCGACACTTACTAACATCGCCTCCGAGGCCGATCTCTCGTCGCACCTAGCCACTCTTTCAGATTCTACACTGCTTATCCTGCACTTCTACACCCCATGGACAGAGTTTTGCGCGAATATTAATGCTCTCTTGTCTACCTTCGCCTTGCAGTATCCGGCTACTACCCCGCCTACCCTATCGTTTGTTAGCATCAACGCAAAAACGCTAGTCGACGTTTCGCGGAAATTTGGCGTCCCCACCGCTCCTCGCATCATTGTTCTTCGTAATGGGCAGCAGCTCCAGTCAATAAAATATTTCGACTCTACTCTGCTCCGCAAGGCTCTTGATCGCTTTGCCGGGGTTAGCCCGGACGCTGCTACCGCTGCCCCTGATACCCCGGCTCTTTCCGCCAAACAGTTGAATGAAATTCTCGTTACCCGTTTGACAGAATTAACTCGAGCTGCCCCTGTGATGTTATTTATGAAGGGCACACCGATGGCTCCTCAGTGCCGTTTCAGTCGACGTCTGGTTAGTCTTCTGTGTGAGCATGGTATAGATTATGAACACTTCGACGTCTTGGCCAATGAAGAAGTTCGACAGGGATTGAAAGACTTTGGCAGTTGGCCCACCTTCCCACAGCTGTGGGTCCAGGGCAAACTGATAGGAGGCTTGGATATCGTTAGTACCTTCGATATACCAATTCTTGGAAGGGATTCGGTGCTAACCCCGTGTAGATTCGGGACGAATTCAATTCGAATCCCGACTTTCTGATACAGTATTCGATCAATAGCAACGTCGACAAGAGCCTTTGATCCATCATGCCATAAAGGTGGCCGCCTAAACCATGGGTGTTGCTGGCATTCGGCGAATACAAGCAATTTTGTATGGCTAGGGTTGTTGGGTTTGCCGTATATCCCAGCCAATTTCTTTGGCGATACAGTAGCCATGAGAAAATTCAACATCCAAATTTTGACAGGTGACAACAACAACAACACCACAACGCCCAGAAGTAAATGAAATGAGTCCAGCATTAATAAAAAAATCACATTGGATAGGTCCTAAAGCTATTATAATTTTAACATATAATGGACATTGGTGGCGGCAAAAGTGCATTGCTCTCAGTCAATAGAGACCGTTGCCATTTAATGCTTTCCCAACCCCAAGTCTAGTCCGTAACGCGGGCTTGGGGGGACTTGAAACAAGGTCGCAAGAGACAATTTGTGTGTTGCTACGCTGCGACATGGTTTACGGTCCGGCCAGCAGAGCTTACACCTGTGCCATGACGTACACCGCGAGAAAAGCCATGCGCCTGAACCGCCACCAGACCCACATGTGTGGGGAAATGGTAGCTCCGTTCCTCGACCGCGCTGAGCTGTACGACCGTCATGTTGATAACATAGATCTGGCCGGCAATGAGTAGATAGACGCACCCGATTGTGATTGGCTCTCGAAGCTCACGGCGGAGACTTTGATCGCCGCTTACAATATAGTAACCAAAACCTGGGGCCAAGATTGTTTTATCGCAGCAAAGAGAGCACCGATCTTGACACTTTCTGCCGCGCACACAATCTCACACAGACAAATCCACTTCCTTCCAGTACCCATTCTCTCCGACCTGATCATCAATTGGACTTAATAACGAAATAGAGGAGACCAATACAATTTATAACGTGTACAAGATTCTGAAAGGAGACTAGTGGAAGATGGCTAGTACAGAACAATAGATGGCGATAAATTTGAAATGGTGGTTTGGGACTGTACCGTATCTCGTTTTCTACTCTAGACACAGATGGGACTCAAAACTAATTACAATTAAACAACTCTACGACTCGATCACAAATATAGAGACAATCTTATAATATTTTATAACACCGTAAATGAGCTATCAAAATCTGAAATGAAAGACATCGGACCCAAAGTCATTTCCAGAATATAATCTCCTATAAGCTTATGGCAATATAATTTGCGAGGTGAAATGAAGAGAAGTATAATTGAAAGAAATCCTGTTATCTGGAATTCAATATAGAAAAAAAGACAGATGTAATTTGTCTAGGGTATGAAAGAGTCTCTCTGGGTTTAAATCTAGCAAACCTAGACGGATTTGTACATAGTAAACAAAACGCCGAGAGTAGTTCCTATATCAACTCTTTCGCTAGATATCAATATCAATATCTGTATTTTTGAAATGGCCTCTTGCGCTCTGCTTCTTAGCCCCAACCTTGTCAGCCCACCAGTTGAGGAAGTAGTCGAACCCTTGATTCGGATATTCGGCGTAAGATTGCCAATAGCACCGAATAAAGAGTTTAATTCTGCAAAGAACTCTTCAATTGGATACAAATCGGGTGAGTACGGAGGCAAATAGACTAGTATTTGACTTCTTTATCAAAACATATCTGCTCTAGTTTCTCAGAATAATAGAAAGATACATTGTCCATAAGCAAGGACTGACTTAGGGACAGGATATATTCCATAGTAATAGAGAAGTTCCTCGATAAAGTCTTCAAAAATTAATATATCTGTCGCGCCTTGGAAAACACAAGAAAGTAGGATCCCGTCTTGTGCATATGCAGGGAGAATCTGATACCGTTGATCGCGATAGAATTTTGACCGAATAGTCGCAGGTTGGACCGGATTCTGATAATAGCGCGCTTGCTGCGGCCTGTAGCTCTTTCGCTATCTACAAGGTAGTTAGTTCATTACTAGCAATTGTATCATGAATCAACACAAGAATAGACTTGGCTAGTTTGGGTGGCTTAGTGTTATTGTCTACCGGCCAGAGGACAGCCTCCTCATAGTTTGCAGCAAAGAAAGACACGATCAGATCGTTCTCTGCCCAACCCCATTGTGATGTAGATGTGAGGATAGAGGTTCATGGTTGTTGTGTCACGCTGAATTGTGATTTGTTAAGGGAACCACTCCCTAGGGTGCCGGGTACAAATTCGGCTCCACTGGGTGATGTATATGTGTAATTGGCGGCAACCGGGAAGCCATCACTGAGACCTGAAGCTTCCGAAACGCAATTCTGACTTGTCTTGGCCGTAATGTCCTCGCACTCAGTGCAGACACCAAGTGTTACAAAATCATCATATTCGCAGGTCCCTGTAGAACAAACAGGCGCCAGATGGCTGTATGTCTGCGAGACACCACTCAAAATATCCAGCTGCATCTTCTGCTCGACTTCACTATATAGCTTCCACCGAGGCCAGTATACGTGTGAGCTCTGGGTGTACGCCGTTTTATTCAGGGCCTGGACTCTGCGCGACGGAAACGACAGAATCTACTGGGCAAACGGATCGACCGCGACAGATATGACGATAAGCAGTGCCCCTACCGTTGCTAGGCCTGGCTTCATCCCCCAGAAGACCTCCAAAGCACCAAAAGGCCCACGGCTGGCTTGATCTAAGACCTCCATGTTGTATAATGGCATTGGTATAGGGGATTGGCTAGCATTCCATTTCAGCTGGCTAAGACAAGACGAGACTGGAATGAGCATGGCGGCTTTGGCAATCGTGACAATAAAGGATGTGATTGTATTTGGGGAAATCGAGTATTGCCAGTCGTTGTAGAGCTTTCCATCTACGTATACCAGAAATCCAACCAAAAGTGCGATGCTGATGATGCTGAATATCGCACCGCTGACTTCCCAAATCCAGGAGCCGGCTCGGTCATGCTTTTTCTTTTTGGGTGCATGTTGGATCTTTCGTCCACCTGTCTTTGGTATCGAATCTTCTGTGGTACGCGGGGATGTAGATATATTGGGTTGGAATTCATAGCCGTAATTGTCGGGGCTTTTGGTTGAGCTGTCTTGTTTGACCTCACTCTCATTTTTTGATGCTGTTTAGTTTGGCCATGTGGTTTGTGTTTGAGACAGGGTATCTGCAATGTGCTTATCAGGGTTGCTATTCTCAACCTAGTCATCAACTGCCGAATAGGAGTAGCCTGGTGTCATTATGGGACATGTCTAGTCAGATCATATTCCCAGTGAGAGGGAGCGATGAAGAACTGTCAAAGGAAAAAGGAGTAATAAAGAATGCAGATGTGGGGAGAAGTCTAAGCCACATTTAGAGACACCAAAGTACAGAGCCCACGGCGGTGGTATTCGTACGCTGATCATCTTTATACGGTTAGTTGCAGAAGAATACACGAATGGTTGTGGATCCAGTCGCTATTGATCAGCTCTCCTTGACTGAGGAGGTTCACACCCCTATTATTGGGGCGAAGCTTTTAGGCTTACAATACAGTCTAAGTTATCCGTTGGGAGCCACAACGTGCCTATTTTCTCTGGTGTCAGCTTTCCCCGGTGTCAATTCAAAGGAATCATTGGCTCCAAAGGAGACAGGGTGACGTTGGCAGGGAAAGTGCGAGACAAATGAAGGTATAGCCGAGTGAACACATCAGGGGCTCAGTGAGCGCCCGCCGTAGGTCACCCTGCATTGCGCGATCGTCACACTCACGGTGTAAAGTTCTCGGGTCGTTTCCGTTCGCCTTAAAACACTTGGTCTCTTGGCGTCTGCACATAGCCAGCCACCACTGCTTTCACGTTGACGTGGCTGGCCTGTTCCGCCAAGAAATACCGCCCCTTCTGCAGGATAGCAGAACGGAAAAGACGGTGGAGATGGAGGATTGTGATTGGCTGTTACGGAATCATTTGTTATGGCTTTACTCGATGTCGCTTCCATCCAAAGAGGCCAAATGCTGTTCGTATTCTGCCATCAGCTGGTGTTATGCAAGACGCAGGCCCGCCATGCCAGCATGGAATAAAGCGCTCTATTGCGATTCAAGAACTTCATGGTAGGTATCCGGGATAGCCTTCCACCTTGGAGAAATTGCCAATCCTGACATGCTAGGAGTGTTTTGATCTTCGAACTATTGGCTTTAATCTAGCTCTCTATCATGTGAGACACTCCTGGATCTTGCCAGAGAGCCCTACCCTCTATACTATATCGATTGATAACATCAAAATCGTACAAATAATTGGCCTTGAGTTTGGCACAAAATCCACAACGCTGGAACACTCAAGATTATGCCAATCCCACGCCACAATTTCCTCCGCTCAGCAGCGGACGTAGATAAGCACTGGATAACAAGACAAGCCACAAGCACCGAGCGTGACATAAATGAGTTCCGCACTGTATCCAATCATCAATTTCGTTATCCCCACAGTCCAAGTTGGTCCCCAGGTCGTCGGTCCATTAACCGACGATACGATAGGATGACGGCAGGTAGCACGCCATGTTAGAACCGCTACATTTAGAAGTACCGGTCAGTACCGTTCAGCCTTGGTACGAATCATTTCAGAAAGCGCAAAGGGGCGGTCGTACTTCTTGTGTTGTACACGCTCTAGTACTGAGGGAACCAATTGAGTGGATTTATTCAAGAACTATCCGTGAGATCACTTTTATAGAGGATCATATTAACCAGATCTACAATACAGATACACATGAAGCGTGCAGATGCTTAATCAGACTCGTTCTTAGTGGGTGGTAAAATATCACTTCTCAGATTGATAAGTTATTTCATTCAGCAATCTTGATTCAGCTAAGATAAGATATTTGGCAGTCTCGCAACACAACAATCCTTGAGCACCCGAGGTGAAAAGCAGGGCGCTTTAGAATAACCCAACCGAAAACATACTGACTGCGCTTATTTAGCTCTTCCATTACTTGATCTCCAAAGTGCCAGGATTGTGTGCCACCATTTTACCATCCTTATTCTCGAAGCGAACCTATCAAAGGAAATGTGCCATTAGCATGATAAACTAATCTAATTCTAAAATCGTATCATTCTACTCACTTTTGGCGGGTTTTTCACGTGAACTTCTTCCGCTCGTTGCTGGTCTGAGATGATCTCTTTCACCTATAATATGAGGAGTCGTTAGCGCACTCTACCCACTAGGCTCATATATGTCCAACCAATGGTTGTTCATAAGATGTTGTCCTTTACTAACGTGTCCTTCATGCGTTCCGCCGCGGATTTTGGTAACAACATAATCACCAGGATGGATGATATTGCCGTTCTTGTCCTTAACTTCGTTATCACTCATTATGTTGAGAGTTTCTGGGAGAAAATGGAAGAAGTAGATAAGAAATTGTATTGAGGATACTAGAATTATAGGGATTATGGCATCTCGCTACATATATCCGTTTGAGCGATGATTGCTATCCATGGAGTCATGATGATCTCATATAGACTTCATCCCCACAAGTCTATCTAATTAGCCGCCACAAACCCATGGCACTAACAACTTATCACTGCCTAGTGGTGATAAAGAAAACCTTGGTTACCACGGTGGCTGATCGAGTGATACAAATGGGTACCCGTCCATGCCAATATCTGCAACGTAAATACTGCACGAATATCTTGATTGTTGATCCATTAGCATCTATGCGCACTCAAAATACAGGATGTTCCGGAACAATTGTTACTAACTGCAACTCAACCGGTAAACTATGCTGGGGATGCTTTTCCTCTGCTTCGTTAATCTAATGGCTAGAGGCCTCCGAAGAAAAGTAACCAGGTTTTCTAGAAGTGCGGGTACAGGTGGAGAGTGATCGCCAAGTTCGAGCTTCTGTCACCTCACTTATCTGGGAAAAACTTAATTTCTTCCTTCTTGTTGTTCAGAGACCCGCTAACTTTAACCAAAGCAAGCTTTTTCTGGGTATCAAGCGAGTTGTACCCATCCAAAGTATATCTCATAGCACATTAAGAGCAAGCAATTATAACCCAGATACCTTCTGGGTATTTTGACCCAAGGAAACCATATGACGTCATGAAAACCTGCATGATGATTCCGCCGTTTCTGTCTCCCATGCGTTCCTTATAGGATCAGCTAGCGGCCGTAGTCGACTAGAAAAGAAAATCTTCATGCAGAAGAGCGATACAAGATTAACTATACAACCAATCCGAATATCGACATGGAATCCATCAAAACGTAAGTTAGGCAACGGCGGGCAGACTCCCACCTATGTCCAGGGCATATGGTCGCAGATTATCTAAACTAACAACTGATGCAGAATCGACGAATTTCACGAGTTGGTCGAATGCAAAAAGTACACCATATTGTGCTTTGTCGGTTCCAATGTTTCATCTGGATCTGTTGTGGAAGCAACCTACACGCACATAACTACCGCAATACCCACTGAAATGCTAAGCATAGTCACTATTAACTTGAATGAAAACCCCGCTATCTCCTTGGTTGCCGATGTTAAGGAAGAGATGATGCTCGTTTTTATGAATGGGAGGGAGATAGCAAGACATCATGGCATTGCGCCTGATCAACTGGAGTACGTGGTATCAAAAACTTTGTGCGGATTGGGAGAGGCCAAAGAAGGCTTCGCGCAAGCTATTTGCTCGAAAATTTGACGTGGGTCAACTGCACGTTAATCACAGGGGTGTGTGGTTGCTGCGTTCTACCGGCACACAGATATTGTGTATTGCATCTATGATCTGGCGGAGACAGGTCACGCGCCACGGTAGCGTTTCCAGGCGATAATAAGCTGTTCCTACAATCGAGGATTATCAGTAATGCTGTTTGTGTTTCGGGGGACAAGAATTGGCACAAAATGTTCGGACCCCTTTAGTAAAAGGCTTGAGTGATACTTAACCTTACCATGAAAAATAGACGTGTCATGATTCTGCGCTGCAATTGACTATCCACACCTCACTGTTGTTGGCCGGTGCTATAATTCAAAGTATTCCACCAGGGCATACTGCATGGTTTGCAAGTTAATTTGCTGCAATCATAATGCCAGCCTGAGGACCGAATAGGGCACTTATTTATTCATGCCGGGCATCTGCTATGGCCTGATAATCGAAGGGCGGCGAAAAACGATATCCCCACAATGACCACAGTGTTCTTACTCTTTCACACGACCCTCACCTGCGACAGTTTACTTGCGAATAGATCAGCTTTAGAACGTGCGGCTCCAAATTGAGGTGTCTCTCATAAGTTCCTGTCCGGCAACGCACGATAACTGTGTTCAGATAACCTTGTGAGGTTCAGAAAATATTGCCTAGACATTAACGCGTGCTGATAGTAATGAGTGCACCGCACGACATTACCAACCAACCACAGACTAGGATATATAAACCGTCTGGGATTACGTTCAAATCACTCGTGGGGCCCATCTCATCCCTTTGTTACTGTATGGATGATGATATAAGGCCTCATATAACATGAACATAACTATTCGCAAGCAACTGTCGACCTACCAGTTACCACCTGTTTGTACATCACATGCTTGGCTCTCTTTGCGGAAGGCGATCTGCTAGCACCGCATTGGTCCTTTATTTCGACACCGTATTTAGAACTACGTAGGAGGTGTATTAATTCAGGCTCTGCGAAGAATTGGGCACAATCCGTCCTCTACGTCGTGTGCAAGACAATTTGGCATATGGGATGTGCCGGGAATAGAGGAAGAATAGCTCTCATTCAGAGCCCATGAGAACACTAGCTACCTGGCACTCCTAATGAAAATAGTAACTCATCAAGCATTGGATCTGTCGGGTGTGAAATGTAACAAGACATGTCAACGTCATCACCTAGTACTCCAAATGGATACTGCGAATTGTCGAGAGCTGCTTCTGCTAACTCTAGCCCTCGAAAAAGCGCGTCATCACCGCTCCTTTCAACCTGTGCATTCTCTAGTTGCGACGTAGATCCAATGCTATCGTGATCCTGGTGACTTGTCCGATCGTCTAACCCCCCTGAAACGATACTTTGCGCACGAGGAGTCGTAGTAGTTGTTTCAGGTGTATGATTCGCGTAAAAGTCGCTCACATCTGAGCCCTTCTGTAATTTTATTCGTTCGATGCAGTCCTTTAACAGTTCAAAAGCCCGTTTAGCCGCTTCGTCCGTCCCTTTAAGACAGAGCAGCCAATTCATTGCTTTTTCAGACGCTGCGATCACACCTGCAAGTAAGTCGGTGTACTTGGCAGAGCCCTCACCAGTCTGACAGAATTTGAAATCCTCGACTGACATATGCAATAGCAAAATTGTGGTGGCTTGAACAAGGAAATGTAGGAAGGTCCACCAAGGCGCAATACGGTAGGCCCAGTCTGCATCGGGCTGATCGGGAAGGAGAGAGATCATTGCTAGCGAGGAGCGTAGGCAGATCAAAGCGCTGTCGCGCTCTAAATGAGAACGAAAGGCTCTGATGCCAGTCTCTTCATTTGATTTAGGAAGAGAAAAACAGGGTCGGTTCAGGACAATACGGGCGCTGTAATAATGCAGCGACAGAGAGGCCTGGTATGGATTCATGTTACTGCGTGCCCGGTTGTCGTTGAGCTCTTGAAAACGCATGGAGTTAGGTAAGCCAGAGCACCACTGGTCCATCTTCTTGTTGTAGAGGTCAATACGTCTTCGGACGTGTTTCGTCTCATCGTGGACGTTATTGTAAATATGGTTGATTGCGGTGTGCGAGATGAAGATTAAGTCAATGAGGCAAAAGAAGTAGAGAGAATGGTTGGGAGCCATGGTCCTTAGCGTTTCATGTTGGGCTTCGGGTTGTTGCAGGAAGATTGTCCATTGAATGGAGCTGTCAATGACCAAGCGTTCGTGACTTGATACGCCAACCCCAGATGGGACACATTCTAGTCCTTCGGATGGGCGAGGGGGAGGCGCAGAGGAACTATTTCCTATACAAGATACCCGGCCGGTCATCATAGAAAGGAGGTGCTCTAGTAGAAAAATCGACCACCACAGCCTCCTTCGCGATCCGAGGGACTCAACGTCGAATTTCGCGTGTGCGACTTGGAGGTGGAGCCCTAAAGCAATGCTCGAACGAGTTGCAGTACCTATCATTTTCCATGCTCTGTAGCAAAGTCAGACGACCAATGGCAAAAGTTACGCTAGCGTTTGCGCCATGTCAGTAGTGTTGGGTCTCATACCTATTGATTCGTGCTGAAGCTAAAAGAAAGAACGCAGCAAGAGTCTCTATTTGCACCTGCTGAAGATCCTCGTAATCAATTAGAACACTCTCAGATATATTGAGGGATTGCGCGCGAGCAAAGAATACGTCCCCATCCTCCTGAATATCTTGCCCTATCAAGGCGCAATGTTTTCTGCCAATGGCAAGTACCAGATTGAAGACGGCCAACCACTTTTTCCCTGGATTAATCGAACCTGCCAAATACAGCCGGCGGACTTGATCGGTAAAAAGATCCTGTCGAATAATAGGGAAAGATGGGTGGACGCTCTCGAGGTAAATGGAAATTAACTGGTAGGCAAGCGCTTTCGGCGGTAACACGTAAGGATTGCTCGTTCCCAGGTTGGATATATCGGCCGAGTCAAGATGGTAGTTCAACGAGAAAATGGGCGCCTTGGTGGGATCCTGGTACTGCCGGTAATCTCCAGAAAACGGCCCAGTGCCTCCCTGGCGTCTAGTCTCCAAGTCAAGGCGTTGCATCCATGCGACTTCGGAACTTTTTCCAATATAGCCGGTGGCCCTGCTCTCTTCACTTTGGTTGACATCTTCCTCCACTACATCTACTCCATCTAACGACCCGACGGAAGAAGATGAAGCACTGGAAGATCTGCTTCTGTTGGCACTTAATGACGAGGAGGGCTTTATACGTTAGCGCTGATCATGATAACGTATGCCTTGTAGCGCGAAGAGATCTAGTCTCACCTTCAAAACTTCATTGATCCTTCTCGAGAGCGATGCATCAACTTCACAAGATAATTCTTGAAGAAACTGTTCGTAGAAAACAACTTTTTCCTTTGCTGATTCCATTTCTCTCCGCTCTCTCGACAGTTTGTTTTCAGAATAGACACATGACTCCAGCGACTGAGCTTCGCACTGCGCACATATCGGCTTGTTGCCATCACATTTCCATTTGCGCTGCCGACACGAGTTGCATGCCCTCGCAGTACGTTTGCCAGCGGATTTGTGGCTCTCTTTTCTCAGGCGCGGGATAGGAACTCTGGTAAGCATCTTGACACTGTCTGTGATGTGGCTTTCTCACAAGTAAACCAGATCCGTCTCATTCCTTTAACAACAGATAGGAACGGAACGAATATTTGCGAGGGAAAAATTACTACACTACCTCGAGAAAAGGATTGATGATCAATTGCAGTGGGGATCGATCCAGTGTGTTTCAGTGGCCCCCTCTTTTCTGTCGACAGTTTGTTGACGATAAGGACGATTACCTGAGCGCTGCTCGTTTCGTCAATGCAATGCTCGAAATGATAGGTAAGCTTGCTTTTAACACGATCGTAATAAGTTGGGAGATGGTGCAGCTATTCTGTGTTACGCCCTTCTAGTGCGACGGAAATATTGTGTTGCCCCTATTTGAAAAACAATGCGGGCCGCAGAAGTAGCTACGTCAATGGCTCTCGAAAAGCTTTTGTGGCAAAGCAAAGGGGCATTTGTTCGTCATCGGCATGTGCGGATAGAATAATACTAAGCAGAAAGGTTCAACATGAACAACTGAAAACAAATTTCACGCTGCATTTAAATGACACACTTCAATATTAGTCTATTATGAGGGAGTTGAATTGTATTACTAAAGCCGCAGAATGCCCTCCAGGCGCACCTCATGCCAAAAATGTGCCGCAGCTCTCTCATTTGGCCGGGTATCTGTTCCTAGCGGGCCCACCCAAGGTGGGGGGATGGCGGGTACAAGGGCACACACAACGCAAGTAAAAGCATGTTTACTATGCACAGGTAAGCTTAGTTGCCGTATGCTTCTGGAAAACGAAGGAATAAATTGAACAAACCATACGATCTAGCATCCATGACTTCCCAAGTACTGTTATTTTGCCCCTAGCTGACAATAACTGAGAGCCCGCAGTTTTCAAATGGTTCCTCTAGAGACGGCCAAGCCCTTTCGAACCATAAGACCCAGAATCCACGTCATTTCCCAATACGCCAGCCCCCACTAACAAAAAAAATCGTTTCGTCCGCTCACTGAATAGAAGGGTGAGCAGAGGTGAGCATAATGAAAAGAGAATATTCCGTTAGTGCCTAATAACACCTATCAGTTAATACCTTAGGGGGGTTCTACCACCAAGGCACTAACCCATTCTATCTTCTGGCGTAAAATAGCGCTAAGGCTCCCTCTATCGAAGCTCGAGATGATCTGTGATATGATACTTAGGGAATCCCTGACTATATTATAGATAGCTAGAGAGCTGAATATAGTGAGCTTTGAATTGTTAATATTCGTAACAATCTTATTAATATGGAAGGGTTAGAGCGCCTCCTACTCGTGTCGGACGACGACGAAGTATCACCCCTCCGATGCTAAATGGCGTATATAGCTCTCTTAAGAAGCCTACTCGAATGTTGATTAATAAGCTAACAGAAGCCTGAATAAAATGAGGGAGATGAATTGAGATAAGCATTTGGTGTTTGTAGGCCCCCATTACCTTCTGGTAGTTTTCCGTACTTAACGGCTCATATGACATCATGATGTGTTATTGTTAAAACCAAGCATAAAGCGGTAGAGCAACGCGACTTTGCAAAGACGGGCGCAAAGTCCTGTTTTGTGAATATTAGACATTCGGCAATCTCTTGACAGCCCATTACATTGCAAGATCCCACTGAGACCCTTATGATGTTGAGCTTACACAATAATGATTCATGTTTGGGTGCCCGCGACTTTGGCAAATAAAATTTTATAACTTCCCTATATCCCACTCAATAGTTTGCAGATTTGTAAACAATCGTGATAAATCCAAAGTGAGACTTCAAAATGTCGCAAAAGCATAAAGTTGTCGTGATCGGGTCTGGGAACTGGTAAGAGATCTTTGGACCCGCATCATCGTGAACTCAGTAGCTCACTAACCGCACAATGCAAAGGGGCTCCACGATTGGGAAAATCCTAGCCGAAAACACTAGAGAACACTCTGAACTCTTTGAAGAGAATGTCTCGATGTGGGTGTTCGATGAAGATGTTGATGTACCCGATGATAAAACGCTTCGCGACCAACTGGGCGATAAACCCGTGAAGCTCACACACGCCATCAATACAGTACATCAAAATCTCAAATACCTTCCCGGGATCAAGCTTCCAGTCAATCTCATTGCCAATCCCGACCTCCAGGATACAGTCAAAGGAGCGTCTATTCTTGTTTTCAACCTTCCGCATCAATTCATATCTAAAACGCTTGATCAAATCGATCATCAGCATCTCCCTTATGCGCGAGGTATTTCGTGTATCAAAGGGGTCGATGTCGCCGATGGGACTGTGACGCTCTATTCCGAGATGATCATGGAGAAATTGGGGATTTATTGTGGTTCTCTATCTGGTGCCAACATCGCGCCTGAGGTAGCCGCGGAGAATTTGTGTGAGACTACTATTGGATACGATGGGCCTCCTATGGATTACAAGCAGCCGGATGGCTCACCTCAAGACAATCTAATTAAAGTGGACGAACAGCGCCAAAGCAAATCTAAACCCAGCCACGTTAAGCTGCACCCAGTTCCCCAAACCTATCCTCATGTGGATTCCGGCCTTTTGAAAAAACTCTTTAGCCGTCCATATTTCAACGTTAATGTTGTGCGGGATGTCTCTGGAGTGGCACTTGGCGGCGCGCTGAAGAATATCATCGCATTAGCTGCCGGCTTCGTTACAGGAAAAGGTTGGGGCGAGAATACAAAGGCCGCTGTTATTCGAATTGGTGTCCTTGAAATGGTGCGATTCGGGCGCATTTGGTTCCCTCAATCCGTGGATGAGAGAACATTCACAGAAGAAAGCGCTGGAATAGCTGATTTGGTAACATCTGCCAGTGCGGGGAGGAATTTCCGGTCTGCATGTCACGCTGTAGAGAAAGGAGTCTCTGTCGATGAGATTGAGAAGACGGAGTTAGGGGGACAGAAACTCCAGGGAACATCCACCACTCGCGCGGTCTATGAGTTCCTTGAGAAACAGGGACAACGCGAACAATTTCCCCTATTCGTGTTTGTTTACGGTTAGTGCATACTTATTGTGTTTTAACGTTCGAAGCTAACGGTCCATAAAAGATATTCTGGAAGGGCGCACGACAATAGATAGCCTCCCAGAGGTTTTGGACAAGGAATCGAAGATTAAAGCATATTAGCTTCGCAAAAGATGCATGGCACCTACGTGACCGACGCGCGAGACTGAGAACCCTTTCTAATATCATGCATTTTGTTTATAATCTTCTAAGTTGTTCCGTTAGTACACTTAAGTATTATATCGTGTGATTAAGAACGATCGAGCAAAGCAGTTAAGGAGCCGATCCTTCTGGCCTAGAAAATCTTATCCCCGAAAGGCAATATACCTAGGTTCTTTAAATGGTGGGAAGCTTAATTAGAGGAAACTAAGTTCTAGATCCGAAGGTCGAGGGTTCTTAACTGGCTGCATTCGCGAAAATCTTTCGAAGATGCGAGCGATATTCCGGGTTCTGAACCTCGGGCCGCTAGCCGTGATCTATTATTAAAATAAAGATATTTATAGCGTTTAGTATAGAATTGCTAACGGCCCTATATATTTTCGCATTCTGCCTGGCTACCTAATGATCTTTTGACCGGAAGCCGAGGTTCTTCTACCTAGAGACAGGACTAGGATAGCTAGCTTATTCCACAACTATCTAATTCCAGATGCTTATACCCGAAGTCTGGGCTACAGGCTAAGTGTCGGCCACAAACTACATAGTTCTATAATAAGGCCCTCGAAAGTTGGCCTATGATGTTGTATACATTTTATTTGATCCAGAAACAAGAACCTCGGATGCCGGAAACATAGAGGTATCCCATATAATTGAAAACTTATATCGCGGCGACTGCATTGTTATTGTCAGAATCGAGGTCCGTGGGTGATATCAGTTAGGCTCAAAGGAATTGCGGAGATAATAAGTTGCAGTGAGGGGACAGCACAGCCACCTATAGTACAGTTAAGTCGAAGAAACATCCTAACTAGAGTGACCGAAGTCGAAGGTCCACGGCATTCGATAGCTTTAGTAAGACACTCTCCCTTGGCCCATTGAGCCGATTAAAGTCAAGTCCAATATAGACACCGATATTAGTTAAGGCGCGGTGTTCGCGAGGATATGCTACTATTGCTTTAATGTCGCGAATGGGATAGAAAGACTTAATTTTGTGGCTTATGAAAGAAGCTGCTTTTTATTTTAGATCCTGGAAAAGGTAGCATCCCAAGATATGCCGGCCCAGATGTACAGTTATCATCCTGGAGAAGGGTTTGTTATATGTGAACACATCGCAGGTTACTTAATTTTGCCTATACCACACTCTCGTTACCCAACGTAACAGGAACCGCGCGATCTCCAATGACTTTTCACAACCTAACTAACATTAGACTTAGGCAGCACTTTTGATGGCAGAACTGCCTATACAGAAATGCTGAACAAATGATCGTGATATGTCAACCATAAGATTCCAGATACTACCATCGCAAGTTGTCAGACCATTTCGATAGGAATCAGTGAGACGCCCTATCCTTTGCGTGGGGTGGGTCCTGATGTCTTGCACGCTTTGCCTAGGCTCATTCCAACCTCAACATCAGTCATTATTTCCTGACGGCTAAGGCTTTCTAGGTCATTGTCGAATTGTATACGGCCTGGTTGAAACAACACCAGTATGCTTGAACCGCCGAACTGAAAAAGACCGATCTCATCACCCTTCCTGACATGATGGCCAGGCTTTTGTATTTCATCGTGAATCCTATTATCACCAATGAGACATCCGAATAGCCGGGAAAGTTGACATAGAGGTTGAACTTACCTCACTGTCCCTACATCTGTAGCACCAATGGCTACAAAGAGAACATCGCCGAAGCATTCACTTTCGATGCAGACACAAGACCTGGCATTTTCCGTCAAAATGTTGACCGAACTGTGCAAAGCAACCGGGTCGACTTGAAAATAGTCTCCCGAGATGTGCTTATGCCACTTTACATTTCCCTCAACCGGTGAGTGGTACCGGTGATAGTCTTGCGGACTAAGGCGGAAGCTTGCAACGGCGCCATTTTCCCATGTTACTGCAAGCTGATCATCTTTGATAAGGTTCGCGATCGTGAATTCGTTGCCTTTCACCCACAGGGCTTTAGTCTCGTCCACAGTTGGGTATACAACAACTCGACAGTCAGCCACAACGACAGCTTTGGATGGATCATTTGCGGCATATATCGGTCTTGCATTTGGGCGATGCTTCCGAACAAAAAAGTCTTCAAACGTAATGTAATTTTCCGGATCAGAGGGCTCGAACTGAGACATATCAATGCCATAAAAGTCGATAAAGCCTTTGATCTGCCTATGAGACTTTAATTCGCCTTCCCGGCGCCCTATCGAGCCTTTTTAGCATATTACCAGTAGAGTAGAGATCAAGGGAAACCCTTGGGTCAAAGATATGGGGTCATAACTCACCTGCGCTGATGCTTTCCTCATGCGTCCAAAAACGCAGAAGACGAGTCCGATCAATCCACTCCGTGACGGGATTGAATAACAAGAGGAGCTTGAGCTTTTTCTTTATAGGTTGTTGCTCACGCTTGTATGTTCCGCTCTTCCGATCAACTGTCAGCCAGCCAATTTCACGCTTCTGCAGTAGATTTAGGAAACAAAGAATAGCATCGAGGAGCCGATGGATTTGGCCAACGAGGAGTCGATAGATTTGGCCAACGATGTCCAACATTGTCGATAATGAAAGACTCCGTCTACCATAAAGATATTGTCAAAATCCTTTCCTGCAATAAAGCCTTGAAGATTAATCGAAATATGGCATGGCAGAGTCGCCGGATTTTGACTTGGCCAATGGTAATTGCGTCATTGTTAGGTCATCCATCACCACCCAGACGTCGTACATTACCGCCATCGGGCCAAAACAAAGTATTGTATATTGCCCACATTATATTTAATATACATTGATTGGCTCGTACAGTCATAAGCAATAAGTCCTTTCATACCCCCTTACCTTTATATAATTTATATGCTTAACCCGAGGCACTCGAAAATGGGCAAAAAAGAGGGTGAAAAAGAGAGGCTAATTAGGCGACAAAAATAAGTATAACTGCATATTCTTGTGGAGACTTCCTAGTATTCTGTCAATAGCACTGTAGGTAACATTCAATACTCCGTTTCCTACCCATTTATTAGGCGTATCAGATGCAAATGCTCAATTTCCTACCAACTGCCGGCAGAATTCGTTTTGGCCTGATGGCGGTAATAGACTGCCGTAATTGTGGCAGAACGCCCTGGGAACATCTTTAAGATTCTTAGCTGAAAAGCAATTATCGACCCATGCATTCATGAACCCTATATGACTACTTTCTCTTCGAAATCTTGATTTCATGATACAGTATCAGGCTCTGAGAGGTCTGTCTACGCCATTAGCAGCCACAGTGGTTGGTTGTATGCTCTTTGTGGATATCAACCCGTCTGCTGTGCCAGACTGCCATCGTGCCATTCCCATTTCAATACGTAGAAATTTTACCGTTGACCGACCGATATATATGCGGGGGAATATACTAAGCCAAAGCACTAAGCGTTCGTGTTGAGACTTCCCCAGGAAGCCAATTCTTGATCAGCTAATGCGCAACTACTTCTTCCACGTTCATCCACTTTTGCCACTGCTCAATGAATCAAAGTTCTGGGAGATGTATAGTGCGCAGTAGCATTCCCTACACGATGCACTAATTAGAAGCATATCGCTGCTCACGCTTCAAGCAATGTCATTTGCACCTTGCAGCTTTGTCACTTCAGAAAGTCTTCTCATGGTTGGCTCAGGAGTGTCCAGCATGCCCAAGAGAAACTTTATCGTCATTTCCAAGTAAAACTTTCCTGTCTATTTGTGCCGAGGCATACTTTGCTTATTCTCAATAGTGTTGTAGTATTTAGTGTTAAGGACTTGTGTCTCTCTTCGTCTTTTTCTTCCCAACTTGTGGAGATAGCGTAACATATCACATAATTGAGTGTATATATATGTATTGTGCATCTTCATTCCGCGAAACATCCGCGTAGATTGAGTAGGTCCCCGGTTTAACCAATGTTGACATCAGGATGATCCACCGACTATGTAGCTATTAATGAACCTCAAACAATACCTGAATCATCCTCCCTCTCGGACTTTCACTCAATATCTGCAAATCACTTTCTAACTTTCAATCAAGACGATATTCCCATTCCTCCCTCAATTTGCCAAACGTTGGTTATTCGGGGATCCGACGGGTTCCCAGACAACATGGACCAGAAAACGCTTGCCCAGCGACAAGACCGATGTTGAGGTTGAGCTTGAAGAGAGTAGAGATTTGAATGCACTCCAACAATATCGATATTATCGCTATTATCACCTTCTTGGACCTGCCAGCCACGATCAGTCTGCTGATTTCCTGAATATCGAAACTGCCCTCCGAGAGACTTTCCAGCAAGAGATTACATTGAACGAAAAGCTCATTAAAGCTATGACAGAGAACGGATGTCATGATCACTCAAAATCTCGAGATATAAGAGAGAAACTTGAAGCTTCAAATAGGAAGTATTGGCTTCTGGAGCGCGACTGGTGGGTATACCGAAGCGGGTTCGACGAAGGGCCTCTGACAAGAGGGCTCGACTTATGGAGGTCGCATCCTAGGTGGTATATGCATCATTTTCTCGTCGACGACTGTGCCGGGAGAGGGGGCTGCTGTAGTCGGAGCTGTGGGTGTTGCCTCCACCGTGAAATGAGTCTGGCACGCAAGCTTGGAGTTGGGCACTGTACGGGTGAATGCGGATGCTGTATCAGAACTCGGGGCTTTGTTCTCAACACGAAGGAGAAGAAGAGGATCTCTATACGGTTTGGGCTATGTTCCGAAGAAAATGACCCATACTATCGCCGGATTATTCTTGCTTCGATATGGGGATTGCTGGATGGGAGCCATGATAGCCCCTTTGACGTGATTGACGAGTCAGTCAGATCTGATCATGTTCTCCCTCCCATGGGACTTGCATACCATGTGGACCCGGAAAGAGACTACCTGTCAGATGGAGATGATGATGAGTCAACATCTACGGAAATCCTATTATAATTATAACGATAATAAGAAAAACCCTATCTAGTTGGCTATTAGTTATTGTGTTCAGCATGCTTATTCTATTCGCCTGATTGTCGCAGATTTATCCGCTCGGTGTCTAGCGGTCTATACACCGTAATGTAAGGTTTGCTAAACTATGAAGAAATCTGGACGCCTAAATAGATGTGCCATTAGGGATGAGCAGTTACTAGAGCTACCAGAGTTTTCCACATCGCAGCGGCAATAATGCAAGTGAACAAGGTGGAGTGCTTCACCAACTAATCGTACCTATGTACCAATGTAGATATATTAAAAGTACATTGGTAAGACTTCATCGTCGCTGATAAGCTCGCTGACATGATTTGCCTCACTCAAGGCGCCGGGGATTTCTCAAGCCTGTCGCAAATATAATGCAATTCATTTCAGGCAAATAGTAGAAGGAAATAGTAGAGGGAAATAGCACCAAGTTATGGTAAAGGAGCCGGTAAGTCACCTTAGGAACAACGAGAATCTCAGTACTGCTGATCAATTGCATGAATATCTTGCCGGCAGCACGCTGAGGGTCAAAGCGAACAAAGAGGCGAAGGTCGAGTCACGGCTTCACGGCCGCCCGTGGACAAGTTAAAGAGTGGTGCTTTGGCCGCCAGCGAAAAGTTGCGAGCATTGAAGCTCAATGGAGCTTTGCTAGCCGACGAAACCGGATTTGGCAAAACTGAACAAGCCCTTCTCGTGACCCTCATTACCAGCATGACAACAAATTCCGGTAAGCCAACACTGCTTGTAGTGCCGGCCACATTGATCTATCAATGGACCTCCGAAATCTAGAAGAATTGGCCCGGTCTTAGATTCATCCTATCCATTCTGGACTGGGAAATTGCTCGACGACATCCTCACAGCCAATGCGATGATCGAAAGGGGCACAGAGGTCCCAAGATTATTACGCTATCTGTTTGTAAAAGACAGTGCTACTGCACTGAGTTTGGTTATCCTTACCTCCCATGAAACCATGATTCACCGTCATGGGAAAAAGGAGGAGGAGATCATGGTACCCGGTGTGCCTCATAACCCACTGGAGTTCAAGGCCAGTGGCGAGCAAGTCTGGAAAAAGGAACCAGTTAAAAAGTCCACATGGAGTGCATACCACCCAAACACGTGGGGCTTGTCATCCTCGACGAGGCACAGAGCGAAGTCGGTGCCTGGTTGAGTATCCGTCGTCAGTTTGGGGATGCTGCGCGGCGCGAACGAGGCAAGAGACTCGAAGCTATGTTTGGTCTAGAAAAGAACTTTGACACTGGTATATGATAATTAATACTCCCTCTTTTTACCCGCGCGGATTTGGGTAATACCGTCAGCTGTTTGTTGACCAGTCTATACTGTTAAGATATCTATGGGATATACAACCACGCACCGGCACGCACAGCGACCGGTGGCGCTAAACCTGAAGGTTCATTATGGCAAATTTTGCTATAAGTTAACGTTACTTTCCAACCTACATCTTATATGGTGCAAGTCGAGATGACGACGGAAAGACCACGATATTGCGTGGTTTGTAGCTACAAATCGTGATTTTTCAGTATAAGCCGCGCCAAGGATATGGTAGCCGCCGAAACACCCCTCCTGGGTCGTCCTGGTTCTCTTTTCCCAATCAGAAGCATCGATCAAAGCGTTGACATCGCGACTGATAATAACTATCCTTTTCGTCGTCAACTACAGTTTGGAATTCCAATACGAGCCGCAACATGTTAATTATTGTTGCCTATCATAATCTTAACAGTTGGCTACTGGGGACAAGACTCGGCCCGTCGCGAAAATGTTATGGGGCAGCAAACGACCAATAATAATGGGGTAACTTACTACCCACGGTTTTCCTCATCTGTGGCCAAATGCATCACGGGTGGGTAAGAAGTTCTATCAATAGTAGGCCTTACAACCGCACCTACTTTTAATCGTATAATTTATAAGTTACACTTATCCACAAAGAATTCCAACCACAAGAAATTACCAATGCGGTACGTATTTTGACCATGAGACAGTTTGATACGCACTCCGCGGCAAGCTCCTCAGTCCAATCAAGTCTTCCGTTAAAATAAAACCTCGACCCACACAATAAAAGGCACAGACAAAAGAGATTGGAATCAAAGCTCGAAGGGGGATTTCCAAGTTGGGATCCTGCTCAGGATCAATATTCCTAAGCCTCACAGCAAGACGGCTGATCCATCTGTTTTTAGACTCTCTTTTCTGCTTCAGTGTAGCTTGTTCCCTTGCTTTTGCTAACTCCGGTTGGAACATTTTTCTGTGAAAGTATAGCGAAAGAGGACCTGCAACCAACGCAAAGGCCAAGGTATTCACACTAGTGATACGCCAAAGTAACTTCTCTGTCGCGGACGGAAAGGTGGAATTCCAGGCAATAAGAAACACAGAGCTGAAGAGAAGAATTGTCGGGGCACAGATTATCTCCGCCTGGGTATCCACGTTTGGAATGAAATGACTTGGAATACGATCATATGGTCGTCGCTCCGGCCGAGTAAATAGCGGTATATGTATACAGTGCAGGATTTGAACGTAGTATTTCCAAAATCGAGCACAAAACCACTCATCCCGCGAGAGGAACTCGAGTGGTGTTTCATACCACTTTGACCCGGAATTTTGACCAAGATTATTCCGAATAATAGCCACGGATTTCTTAGGCTTTAAGATGATTGGTTTGTTAATATCCATAGGTTTGTGATACCAGCAGTAGGATGTCACGAGAAAGACCAGAATAAAGGAGAGGGTAGTGAGCTCGAGGGTGGTAACAAAGAGTCCCTGGGCAAAACGAAAGATGCAGTTTAAAGAGAACCATAGGACTTGCGCTATTGTCAATAATCTACCTGGGTAAGCATAGTGAATAAATAGAAAGGAAATTTCAATTAAGGTAGACTGTGACTTACCTAGCTAGTCCATCTGCTTTACTCTTATCATTAATTTCCTCTTCTTCCAATATCGGATATTCAACGTATCCCTCTTTGACTAGGATATAGAGCTGCTTGGCGTCCAAAGGGAATGAAGGTAGAAAATCTATTTCCGGGGACTCTATCCAAAAGCCCCCCATATCGGCAAAGAACGCATGCTTAATAGTCCAGTCTTTATATCCAGCCTCGTAGAAATTCTGCTCCGTCAGCTTCGACATCACAACAACGTAAGACTAATTTATAACCCACTTTAACAGAGCAGCGCGCAGATGACCATTGGCCCAGAGCTAGCATCAATAGGAATTCAGATCCGAGTATTGCAATACAAGCAAGATCGAATTTATATCTCCATTTTCTGAATGTGCCATCGGATGGGGCAGGCAGATTTGGAGACACGGATGTCCAGCAACAGAGAATGATTGTGAGAACGCAAGTGGATAAAATGCCCCACGTCCCTCTCCCGTCGGGCTCAGGGACCCAGTCACGGGTGGTTGTGATACTGTCGTTCATGATTGATACGCACTTGAATAAGATGTAGGATCAAGGTTTAGAGGAAACTTAATATAGCCATTTGAGTCTACCTAGCCGTAGCGCACTTTCAGGCTAGTGGCTAATGGAAGGAGCCCGAAATAGCATTTCGGCACTGCGGTTTGATTACGCGCCCCTAAGATTGAGGGATATGCAGGAGCCTAGGAAATGGGTAGCTGATCAGCCTGAATTCAGTCCAGTAATTGTTAAATCTGCCTTGCGACCGCGACATCGCCCGTGATGCACGAGCACTGCCTCGACCGCCCATGGCGCCTGTTAAGGCTTTGCGCGGGTCAGCAAGGTCCCCTTTTAACTACCAACTTGGGAAAGACAAAACTTGGCGACGAACCCAGTTCAGCTCCTAACTGCCCACTCAATTCTCGGGTGGCTATGTGCAGATGCCAAGAGACCAAGAGTTTCCAGGCGGATCGGAGTCTACCCAATCAGGTTATACTTGATTTTAGCTCACACCTCTCTTCTAGCTCATGACTACAAATTGTGGTGACTCTTCCATACAACCTCCGATATGGTGTAAATGGCAGTGATGGTGGAATGACCACGGTTTGGCATGGTCTTAAATCGAAGGATCGTGATGATTACCCCTAGAAAATTTAGCCAACTAGGTATAGCGCTGGCATCGACGCTACACCTAGTCAGTTAGTGAGTGGATACTAGCGTACATATTGAAAAGAGTTGACCAGCCGAAGAGGCTAAGACCACTGTATATGGAACTGTGAAAGCGCTTTTAACATAGGTGTAAATAGAACGTAAAAGGGCCGTGTCTATCTCTCGAAGAATTTGCCTTAAAATTATTCTAACCTTCTAAAAGGCTACAAGTATCGGATAGCTATTAATAGGCCTTCGTGCGGTATCCAGAATATAGGAAGGCCCCTTTAAACGGACAAAAGCTGCGATGCTATGTATTAGTACTGATCCAAACACCAAGCCCGCCATGTCGTCGTCCTAACCCGGACAAGAATCGACCCCTAAACCGTTGCAAAATGGCACGAAATTTGAAAATTTGAAAGCCTGGCAGCGTAAAATTATTGTACACATGATACACAAAAATACTGTGATTTAATTTCTAGATTAAATCACTTTCTGGTCGATAATATACTAGACGTAAGAATCTTGAAACCAATATCGCAGCTAGAACGAGCGCCAGAGATTGGATAAAGTGACTAACCTTGATCGGCTAGCACCAAGCTCAGTCGTCTATTTCTGTTGCGGCTGATTAAAAACAAGGGGCTCCAGGGGTTACTATTCCCTAAGACTCGAGCTTCTCTCGAGCTTATCTGCTGAGATCGCCATCCCCCTGCAAGCCTGCTGATCACATCCAACCAACGCATCATGACGGCCAGGCTTTCCCGAAGCCTACCACAGGTCAACCGCCGTGTCTTCGCTGGGTTATCTTCCCGCGCGATACCTCGCGTTGCGAATGTTAATGCCAGTGCCCGTGCTGGCTTGGTGGCACATCGCAATACCTGGAACCTCGCGCCTTGGACCTGCCGCGTAACACAGGCCAATATCGCGCGATATTCCCATACAGATTCTGGCTCATCGGTCCAACCAAACCCTTCTATTTTTGACGTTACCCCTTACAGGGGATCGAGTATCACGGAGAAACATTGGATGAGCCAGGACCTACCAGTTGGTATGGTCCTACTTGTCTCTGCGTCACTGTCACTTCACTAACCAAATCAGTTGCTACCTTGATTGAACCGCAAGCTATCTTGCATTTTATCGAATTCATAATGCATGGTATTCTACCGAACGGGAAGAAGACCAATTTAGCTTTACCCAATTCAGATGAATTCCCACTGTTCATGGCTCCAAGTTCACAATGGGCGCCTGCACCGTTCAACAAGGCCGCTCTCTCAACTGTGCAGAAGGCGATAGAGCAGATCACGGGCCCGGAGGATTTGAGCGGGTTGTGCCACATTGGGCAGAATATTCACTTTCTGAAAAGTTGCCTCTGGGGAGGCCTTGCCCCCGTGCCTGCATCGCGGTGGCGCGAAAAAGATCTCAACCACCCGGACAATTTCACAATCGCCCATGAATACCTGACCTCCGTTATTGCTGTCTTCGAGTACCTAAATATTCCTCAGATCAGGACTAACATGTGCGACACCTTCAACAAAATATCTGGTGACTTCGGAGAAATGCAGGACGCCTTGAATGCACGGCGCAAGGCCCAGGGCAACCTTTCTCCCGAGCTCAACCTTGTTGCTCTTTGGGAACAATTCATTCGCGCGCTGTACGAAGTCATGACCAGCACCGCGCATTCCTGGGTTCTGGCCCGCGTTGCCGAATTACGTGAACGGACATCGGACAGCTTCAGTGCGATCCCGGCTGATAATCCAGAAGGCCCAGAAATGAAAATCTTCTCACAGCGGTGGACCGACCTCATTGCTGTCACTTCAATGGCAGATTTCAATATTTGGATATCCATGGATGGGTACAACGGCTACGATGCGCCCTCCGAGATCATCGCAGGGCTACACAATCCTAACTTAGAGGACCAAGACAAGAACTACGGGTTTTCCAAGCTCCTGTTTGACCGACTCGCAAAATGCATCGAGGCTCAGAACGAGGCTGCAACGGTACAGGGCCCAAGCGCGACGCAGAGTGACGCGGCCCGCCGCGAGCGCCTTTCTATTAGCACAGTAGTACAGAATGAACTGCGTGAAAAGATACGCGGCCGGGTGCCATCGCCGCAGCCACCTGTACAGCCCTGGATCCAGCAACTCCTTCGGGCGCAGGAGGCGAGCTTGGACATGCACCCACGGGAGAGCCACGACTGTGGCTTCGGGTTAGCAATCTACCGCGCAGCGCACAAATTCTCCGATGAGCAGTGGGAAAGGCTACAGCGGGACTTGGAAGCTCACTTGTCGGCATGGAGTGATGACGTCCAGCGCGCAGACGAGCTCAAACCACTGCTCAAACTGCATTGGTTCGACTGCAAGGAACTAGGCATCGACATAACTAACCCTATAACAGCAGCAAGGAGGTTCGACGACCCTAATCTTTCCATTGCAAGAATCACATGAGCAAGGGACTAATGCTGCTCATAGACACTACCAACAAATCCGGTCCTTAGACGAGTGGAACCATAAAATAGCACCGTCTGTTTTCCTTCTCATCGATTACATGGGCGTAAACTCATATCTCGACGACAAATTCTACGCCTCCTTCACAAAGGACAAAAGCTTCCTCAATGGGGACTTTCAAGGCCATGTCCTGGCTGTCGGTGCAGACTTCGATGATAGTGCCACTGCAAACGAAAGTGCAGACAGAATAGCCAATGAAGACCCACAGGATGAAGGCTTTAAATACCCGGGTCACATGCGCATCCTAGGTAACCTAGTCTGGAGCGAGCTCTATCCTATGCTAATGCTGCAGTCTGTGGAACTTGAGGATCTCTGGCGGCAGGCGCGAGAACATCCGATGAAGATATATACGGGGCCGACAGTGCCGAGTCAAGTTGAGCCATGGAAGGAGTGGAATGCCACGAAGACCTTTATGATGGATAGCTTTGTGGAGTTTCTAAAACAGAAGAACCCCACCTTAGCAGGAAAAGTAGAAGGGTTGAGGAAGGAGGGGTCTCTTTAATTTATAGACAACATTTTTATTTTGATATATCAATCATCCCAACCGGAGGCAACGAAATTTTCCAATATGTAGTTTAGTTAATTGCACTACAATCAAGAATGAAAGATAGCAGGGAAAGATCCAAACTGGTCTATTTCAGTGTCTTTTTGACATTTTCGATTGGTATGAGTTCAAAAGGTCGTGGTGTTTCCACATTGACAGTATATAACATGGCATGGCGCTAGCGTCGACGATCTACTAGCTTATCTACTTGCTTGTCTACAGAACCATGGCAGTGCTTCCATAACTAGTGTAATTACAATATAAAGACTAAGCCCGTCCTTCGTGGTGTCCCCTATTTCGTTACTTACATCGAAACCCTTCCCGAGAAGATCATCCCTGAAATTGCCGAGGCTGCAAGCGACTGTTCCTCATCAGAGTGTAAGGTACCAGAAACATCAGGCTCAGCAGAGTCGTCCGTAATGAGATATTCAAGCTCGGGCAACAGAACAATGTCCTCTGGGTAGTCTTCCCCAGATGCTTCATTCCATGCATCAAATTGGACTGTGAGCTCGAACTCCGAATATGCGGGATTCTTGAGTTCTGCTACAACCGAGTCCCACCTTTCCCGGTTGATGTTGACACTCAGGTGACGCTTTGCCCCCTTTCCAATCAGTTTCATCACACAAGGATCGAGCCGCACAGGGGGACATAGGAACATCTGGCGCAGCATTTGACGAAGCTGTCTTTTGGAGGTAAAAAGTCGTATATCATGGCTGGGTTTGCTGAAATACTCGCTCGGCATATCCTTTGCCTTCACCTTCTTCAACTCAGAGATCAAAAAGTCTCTGTCATCGGTGAGAATCTCTTTGTCCCACACAATTTTCATGTCAACTCTGGACAACAGCGGACTTTCATCCAGTCTTTCCGCAACCTGCTTGGCGAGCTGGTCCTGAGTGATCGGTTCGCTCTCGACCCATCGCATAAACGATGGAATGCTGGCCACTGGGACTTCTGCTTTGCGTGTAACTCTACCCAAGGTCGCGAATCTTAACCGCCAGGTGGGTTTGCCTTTTGCAGTGCCCTTTGGGTTGCTCTTGGACGTGCGCTTAGTTTTGCCCTGAAACTGGATGTCATGGAGAAAATGACGGGTCAGCTGCAAGCATCTGTTGATTGATTCCATGCGGGTCTCGTTTTCAAGTGGGCCCAGAGCAGGGAGGACGATGGGCAGGTTTGCAACTTCTTCCGGAACGTCTTTATGGAATATCTTTTTGAATTCAGCCGTCGCCCGGTCAAATTGAATGCGATTCTCTGCAGGATCGTTCGTTCCCATCTCGCGAATAGCTATTTCAAGCTTGAGGAGAGATTTGGCGATGACGCGCTTGGTGGCTGCCTTCTCTCCCTCAAGAGAGTCTTCTTCCTCGTCGGCCTCGTCTCCTTGCTCGCCGGCCTGGGGGTTGAGGATTTCGGCGGCCAGTACTTCCTCATGATTGAGAATCATCTCCATTACCCCATTGAAATGATTTGTTGTGTTCTGGTGAAACGTCACCACGGCATCAAGGACGGGCCATGTCAGCAGAAAGGCTCGCAGCTGGCTGGTGCAGTCAAAGCCGAGATAGCCGGCTAGCCGGGTCTCGGTCAGATTGGTCCGTACAAATGTGCCAAAGTTGCTGGGATCCCCGGGCTGGTCTGGTCCAGAGGATGTCTTGGGAACTTTGGAGGGCTTCTGGTTCCCGTCGCGGCTGGTGGGGCGTTTTTTGCCCGGTGGAGGTGGGTTGGCCTTCATCAAGCGTTAGAGCATGCTCCCTTGGAGAAATCTAGCATGGGATGTGGGCCTGATAGCTTACCTGGCTAGCTTTGCCCGCCTTAGGGATCTTGCTGGCAGTGGAGGCCATTGTTCTTTTGGTCTCAAGAAGGTTCTGCCTCTCAAGTCAGCCAGGTGCCTCGACGAGTTTCAACGGTGTGGTCTGTGGGAAAGTGTGTGTCTCGGGCGGCTTGAAGTGCTGATGGCTTCAAGAAGCTCAACAAAGTGAGCTTCAGTGGGAGGGATCAAGCTGGAGAGGGAGAGAGGGCTCGTAACAGTGTGCATGGATGAATGGGGTTTTCATCAGGAGATGTGCCACAGCGGGATTTCTTGCCTGGTGAGAGTGAGAGGACTCGCAACCGCAGAGAGAAGTGGATTTTGTAGTGGTAATGCAGTGGAAATGAGCTTCTCCGAAATCCTCTGGATCAGATGATTCCAGAAAGCTCAAAAAGGGGAGCTTTGGGGGTAGTAACTAACCTGATAAGCTTTTTGGGTGAAGGATGTGGATGTAAAGTGGCGATATGGAGGAAAAAGAGATGAAATGGGGAAGACAAGTGAGATTTGACTCGTTGCCTACCTGACTCACAGAAGTCGCGATTATGTAGACATCTGATCTGCTAATGGCGAGAAGAAAACTCCAAGGTTTCGAACTGATATTTTGACCCAGGTTACCTCCATAAATCTGTGGACCATCATCTAGACTAAACATTACAATGGGCAACCTTAAACATTACTTTGTGGATGTATCAAATATGAGGAGAAGTCTCACTATTTATCTATGTTACTGTTTCTCGCTACGGAAACATTTGGCCTCGCCCTCGAAGATTTATTTACCGCTCCATAACAATTCGTGAGAGACTGAGCGACGTAACTGCATTTTCTGGCCAAGTTAAAGATAGCAAGAGAAAGCTAAATAGAACAGAAAGGTGCTATAAGGATGTCGGATAGCAATATAAGGTCCGCCTTCGATATTCAGTAAGCAGCTTCTCTTTGAACAGCTCATAGGGCTGAAAAAGCACAACGATCTACAGCCGATAGAACGGTGCTCCCTTTTGGGAATGCACCGCAAACTTGATCGCTCTTTTCATTGTCGTTGATGACAATGGTGGATCCTTTAGAGCAGGGTGGTAACCTCGGATAAGCGACTCGTTCTCTATGGTGACTTCTCTTGTCTCAGAAGCCCGGAACGCAGCCCGCTCGGGATGCCCCCACACTTAGGATGTACTGACTTAGGGGACTAAATAGAACAACGCACGGGCGCCTATACCACTTGCACTAAGTCAACTGGGTTATAGAGTCAAACTCTATGAAAATATTCATCCAAAATCCGATATGGTGTAAGTCGAGGTGACGACGGAAAAGCCACGATTCTGCGTGGTTATATCAGATAAAAACGTGGTGTTTCCATATAGCCAGCCGCAAGGTGTGATGATTTTAGAGCTCGCCGTGTCACAGGACCCCCCGCCTTCTCGGTTAGGGGTCTCAGCCATTCTGCAATCCTCGGCCATTCTACAAGTATCCTACTTCTTCAACTTTACACCTTTTTCTAGCCACCCAAACAAGCCGAAAAAAAATGATTAAAGTACATGTACGTAGCCGGTAGACAGGATGTATCAGAGTTCAGCTAAGCAGGATCATTGCGGCAAGCGCGCGACGTAGGGTGATTCCCACCTGCTCTCAATCGAATTTCCACCCTGTCTTTTGCACACTCGCCCTGCTAACCCCCCCGTCGCGCGACCCTAAAGCTGTGCTCACTCTGATCTCACCTGGGCGATACCCACCTCACTATACCGTGCATAAGCCACGCGTCGCTAAATATTGTTTAATTTATACAGCCTCTATAAGTCCTGCTCATTCTGAAGGAAGTACATACGACCACAGGGGGTGGAGAACAGGGCTTCCCGTCCGCTCAGCCGTACTTAAGCCCATTAGTCTGCACAGTCAATTCTCAATGTGCCCTTCGCACCTAAGCGGCACTTTAGGGTGAGTGTAGGTGAGAGGTGTGAGAACGGGGTGAGAATAGGTGATAATTCTCACCTAGGGGGGACAGCGGCTAGGTCGAAAACATAATTTCGGGCTCTAGGGTCCTTTTTTGCTCTGCTATAATTTACTTGCTTTTGCTTTCAAAACAACAACAACAAAAACAACAAAAACAACAGTTGCGAAGATGTTTACCTAAAAAGACATCCGGACGAGTGTATTGCACGTACCGCATTACGTGGGTTTGCATGTGAATATCAAACCGAGAAGGAAAATGAAGACAATATTATCTGCCATCGCGAGCTAGCGCCTGCTACGCTAGAGAAATACAAGAATGCAGCATTTAATAGGCTCTGTTAGTCTAAATGTTATTTCATATCCTACCTTACGTTCCTAACAATTAGTAGATGGAAGCGTCCTTGTAACGAATCCATAGGTATCAACTTTTCTAAAGAGCCTGATGCGACTGCTCAGCTTCTTAAGCTTTTCGCTGTCCGAATTGCTTCCAACGTGAAGTTCCTGTCATACAAAGCGGTGGCACTTTGGGCATTGAATATTTTTAATCAGGCGCAGTTCGCCCTTAAGAATGAAGTCATTCGCCACTTCCCTATTCCTAGTGCTGAAATTCAAACAAAATTACTCTCTGATCACCGATCAAAGTGCGATTATTTCAAAAGTTGATGGAAAGTAAAGACAAACTAACGAAGTGGCTTTCCGACGTTGACTTGTAATACGCAGGACTCAGCAAAACATATCTCCATGACACATCTAAACGCATTCGTTTTGTTTTTTCAATGACGATGAAGAAGATGATTAGAGATAGGATACCCACGACCAACTAGATTCTGACTAGAGATCAAAATTAAATACGAAGAGACGGCAGGTGCTGTAACCCGTATATGTCCTCATGAAACTTCTATCAATCAATCTGTTTAGCTCCTCCTCATGCTTCTATCTATGTGGTCTGCTTAATTGTCACGTCAGCACATCCTCGTATTGACTGCAGGATACGTCGATCGATGTTAAAGCTCAGAACTTGACCATTTTCGAATCCAATAGCGACTTTATCGCCAAGCACATCATAAGATAACGGATGGAAATCAGACGGTAGCCGAAAGAAGGGAATTCTCTCATAGCATATCCATTGCTCTCTAACGAAGAGGCTTGGGAAAGAGGGAGGATTGCCTTCCTGTCTGTCTGTAGCAATACCTTCATTCCTGATAGGTCCAATGTTTGTTGCAAGATACCAGTTACCCGCCGAATATTTTAGGTCATATACTGGCTCTGATGTTTGAATTTCTTCCCGTAGTTGGACCTTGAAACGGTTCTTGAAATATCGTCGGAGAAATTTTGAGGCATTGAGAGATCTGTAAATGTCCCAAAGCTTGATGGTTTTGTCATCAGAGCCTGATGCGATCTGGGTGCCATCCGGTGAAAAGGCCACAGTCCAGACCGATTTCGAGTGTCCTTTTAGTGTTTTCTGAAGAACACCCGTTGTAGTATCCCAAAGCTTAATGGTTTTATCATCAGAGCCTGACACAATCTGGGTGCCATCTGGTGAAAAGGCCACAGTCCAAACCGATTTCGAGTGTCCTTTTAGTGTCTTCTGGAGATCGCCCGTTGCTGTATCCCAAAGCTTGATAGTTTTGTCATCAGAGCCTGATGCGATCTGGGTGCCATCTGGTGAAAAGACCACAGTCCTGACCGATTTCGAGTGTCCTTTTAGTGTCTTCTGAAGAACACCCGTTGTAGTATCCCAAAGCTTGATAGTTTTATCAACAGAGCCTGATACAATCTGCGCGCCATCTGGTGAAAAAGCTATAATTAAGACCCAGTCCGAGTGTCCCTCTAGTATCTTCTGAAGTTCACCTGTTGCAGTATTCCAAAGCATAATGGTTTCATCCTCAGACTCTGTTTTGTCTCCACAGCATGATGCAATCTGGGTGCTATCTGGTGAGAAGACCACAATGCTAACCCCGCCTAGGTGGCCTTCTATTTTCTTCTGAATATCACCTGTTGCGGTACCCCAAAGCTTGATGGTTTTATCACTAGAGCCTGTTACGATCTGGGTGCCATCTGGTGAATAGGCCATAGTCGTTACTATGTCTGAGTGTCCCTCAAGTGTCTTCTGAAGGTCACCCGTTGTGGTATCCCAAAGCTTGATCGTTTGGTCAATAGAGCATGATGCAATCTGCTTGCTATCTAGTGAAAAAGCCATAGTTGTGACTAGGTTCGAGTGGCCCTTTAATGTCTTCTGGAGGTCGCCCGTGACGGTATGCCAGAGCTTGATGGTTGCATCACCAGAGCCTGATGCGATCTGGGTGCCGTCTGGCGAAAAGACCACAATGTTGACCCGGTCTAGGTGTCCCTGTAGTGTCTTTTGAAGGTCGCCCGTTACGGTATCCCAGAGCTTGATAGTTTTATCAACAGAGCCTGATATAATCCGCGCGCCATCTAGTGAGAAAGCTATAGTCGAAACCCAGTCCGAGTGTCCCTCTAGTGTTTTCTGAAGGTCACCCGTTGCGGTATCCCAAAGCTTGATCGTTTTGTCACTAGAGCCTGATGCGATCTGGGTGCCGTCTGGCGAAAAGACCACAATGTTGACCCGGTCTAGGTGTCCCTGCAGTGTCTTTTGAAGGTCGCCCGTTACGGTATCCCAGAGCTTGATAGTTTTATCAACAGAGCCTGATACAATCCGCGCGCCATCTGGTGAAAAAGCTATAGTCGAAACCCAGTCCGGGTGTCCCTCTAGTGTTTTCTGAAGGTCACCCGTTGCGGTATCCCAAAGCTTGATCGTTTTGTCACTAGAGCCTGATGCAATCTGTGCGCCATCTGGTGAAAAATACAAAGTGCTGAGCCAGTCCGAATGTCCTTCCAGAGTTTTCTGAAGGACGCCTGATGTAGCATTCCAAAGCTTGATGTTTTTGTCCCAGGAGCCTGATGCAATCTGCGTGCCATCTGGTGAAAATGCCACGGTATTGACAGCGTCCGTGTGACCTGCTAAGGTCTGAATCAGAGACCCCCAAGCTTCCTCCACTGGGGCCTTTCTGAGATATCCTGAAATCTTGTCTGAATTCTTCCTCTTCACGATACTTAGTTCAGGACTAAAGATAACCGCTGAGATGTAGATCTGTAATGGCCAATGATCTATAGTATAATAGTGTCGCAACAAAAACCGTGTGGCATCCTGCACCAGTGCTGATGCTGAAGGTTCGCCCTTATAACCTTATCAGCAAAGTCTCTAGATATAAAAAGATATGAAAGACTGACCTCCACTATATTCTGCAATGTTTTGAGCAATCCGATGGCCCACGGCAGCCTATCTAATAGGCTTAGGCATTCTAGCCATTCCAACAACCTTTTATTGAGGAATGTACCGACCACACCCTTCGCAATCAACACGCTCTGTGCTATAACTGTTCGCTTTATATTCTTGAGATGGTGCACCCAGAAAGTAGCTGCATAGTTTACACAAGAAAGTCGGAAACTTCCTTTCTTGTCTTTCTGTGGTTTCGATGGTTCGCTGATTGAGTCAAGTCGCGGTAAATCTAGAAGATTGACCTCAAGCCGATTAGACAAGTAAGATAGACAACACAAGACAATTTCGTTATGTCCAAAGCGTTCATATGAGTCGAGTAAAGACTGTCCATTCTCCCCAGCTAAGTAGTCTCGAGCAGACTGATGAACAAACTCGATGTTATGTTCCTGCATCCTGACAAATGAAGCACAGCGATTGACTAACGCCTGAATAGCGTCAGCTTCGTCAGTTAGACCAGTTACACTCGGAACTTCCTCCATTTTCAAAGGTCGGTATGCTAGCATCATGGCCTTCAGCAGCCGCATACACTTGAAGACATCATCTGGCTCGCCTTCGCTCAGTTGGTTCAATACCCGATCATAAAGAGAATGCAGGCCTGGAGGCAAATTTCGAATTGTGGTCAAGACCTTATCTTGGCCGACACCCTCGAGTCTCTTACAAACCAAGCTCACCCATAGAAACGTACCCTCAGCCTTCGTAGTAAGCTTGGCTTTCACTTCAGTGCTTAAGGTCTTTCTATATCTGTGAAGACGACTGAGCTCATCCACTTTATAGGAGATGTAGGCCTCTACCGCTTCAGAGATATGTTCCGATTTAAGATCGAGACTGACTTGGACCTGATCACGACCAACAAGCAATGCCCGCTCTGCACTGTCTAATGGTCGACTCGTTAAGAGCCATTTGATCTTGGCAGGCTGATCTAGTCCATTACGGACAAGGCGTTTGAAGAAGTCCGCCATACCATTATCTTGGCACTCATCAAGAGCATCCACAATAATAAATATCTTTGAGTAGTGGCACCGGTCCAACATCTCCATGAGAACATTCCATAGATTTCGCCACGAGGTCATGTCCTCATTAAACCGGTTATGCATTGTGTCCCAACGGCTGCGAAGAGATTCCTTTAAGCCGGTTTGCTGATTTATCAATTGCAAAACCAAACCCTTGATGACTGATTCCAGAGTGTTTAGCGCATTATCAGCATTATCGCAAAATGAATAAACCACAAGAGTAGATTCGTGGCGTGTCCGTGAGAGCTCCTCGATAAGACCGATCGACATCATAGTTTTCCCTTTGCCAGCACCGCCCTTGATCCAAAGCAAACAGATATCTGTTCCATCTCGCCAACTCTGATACTCTTGGGTTTGAAGGATCCATTCGAACGATTGAAGGAGAAGCTTGTCTTTAGTCTCTTTCAGCCGATTTTTCACAACCAGTGAGTCGGGGCAGCCTAGGTCACGAAGACAAAGCCGATCGATATCTTCAGCAGTGTAGGCTATGAAGAGCGTCAGTTTGATTTATCAATTCACCAAGACACAATTGCCCTTACCATGGAAGCTTGCTTCGATTGAGCCCTGATTATTTCCAACCTGAATTCCATGGTTGACGCCGATATAAGTAGTCGGTGCCATAACCAGAGTAGCATAGGACGCCGTTCTTCCAGGTAAGGGGATTGCAGGCCATTGAACTGAATGAGGGGGCAGTATCCTTGCAGCTTTATTGTCAGCTGACCTGATCGCGCTAGACCGCTTAAGGTAGAAAGACACCAGTCATAACCCACCCTTTCAGTATTCTACTAAAATTCAGCTCCAAGATAAATTTGCCTCGGTTCTTTTTTTAAAGAAAAAGAATTTCGTAAAATTTACGGCTGAAAATTTCTAAAGGCCTCTGTTACCATCGTTTCCCTCGCATAGGCTTCATTGTGGTCAGTATTGCCTGTCTTACTCATAGCATCTGGATGTTCAACATTTTTAGCATAGCCACCCTATATTCGTAGGCAATCAACGAAGTTGAAATAAGCTCTTGCAACTTACAATACAGTTGCTGAAGCCAGTGGAAATGAAGTAGAAAGGCGCTTCAGAATCACAAGCTGTGTCAAACCTCGTGTTGGAGATTATGCCAAAATACAATGTTTGAAGAATAGTATATTGCTAAGAATATATGAAAGACCTGGGGAAAACCCCCCATATTATAGACGACATAGTTGCGAAGAAGAGATGTAGAATTACCTTAATGGTCCAATGTATATTCGCCCAGAACTGAAGGTCGCGAAGAGGTATGGAAGGGCAATAGTGTTAACCATGTGAACCATACAAACCTAGCAGAAGCACATGCACGGACAAGGCAGTGGGGTCAAAATTAATCAAACATACCACAGTAGCTTGTGGTCGCCATTTGACCTGATAAGCTCAGAACGATAAGTTACTGATTGTCATTTACGTCTTACTTGATGGTTGTGTGCATGTCAAGATGCCGAGCGTTCCAGGGGAAAGGGTATCGGCCAATGCCATCTTCATGTTGGTCAGTGCAGTGGTCGCGCGACTTGGGTAATTCTCACCTGTCTATAGCGTTTAACCCTATACATGTCTTTCTAAGGTATATCTGATACATACGACCACAGGGTGTGGAGAACAAGGCTTCCTGTCCGCTCAGCCGTACTTAAGCCACACGCCGGTAAGTTAGTAGTTAGTAGTTAGGTGGGTGACCACTAGCGAATCCTTACTGTTGTATGTTTTTGCCTCTATTTTTGTTCTTGTACCTTGTGGTCTCTAAAGCCGCCTTGAACACTTCAATGACTCTACCGCCACTGTAAGAAGCAGCTTTAAACCTCACTGCCAACTTGCTTCTTAGTCATTTTTATGGCAGAACAATCTTGACCACACCCTTCAGTTAATCAGAACATGATTTTCGTATAAAGACATGAGTAAAAAGCTTGGATCTTGCTATATTTCCACTCGGTACGATATTCATACGTAAGAAGTAGGGGTCTATGTTGAGACTCATGGCCTCTCCAGGCATCTCCAGGCATGAAATGCCTGCTTTGCCAAGCATGAAGCTCATGATCAGCATTAAACCTACCATATAAAGTATAGTTCAGGAGAAATGCTTCTCATTAAATAGGATCTCTCTCTCATGGAGGAGAGATCAGGCATAAACAACCTCGTTGGCATTGACTATAACTTCCTAGCATCATTCATCGTATACATTTTCAACAGTCTATATATAACCTCACACGGGCACGCACACCGACTGGTGGCGTAATCTTATAATGTCAAATTCTGTTCTAAACTTCATCTAACATCCGATATGGTGTAAATGGCAGTGATGGTGGAATGACCACGGTTTGGCGTGGTCTTAAATCGAAGGATCGTGGTGATTACACCTAGAAATTTTAGCCAACTAGGTATAGCGCTGGCATCGACGCTACTCTTAGTCAGTTAGTGAGTGGATACTAGCGTACACATCGAAAAGAGTTGATCAGCCGAAGAAGCTAAGACCACTATATATGGAACTGTGAAAGCGCTTTTAACATAGGTGTAAATAGAACGTAAGTGTTTGCACAGGAGCTCGAACAAAGAAAGAGTCTTTCGTGATCCTGGCCCCTGATTTAGTTGAAGAAAAATAAGAGAATATTTGAGCCCACGATGAAATGTTCGTGTGGATTTGTTATTATTCAGTAGTTATCTCAGGGGAGACAAAATGCCAATTGTAGTATCTACGGTAGAAATAATCTGGCGCTGATCAACCTCTTGTTACGGACTCACCCGAACTTTAGAGTCCCGCCTGACGTGAAGGTCACGAGCAAGGCACGGAACCATCCATGTCCTACCCGCGGGCAGACTAAGCAATAGTAAGGCGCCCGGGCCCCGGGGGACCGGGGGACCGCCTGTCCCTAGTACAATATATGTTGTATAACTAGACCTCATAACCGCCCGCGAGCCGCCCTCCGAGGGCCGACAAACATGACAAACATAGAAAATCTCATTATTGCATAAAATATGCAAATTTTAGCTGTATTATTGAGTATTTGAGTTACAGCTTAGGACTTTAAGGAGTCACTAAATTAGTAGCAGGACTATTTTGATAAAATTCATATAATAAATTAAATCTGATTTAGATTCATTTTCAGGATCTATACTACATATAACATATCTATAGAATTTTAACTTTATATCTATCAAGAAGCCTTGAACGCTTCCGAACCCTCCCTAAATGCCGACTCTGCGTATTAGGTAAATTAGGCTTATCCTCCTCTTCATGCTCTCCTTCTTCTGGCTCCGATAAAGCGCGCTGTCGCCGGTTCGATTAGGCCCTGTCAGCTAGGGGTTGAACAGCATTGAGGACCACTAAAGCATTATCCTTATTGACCTTATTATCACCCTCGTTATCATCACTAATAGGTTCAAGACCAGTCACCATCCAGCAACTGCTCAATTTTCTTTCCTTCTCCAATGTCCTTATAGACGTCTTCAATTGTCCAGGGTACAAACTTATGTCCTGGGGGGAAGTTGGTATTCTCAAACTTAGCACCAGTGACAAGATGCGCAAAAGCCTGCCCATATTTCTCATACACATAGGCTTCGGGGTCATGTTTGAATACCCACTTGGGAAAACGCAGGCGCACCGTCTTCGGATCCTTCATGATGACATCCCAATCACTAGTGGCGTTCAAGAGCTGTGAGTTTACAAAGGCCATCTTTTGCGTGCAGCTGACACGTTGGTATCGTAAAAGATTGTAAACTTTCGCTCCAAGAGGTGCACCACTGGGACCCCCATGAGATGCTAACTGCAAGCTTGATGCCAGAGTTATTGTGTCCTCGAGAGCTAGAGTCCCACCGCTGACTGATGCTGGAATCGTGGAATGTGCGCAGTCTCCCACCTGCACGACTCGCCCCCCTTTAGACGTCCACTCCGGACGCAGATTGCGCCATAGAAGTGGCCAGTGGATCAAGCTTCCCCTAGGGGTAGCACGTATCAGTGCCTCAACTGCCGGATGCCAGCCAGGCAAGCGACGGAGTAACTGAATTACCTCTTCAGGGTCGACGTCCGGATCCCACGACTCCTTGGCCTTGGCACTCCCCTCCACCAAGAACTCGTCTCGTGGAGTGATCCCGAAGGCCACTAGATCTGGTGATACGTACAATCCGATATGCATGCCAGCTCCAAGCCAGAACTCATTTGCCGAGACGCCTTCCCACCGCTTCCGGACTTCTTCATCTTGCATGGCAAGGTGGCCTGGGAAGGATACACGGTAGACGGACATACCGCTTGACCGGGTGGGCATGTGTTTTCCAGCGATTAGAAGTTCGGATCGAGACTTGAAGGCATCAGCTGCAACAACTATATCGGCTACTCGAACTGAGCCATCTTCTATCACAACTCCGCCCACCCCAGCCTTTTCATCCTCGAAGTATTGATCAACACGTTGCCCGTAGTCAACTTTGATGCCTATCTTAGCCACCTGACGCAACAGCATTCTGTAGAACTTCTTTCGGATCTGTACAGGTCCCACATACGGGAAGTTCTCTCGCTCCGCTAAGTGCTCGGGATCATTGTAGCTGGGTTCTGAAGGTCCGTAAATGAGCTCACTGGTGTGCCTATAATAATAGGTTGGGGCTGTAACTTTGTCTTCTTCGAGCTCACGAAGCATGTCGGGCCAGTGACGGAAGACGGCGATCGCTGAGGGTTGGATAATAATAAGATCTCCTATAAATTAGGTATCATTAGAAGCTGCTGTTGTCTCTGCCTTTTACTTTCCTCGAGGCGAGCATGCAAATCAGGACATGACGAACCGCTGTAATTAGGGCCATCGTTCCGCTCTAGAATCCCCACGACATTATGCCCTTTTCTCCAGCACTCCAACGCCGTCATCAGGCCAGCGAACCCGGCTCCAACAATCAGCACTTTGACATGCGTCTCTGGGTCACGTTTTGGCAGCTCATTCGGAGTACTGGACGTCCAATTCTCTGGGTCAAATTCATCTTTGTCACCCACCGTGTAGAACTTTTGCGCTGCTGGTGCAGTTGCTTCCCCCATCCTGTGGCCTACCTAGAAAGTCAAGCTGAAGCCTAGAAGTAGAATTGTGATTCAGATCAGGTATTTACAAAGCTAGCATGCACCCATTGTTATATTTGAATAGTAGAAAACGCTCTTTAGCAATCTCCTGTTCGGCTTGCCAATATCGGGTATCGGGCTTCGGAAGACAATCGAATCGGCCATTTTTATGATGCCTCGGATGAAATGAGAACAACATAAAATTCGGTGTTTTAATTTTCTAATTAGCATTTACGTGTCTATTTGCCCGATGATATACTCCGATACCCCGTTCCGATTCTACAGTCTGCCAAGGACTCATATCGGACTATTCAATTCAATGAGCTTAGCTTCCATCATCAAGGCATTTCGGTGCGATGACTTGAGTTGTAGCTCTTAGGCATTTCAAGAGATTATGTGATACTTAGTCCATTAATAAATATAAGTAGTACTGACACTTTATACTTAAACATACATCCCACTTCTTGATTTTTTTTATCTTGTTTAAATTCATCACTTGGAACCTTGCCGATTCCGGCGGAGTATCGTTTAATCTGTCCCAACAACTCGGCACCACCACCACCAATCCGATGGCACCAGACACTCTTTCTCTTGCTGGCAAGGTTGCCATTATCACGGGTTCCGGCCGTGAAAATGGCATAGGAGGCAGGATTGCTAAGACGCTTGCCCTCAATGGTGCTGCTGTTACCATAAACTATGTTTCTGAGAAATCAATTTCTCGTGCAGAAGAAGTTGCTCAATCGATCCGTGATCTGGGTGCTCGGGTTGCTATCATAAGAGGTAGCATTGAAACTCAGGAAGGGGCCTCCAAGATTGTGTCTGATACAATGGAGGCTTTTGGTGTCGACCATATCGATATCCTAGGTACGTAGCTATTTGCATGAGCACTCGAAAAAAAAAAACAGAGACGTTATGTTATGATTTCTTCTGCTAATATGTATGTATATATAGTGAACAATGCCGGGGTTGGGAGCGTCCATTTTCTGACTGAAATGACTCCAGAGCATCTCCAGAACCATTTCGGCATTAATGTGTTTGGGACTCTCTATATGACGCAGGCAGTTGTTACTTTGGGAAAGATGCCTCGTGGTGGTCGGATCATCAATGTTGGATCGTGTGCGTCAAAGATGGGCGTAGGAGATGGTATGGGCGTGTACGGCGCGACAAAAGCAGCAACAGATTACCTTGCTGCATCATGGGCCTGGGAGGTAAGTTCATTGCAGCAGAAGACTTCTCCCTTTTGTTGGTTATATTGGTCGCACTGACCGGATTACTATACATAGCTCGGACGCAGCCGCGGGATCACCATCAACAGTATTGGACCTGGTCCTGTTGATACTGATATAATTGGCGACGGTGTTGCGCATGTGACAGACCCGTCAATTCATAAAGATCTATTCATCACTCCATTTGTCAATCTTACCAGGGCTGAAGAGCGTGTGGGCACGACTGATGACGTTGCTGATGCCGTCCTTCTACTCGTCAACGAGAAGAGCCGTTGGATCACCGGTCAATTCATCTCAGTGAGCGGAGGTATCAACGTCATGTAGAAGGGTAGCGGGGATGCCATGGGGACATACAAATCATCGGGTACATGTACACCTCCATTTACATATGGGATAGAACAGCTTTTAACTACCTTCTACCTTTTTGACCGATGTATTTCCTTTAAACATGCACTCCATGAATTTATGATTCAATATCACATGTACCATGACACTAAATCTTGTTCATCCCTGTTCTTATACAACACTAAATTATAGCATGCAATAACTGTCCGCTATAGTAGCCACAAACCACTTAAATCAAATATTGCCCTCGAGGACTAGGATGGAGTGCTGCGCTGCATATAGGTGTATATAGAACATCACTGGAATGCTACATAAGTAGACCATATATTATCCCATTAGAGAGAGAGATTGGTATACAGAGCTCTACAGATATATATCGCAGTACTTACCTTAGTCAATAAGTATTGAAATAGGTATACATTGGTCACTTATTATGATCCGCGACTGTACTGTAACCTGTACAATACCCTGAAACAGTGTGATCTTATCTCGTCGCGACCCTTAAATACTTGAAGACTTAGTTTGGCATTCCACCATAATTCAGCCGTTCTTAGACAAAAGAGGGGCAGTATATTGTGCTAGTAATATTTTCATTCCACCGAAAGGGCTTTGGGGAAATTATACTAATCAATTGATGTTGTTAAGCTAATATTGAAAACAATAGTGCCCGCACAAACCATAAGAAAAAAATATTCTACTACATATTATTACACACAGGTAAGTCCAAACAAAAAAAAAAGGATGCGAAGTCTAGAGCAACTAAGCCCATCCCCAGACACAAACCCGAAGCACCTCAAACACAGATCTAAATATGCCACATAAAGTAGAAAGACCTTGACAAGACCAAGAAGATTACACAGCCGCACCGATGGGTGCATTCTCAGAGCCTTTTGCTGCCACATGGGCGTCAATTTTCTTAAAGTTGTTCAAGGGGCTGAAACAGAAAGCGATTCCCGCTGCAGCGATCGAAATGGCGTAAGCGACATTGAGACCGGTCATGTAAGCAGGCAAAATAGCAGTAATCTGCTCAGCTGTAAAGACGTCTCGCAGCTCGCTCGCACCAGTCGAGACCACTAAGGCTGAGTTGATGCTCGGTGCGGTTGCGGCAAGTTTGATGATAATCTGGTTGACGAAGGCAGCTTGTGCTGCAGCCACGAAAACCGCACCCCCGACAGTTTGGAAGACTGAGAGATGAGGTGTGTTAGCAGGTTTTTATCGGATAATCAAGAAGTAGTAGGAAAACTACTCACAGACGATAATACCCGTCACGGATGCAATATCACTGGGAGCAACTGCACCATGCACTGCATTGATAGGAACCTGGTAGGCCAATCCCCATCCAGCTCCGCCGACGATTTGGTATCCAATCCACTTGCCTGTGCTTGTACCGATGTCCAGCGAGTACAACAGCCCCGAACCGATGGTTGCAAGGACTCCACCGACAACCATAAGAGGAGCAGTATGACCAGTTTTGGTGATGCTGCCACCAGAGACAATGATAGCCAACGACATCGAGACAATCAAAGGAAGGTTTCGTACACCAGACATAGTAGGGCTGACGTTTTGAACGCTCTGGAAGTAGTAAGGAAGGTAATAGACTATGATAAAATACGAACCTGCGAAAAGAAACGCGTAGATTGAATTCACAAGGATGAGACGGTTCGACATCAAGCGCGGTGGAAAGGCAGCCCGTTCTCCTTGGAACCATTCCCACACCACAAATGCAATAATCATGAGAGGGAAGCCGACAAGAAGACCGATCACAGTACTGGAGTTCCACGCCTTCGTCTGTCCACCAAACTGCAGTGGCAAGATATATGAAATGATGGTACAGATTAGAAGGATCGTCCCGATAGGATCTATCTGTAGGAGCTTCTCCTTGAATGTAGCCTGGGTTATCGAAACTTTGTCAGGTGTATGGAAGAAGAAAACAATAGAAGCGGCTGCGACACCTCCAACGGGCAAATTGATGTAAAAGCCTAGATGAAGAAAAAGAAAAAGTCAGCGAAGTCCAGCGTCCAGTGAAGAACAACTACTTTAGTTGATCAAGTGAGTAGCAGAAGTACTCACACCACCTCCAAGTTACTTTATCAGCGAATGCACCACCAATGAGGGGGCCAACGACCGACGCTATACCGTAAGAGATGCCAATGATACCGGTGAAGAGTGGCCTCCTTTTGGGACTGGCAATGAAAGCGATGATAATGAAGACTCCACTCCCAATACCAGCTGCACCGATTCCAGCAATTGCACGACCGACAATCAGTGCCACGGAATTTGGAGCCACACCACAAATCAAGCTTCCAATCTCGAAAATGAAAACCGCAAGCAGGAACGAGATTTTCAGCGGGAAAAATTTGTATACCTTTCCCCAGGTTGACTGGAAGCCTCCAGTAGTCATTAAGAAAGCCGAACCATACCAACTGGCATCATCGAGGCTGTGGAACTGATCGGTGATTTTTGGAATAGCCGTCGCTACAATCGTCTATTTATTTAACGTTAACATTAGATGATTATGGGAATTTGAAGAGAGGCTCCTCTCCTCACTGAGGGATTGTGAGACATACCATGTCGAGGGCAACCAAAAAGATGCTCATACCAAGAGCCACGACAATGATGAGTAGCTTGAGACCATGAGGATACTGTGCTTCGTTGTCCAGGTCCGGTTCTTCAGCGTCTACCTTTTCCGGTAGGTAAGAAGTCTCTTGGTCATTTGGAGCATTGTGATTCTTGCTCTCTAAATCGTCCGCAGAAGGAGCGTTGGTTATTGATGACTGCACGCTCGATTCTGCGTTCTGCCGCTCCTTTTCCACGTCGAATGATGAAACCATTTCCGCCAATAGTAATGGAATGTTACCGGTCGATAATTGCAGAGGAATAATGTACTGACACGACAGGACAATTGAAATAAATAATAATAGCTTCACATGGAGACCAGGCTTTTTAGAACTTGTTTAATAATTTTGAAAAGCATGTATTACAAATATCGGCCGAATTTGAGCCTGCCCCCGGCGGAGCTTCTTCCAGACGTTTGTCCGGACGGAGGAACGAGTAAGTAAACAGTCACTGGCCCGCCGCAGCACGTTTCGACCGCCGTACGGTGGGACTCGGGATACGGAGGCCCCAAGCGGCAAGTAATCCTCCGTACTCGGGACATATCTTATGGGATGTAGGATTCAGGTCCGTATAGTGTCTAAAGTGTCTGATTTCTGACTCGGTATGAAGTTGTTACCTACGTAACTACTGACTAGTAGTAGTTACCCTTTGTGAACATTGACACCTCCTCCCGTATTACTGCTTCCTGAATAACTGAGTATCAGAAACCCTCCGGAACAAAATCATTCACCTGCGCCGACTTGAACAAAGGTCCCACAATCTTCCCAAACTCCGCATGTGCCGCATCTTTTCTCAGATAATAATCTCTATCCTCCTCGTTGTCAAATTGCGTAACATAAACATGAGTGAACCCTCCCTATAACTTCCCAAATGAACCTGATATCACCAAGTCTTATGGATACGTTACTTACTGTTTTGTTTTCAACACTGATGTCTTTGCCTGCCATTTGGTTGGTGATATATGGTGTTTTGGACTCTGCGCGTACACATTGATCCTTGAGGGCTCGGAAGCGACGGTTTACCTAAATTCCAAAGATTTACCATCTGCTTTCAAAAAATACTCAACTTGCTCGTAACAAGACTTACGCCTTCCACCTGTTCCGCCGTCACCTCTTCTTTAAACGAGATCATCACAATATGGACAAGGCCCATTTTGAAGCTAGCGAACAGATTTTGTTAGGGAAGGGTAGTATAGCTAGATCACTACATTAGCCATGTGCTAAACGGCTATTTGTAGTTTAACTGTTGGAGATATACCCCGAGATCATCCTCCTTGGCCCCGAATTGCCCGAACCGCGGATGCTATTTCTAAGTTGCCAGTCATTCTTTGCACTATGTCCAAATGGGAATCCTTATCCGTTTCATATTTGACGCTAAATGTAAGATGTAATATTAATGTAAATACAGAGGGGCTTTTGTCCGCCGCATGTTGCATTTCGCGGCGGTCGAATGGCATCCGCTGAGTCAGCTGCCCCCAAGAATTCCCCCGCCGACGGTCCGATCGCTCTGTTCACCTTCCATCATCTTTTACGCCCTCCGCAGCCAAAACACCGTGACGGACCGACTAACTGACTCTATGCATAGACACGGATATGGACTACGAGATCATTGCCGAATCAGAGGCGAAGCGGAGGAAGATCCGCAAAGGGACTAAGAGTTGCTGGGAGTGCAAAAAGCGCAAGATGAAATGTGTGTATGCAGACCCCAGCTCTCCAGCCGATGCCGAAGCCATCTGCATTGGCTGCCAGCGGCGAGGGTCCAAATGCGTGAGCCAGGAGTTTGAGTTTGTTGATGGAAGAGAGAACGCAGGATATCTCGAGAGGAAGGGACGACACCACACGAGCGGTAAAGATAAAGATCGTGTTGCGAGGGTTGAGGCCTTGGTTGAGCAACTGATCACGAAAGTGGACCGTCATGGGGGAGTAGGAGTATCTGCAACTAGCGGATACCCGACACCTAGTCATGGAATCCCTACTCCAGATGTTGCATCAATAGACCAAGAATCTTCACGTATCTTGTCTTTATGCAAGCCTTTGGATGTAAGTATATATTTTTTGAGGTCCAGTGTATGGTGAACTGTCACTTATTTTATCAGGATCATGGCCCGGCTGAAGCTGGGGGGAGATATGAAAAGCTATCTCAAAGATTGCACGAGTCCTTGCCCTCACGACAAGTTATCGCGATGATATACAATGCCCGCGGTAGAATAGCCATACTTTTTCATGAGATGCTAAATGCTCCATATGCTGTCCTCAAGCAGAACGGCCTCAAGTCGCCAGACAGGTTACTCGAAATACCTAGTCCGAGTTCGCATCCAGTGCTGATCGCAAGACATATGCTTTACATTGCCACTTTCCTGCAGCATGTTCACCCTAATTCTCTTGGGGCGATAAACGGTTTGCCGGAATCACTCCCCGCCCTGATGGAACGATTAGCAGGAACTGTTATTAATTTGGTCACGACAAACGACGAGTTTTTTGGCAGCATTGAAGGACTGGAGTGTGTTATGATGGAAAGCATGTACTACCATAATGGTGGAAATCTACGACGAAGCTGGATAGCGAACCGGAGGGCTATGGCTATTGCGCAAATGATGAACCTCCACCAAAGTCAAAGCCGAGCAAAGTACAAGGTTCTTGACCACAAGACGAAAGCTCATCCACAGTTCATGTGGTTTCGAATTGTCTCCCTCGACCGTAATTTGTGTCTTATGCTGGGTCTTACGCAAGGCTCCTTTGATCGGAGCATGGCCACTGGCACAGCATTCAGAGATGACATCCCTATGGGCCGCCTCGAGCGGATGCACTGTACTCTCGCGTCTCGCATATTGGAGCGCAACGAGTCTGATCCTTGCGCTAATGACTATGCCCTGACACAAAACCTCGACTTGGAGCTACAGAAAGCGGCTAGAAGCATGCCTAGCAAATGGTGGCTTATGCCAAACCTAGACAGTGTCACGGATGATCCGCAGGCTCTCTTTTTGGATATGGGACGGCTGTTCAACCAGTTGTATCATTATAACTTGCTCATTCAGCTCCATCTGCCTTACATGCTTCGTTCATCACCTGAACGGAAGTACGAATATTCCAGAATGACCTACGTGAATGCCTCAAGGGAGGTTCTCTTGCGATTTATCATGTTTCGTGGCTACAACAGGAATAATTTCTGCTGTCGGACAGTTGACTTTTTTGCACTCATGGCCGCCATTACACTACTTCTGGCGCATCTCGACGGCCACCGTTTTTCACAGACCAGCAACCTCTTAGCGCACCAATACCTTAGTGATCGTGCCATGATAGAGCAGGCGCAGGTAAACATGGAAAAAATCAGTCGTGTTAACGGAGATACTTTAAGTGCCCAAAGTGCGGACTTATTGCATAAGTTGCTGGCCATCGATTCCGAAACAGCAGATGGCGTCAGTACGGAGAGCGTCAGCGTTCAGACACCAGAAAGTGCAGTGTTGCAGTCAAGCGAAAACGACAACGGCGTTGTTCTGGTGCAAATACCTTACTTTGGCATCGTCAGGATTGCCCGTCAGGGCGTTGTTTCCAGGGAAATGGCCAACGCACAACCTCCTTTAAGTAATGGCCAACCCTACGCTCCGGTGATTGGTATGCATAACACCGAGAGCTCGGAAGCTGCAGTGCGTGATCTTGGCTCTAGTCGCTCCGATGGAAATGTATTTCCTAGGTCAATGACCGAAGCGGGTTACAACTCTGTCGGTAGTGTTAATGGTCCGCCTGCGCAGCTCACATCGCGATATCAGGATACCGTTTCTGATAGCCTCCTGCAGAACTATCAGGATCCTGGGCTAACTGCCGGGGTGGACGACTGGGCATTCCAGGGTGTCGATATGGCTTTCTTTGACAGCATAATGAGAGGCCTCGATGACGGAAATAGTTCAGAAACCTGGGATAATGGCCCATAATCTTTAAAATATAATAGTTTCCTATTGATTCTAAGTGGTTTGCGTCCCAGCCAGTCAATTTACTTGATAGACAGTTTGTTCAACAATTCATCTGCGAATTCAATGATGGTGCATGGAATCCTTAACATGTATCTTAAAATCGAAATCCGGCGCCTGGCACTTCCTAGCCCAGTCTTGGATAGCATTGAAGTCTTGACAAGTACGAAGCACTTGGTTGATAGAGAGGATAAGCTACTGTTCTTTATTCCATAGCCTAGTCTCACACCATCACGCCTCCTTTGTCATTCTGCTCGTTGTAATTGGAAAGCCCATTTCAACTTTGCTACGGTATCTATTTTGCATTGGAAGCGATTTTTGCTCAAATCTACGAAGTGAATTCAATGGGTACAACGGACTTCAACTGCGGGCTTTCGGAACGCTCCGTACTTTTCCTTGTATGAAGGATTAGTGCTTATCTACCCATTCCTTTAAGAAAAAACCGTGAAGTGGCACAGGTAAGAGGTAGGCGAGAGCTTGAAATGACTAAAGCCTGTATATAATCCCTTCGAAGAATATCAGACGTATAAGATGTAGCTTGAGACAATGTTCGCTTAAGAGAACATGCACTAGATCAGTCCAGCGTTGAAGATTCCTCCTCAACGGCCAAAGCTGATTCACTGAAGATTTTCTCCATCTAGTTGAAACCACGCATGGTCGGCGAGCAGACCATAAGTTCATCATCACTCATCTGACATAGTTCTGTATAGTTGCCTTTTGGTTCGTTTCTCTAACTCCATCGTTCGACCCTCGTCGATCAGTGAGTCGATGTTCAGCTGCTTTAAAGAGACTTGAAATGCCTTATTCCGAGTTAATCTCTTTTCATGCAACAAAAGCCTCGGGATTTCGGGATGAAGATTAATACTTAGTGCATAGATGCCTGTTTTTGCCAGCAGACTAAGCAATTGTTTGTCTAAGGGCCTCCATAAAAGATAATTCCTTTGCTGATTAAAATACAGCAGATTGTTCTTCCTAAGATACATATTCCAGACTTCGAAAAGAGAAGTTCGGACTATTTTGACCTGCAGCTATACAAACAGTAGCTCGGCAGATGCCCTTTTTTCTGTGGATGAGATACTCCAAGTTTTCTAGACCTACTTAGATACGTTCCCGAGCTCTTCAACTAGTTTTAATATTCCTCTTTCTCGCCTAGTTATGCTACTGTAGAATCACTTCAAGTCTAAGAGTCAAGGAGCCTAGTGGCTTCTAGAGCATCTGTTAATATAAGGGTTGTCCAGAGTGCCTGTATAGCTCAGTTTCCTTGGTTACTGATCGGGAGTTTGTTTTGACTTTTACTTACTTTTGGATGTGCTTTTTGGGATTATAGATAGTCTGGCGCGAAACCTTCAGGTCTTTGGCAATTCGGGTAGGCTTTTCACCAAGTTCAAGGGTATAAATAATAGCAGCACGCGTGGTTTCTGGAATCTCAGCTGCACGCGGTCGATTACAACTAATTTCGGTGCCGGAAGACCTCATAGTGCTGGAGATATGGAGGTAGAGGAATATATTTCAGATATGTAAACACAATTTTGACCCCCTATGTATTCTGGAGGACCGCATGTCTGCGCATTGTCTGCGCCCAGTGCGACCACTACCAAGCCAATTGAGCTCTGCCTGCCAGTTGTTCCATCACCAAAGGGCCGTCCAACTCATCCTCTACACCACTCGATCATGAAGCATATAAGACTTGAAGCGACAAAGGCACACTCGACGACAGGAGACGAAGGGGCGTATATGTCCGGAAATGCAAACGGCTGCATAAAGGCCGGTGCATCTCGAGGGGAACGAGGTCGCCTGGCGGTTTTCTGAGGTTCGGAGGTTGTTCCGGAATCTCAACATGGCCACAGGTGAGACCTTGCAGTCATTGCGCAAGGACGTATTGTCACCGTATTCGTTTCGTAAACACTCGCAAATTCAGCAATCACTGGCCGACACGGATCGCGGTTAAGACAGTCCGGCTAATTGAGCATGGCCCTAGTGTTCCCGCTATACCTAATTAGAATTAGGAGGCGCCTACCAACACATCGAGATAGCCTTTTAAGGTGATTGGCCGAAGAGTCCTAACAGAAGTATAGAGCGCTTCTATCATAGGTGCAGATGGAACGTTCATAAAAGGGCCGAGACTGCCTTCTAGGAATTTTGTCTTTCAATCATTCTCTCATTAAAAAATCGAGAAGGACTAGGATGGCGACCGATTGGAATGCCTTTGTTCAAGAGACGGACCCTAAATGTGAGGACGGTATGTCCTAAGCGTAGGTAATTCGGGCAATAGAGTCTCCCATAACAGTGTGTGTTATATTTGGGTCTAAATCTAATCGCTGGTCTCTCCTAGAAGACCAGCATTCACATTAAATACATCGTGCGCCTACTAACTAGCTAAGCGAGGATGTGAGAGATCTACTGCGGCACAGTGTGACGATCTCGAGTCACCCTGTGAGCTCCAAGGCCTCACAGTGTGAGCCTGAGGCATGACAGGATCGTGGTCCTGACAGTTAGTGTGGAGTATTATTATTATACTAGCGTTGATATACTCTTTAAACGGCGGCATTAAAATGGCTAAGCAGACTTTTTCGCGCTCCTCTAGTATATAGACAAAGAACTTAAAGACGCCCTTATTTAGGAAAATGTATATATATGTGCTAGGACTCGGCCCTATAAAGTCTAAAGGTTACCTCTGATTTCTAGCACAACTAGTTCCTTGGACTTAAGACTTTAGTATTGCCGCCTTTAGCTCTGTGGCACTAATAATGAAGGGTGCCCTAGCGCTCTAGGCTACAATACTCAAATAATACCCTGGCGAATACTTATAAATACGTTTCCGCTGCGTCTATAGCTTAAGGTAGTGCGTAATCTAGCTCCTTATTTATATCCCTATTTTCTACCTTATTCTACCTTTACCAAAATGTCTAAAGTGCTCAAGCTATTTGAAGAAGCCATCTTCAAAAAAGGGCTCTACAAAGAGCTGTTTCAGAAGCAAACTCCAGGAAAGCGGATTGCACCTCTCCCGGCTAAAGATAACGATTCGAAGCTTCAAATGCGTCTGGATGCTGGCGAGTCCCGAGATGGTATGAAGAATGTCTATTTGCAAGTAAATCTCTGAGCATCCTGCTTCTTCCTCCCTTAATAGCTCTAAACTATCCGCTCAATTGATCAACTTGGAGAATTGAGCATTCCCCCGTGATCAAATCATCCGTCAAATATGCGCCTCCAGATCCCGCAAATTAGTCTATTGAACCTGTGTTGACCTTCAATCAATCTCTTCTGTATATTGCTACCATTGCTGAAGCCCAGGGGCCGATTGCCAATCCAACTCCTCGCAGTCAATGGATCAGACGACATTGATCATAGTATGCCGCCCAGATACTTTCGTGTATAGCAAATACAGTCATGCAAGCAAGAATCTCACACAATGCGTGCGTACAATTGGCCTAAGTCTATGATCATACGGTAACTGGAGCTTAACTTGACAATGAAGACAAAATTCAATAAACTTGCATGTAACATCTGACATAGTACGCCTTTATTGTACCTGCAGCAATCCCTTGGTTCATATTTTTCTACTAAGCCAGCCAGAATGGAGCAAGATGGCGGATCATACTTCACACTGTATCCCGCTGTGGCTTTCTCCATATTCACCACGTCCAGCCGTTGACATCCTCGATCCAATCCGCCGTTTCGGGTGGTGTTCCTTCCCAGTCGAATCGGCTATCGGAGGGTTGGATGAGTCCGTATTGGAAGTAGTTAACATCACCCCACTGTTGAGGTTTATCAAACGGGGATGCGAGTTTGAATCCGCAGATGTGCCTAGAGATAGTTGAATTATCATAGTCCACATGGATAATTTCGCATAGACACACATTTGACCACTGGACTTGTCATGAATAATCTTCGATGGACCAGCCATACATGGCATGTACCCGCACAGCAAAAATGTTCTGCTCTTTATTAGCTCAATGTTTTACTTTGGTCACTAGATAATTATACGTATATACTTGGCGAAATTTATCGCGGATGGCCTGGCGATCGGCAAAGGGGAGCCTCCAGAACTCGGTCAAATCAAGAGACTCGCCGGGGACTTTTTCCCATAGAATGTACGTAATGTATCCCCCAGGAACACCTTCGTCGTGGTCTTGCTGGCGCTGTTGATAGCCCAGCAGTCGAGGAACAACGTCACAGTCCAGCTTTGTGAATGTCCGGAAAGCGATCAGTTCTGGGTGGTCAGGAGGGGTGTCGACGGCCTGGCTAGCCCGTATGGTGGCTTTCTTCGTTTCAGTTCCAGCTATAGGAACCTGTTGGTAAATGCGCAAAAATGCGCGCCTGTTGTCGTCTTCCTCACTGGCAGGTCGGCATAGGAATTTCCCGGAGGTGTCTGAGGGCCCGAGCTCCGCGACGATGTCTTCCTTTGTCAGGCGATTCGGGTCTTCGTCGAGCTTCTCAAGTATTATCCATGTCTGGGCAGGGAAGTTGAACGGTGGTTCCGCAACGGCATCGAACGTGACCTGTGTTCCTTCAAGATCGGTGAGATATTCGATCGATGAATCCATGGCAGGTAGCTTGGAGGTGGGGACAAAGGGTAAGAAAGATGTGAGGGCAGAAGAGTGACTTGATAGTGATCGCATGTTGACCAAGAAAGTTTTATTTTCCGGTTCTGCGGCGAAACTTCTCTCCCACGTCAACTCTTTTTCTTTCAGCTGTGTGTACTGTTTGCTTAACAGTTTCCAGTGTCTCGTTCGAGCCCTCCGCCTTCTACTGTAACGTCCTCGACCACGGACTTTTTCAAACAACCTCCCATGGAAGCCAGCTTTATGCCTTCTCGACTGCTCCTCCGGCCACCAAGCAGCCCAGTATGACAAATGACCGTTGTTTGTGAAGGAGCTCGTACTGAAAAAGGTGTTTGTGGATGAAAGACTTGATTTCTGTTCTGTTTCTCTAGTGAAGGACTGGTGCGAAACAAGTGGCTTTATACCTCACGCCCGATCAATTATGCCTTGTGCTAGTTCTCCAACTTAGACAGCAAAAAATCGCAAGGCACAGTTTGATTCAAACAAGCCCCCCAAGGCCCCTCTGCCAGTCTTTTCCATGCGCAATGCATCAAATATGGACTGCCGCATAGTCTGCCCATTCATATAGTCCAGTGAGCATATCGAAAGATGCCGTTCCTATTCTTGGAAGCCATAGGTCTGCATTTCTTTTGTGCCTGGAGGTTCCCTCGCTGGGTTGCTCATATCCTGCTTGCCAATCGTTCTGTGACCTGAGAGATAAGACGAAACGTGTAGGATGATCTAGCACGTTTCTTCTGGCTATTTTTGGTGCGCATGACGCTGTTGCCGGGAAGAAGTCCTGTTGTCCCGTCTGTCTATCTCGCCCTGTGTGCCAACCGATCGTGAGGCGATGAATATTGCGGTACGGCGTTGCCGTCGGTTTCAACTAACACAGGACCGAGCCCGGGGCGGAACTAAGTTTAGACAATCTTGCTCACTCGGGTAATTGTATATTCGGCTTGAAAATCAAATTCATCCGCTCTCGTCAAGTCCAGATCCTCTCGGAACTACACTATAATACGCGCCTTTTCAACTCTTGCCAGCGTACTTGCCCTCGCCGTCTTGACATTCCCAGGTTTCTTGCAGAGCTGGAGTGGCGGCATCACGATCTTGAGTTGCTCCTGAATGTCTATCGACTGACTTGTATCTAGAATATGCCTCCTGCATGGAGACATCAGACTGCTGCAGTAATTTGGCCTGTCTCGAAGATGTCTATTCAACGGGTCGGAGGATATGTGTATTGCCTGTTTGATGAATGACAACCCCGGCCTTGGGGAATCTCATGCGTCTTGGGTACCGAACGATCATCCAAGTAGATGAAAACAGACCAGATGGACCCATGGACGCTAATTATACTAGAATCGTGTTGAACAACTCGGGGCACGAGTTCCAGAAATAACTGAAAAAGTCCATCTCCCCCAGTGCTTACAAGATTTATTCAAAAGGCGGGATCGCCACACGCATCATGCACGAGTTCCTTTCTAAGGGGGACGAGAGCCATCATGTACTTAATGAACCTTAGCATAGCACGTCTTCATGCCCCACGGGAGGTTAGTGGGCTCGAGAGTTCCTCTCGCCCTAACGACGTAAAATACATGTACTACTACTTATAAGATTTTGGTATATATTGTAGTGGGAAATCCTGTGACATATCAGATGCCATCTGAGTGCCTGAGGCCACCTTGCATGTTGTAGAAAAGAGAGCTTTCATCAGATAGAAGTTTTGGAACATCTACAGGAATGCAAGGACAGTTGATCACCTATCAGAATTCATGATATAGCATCAGATTATCTGCAGTAGGCATTTTGCTACCTACGCCTACTGCCTGACCTCTTTGCTAGGTTCTCCTATGCTCTCTCCATTTGGTATCGACCTGTCTGTTGCATCAGACTGCCATCGAGCTGTTCCCATTTCAATATATAATTATAACATCAATGGTCCTACTGCTTTCTACAGCAGTATGAAAATTCGGCCCGGATACAAAATCGACGTTATATCAAGCTAAGGCTACAGAGGGCCTTATAAACTACTGTCAAGTCCAGAAGTGGACGATCATCTATATCCACGTATGTCAACTTCAACCTATACCTTTTACCTTGGTCTAACATAAGATATGTCAAAGTTCATTGAGGTCATCATGGACAAGCTCTAGGCTCTGACCGTTATGAAAAACATTGGTACGATTGTTGCGCAACGTATTTCGGGATCTGCGTAATGCGTTCATGGGCTGTGGTGGTTATTGCTTGAGTGCCTGTAGACACAATCTCTTTTTTTTGGCCTAAAAAATCTTGAGTCTGATAATCATATAGGGTCGGGGAAAGCGACTCGTCAGGTATAAGAGCGAGGGAAAGTCGCCGAGATGTGATGATTCGTACGCGTAATAGGGGGTGGCGGAGCTAAAGCGCTCGGTGATCCGGTTCAATGGCAAATATGCCTCACCTACGAGGCGTGGGCAGAAGAGAGGAGAAAAAGAAATTCGGAGCTGCTGAGAGGGGGGGCAGCAGGGATCTATATACAGCCACGCACGGGTACGTATAGCGACCGATGGCGCTAAACCGTACTTGATAAAACTAAACCGGAAGAAGTCTCCACCATGGTAGTCCGATATGGTGTAGTGGCTAACATCGTCGTCTCTCACACGACAGCCGGGGGTTCGATTCCCCCTATCGGAGTTTCTTTTTTGATTTTCATCTTTTTTTTGTATTGTTCTGTTTCTACACACGTCGCTGTACTTTGAATGTTTGGAACCTAAACTAACTCAGAGCTTAGATAAATCAATATGCCACAATCCAATACGTTGTCTCTTTAAGGTGCAAACTCCCCCAAGTATCAGTCACATGACCTTATCATATCTAATCGCAAAATAAAAATTTCATAGCATCAGCAGAACTTCAACAGCAATACCTCAATTACATTCCAATCCGAACTCCGAGCGTGGAGAATTGAAAAAAATCCATTTTTCAATTTGCAACTTGGTGCCACCTGAGTCCCATTTGTGGAAGCCACACCTAAACAACAACCCCTCCACCACGACCGCGGGGTACCAACCGCAAACCCCCAAAAAAGAAATCGCAAAGCCACTCAAGGCCCAAAAATACCACAAAACATCATCTACAATGGAACCCACATCTACAGCACCCCCGGCCACAGACGCCGCCTCCTACCTCGACCTCGCCATCACCCTCTCACTCAACAACTGGCCAGCACTCTCACTAGCCGTGCAATCGAACTGGGGCGGCCCAACCTCAGGCGATAAGCGGGACTGGCTATGCGGCGCGATCTCAGAGATGTTCACCGAGCGACCTGAGACCGACGCCATGGATCTGGAGGACGTTCTGATCCAAGTGATGAACGACGAGTTTGATGTTGTTGTGGATGATGAGAGTGCTGGGAATGTTGCAGATCAGATTATGGAGTTGAAGACGCACACGGATCGTGGCGATTTCGCCCCTGTTCAGCAGATGTGGGAGGCATGGCAGACGAAGAGTCAGTCGAAGTCTGCTGCTGGACAGTTCCAGAAGGTTGAGGCTCAGGATGAGGATCAGGAGACTGATGATGATGATGAGAGTGAGGAGGGGGGCGATGTTGACATGGATGATGCGCCGTCTTTGGTGCGGGCTCCTAGGGAGAGGGTTGAGCCTGAGATTGATGATGATGGGTTTACTAAGGTTGTTGGAAAGAGGCGGTAAATTTGGGCTTGTTACTAGATATGTCTGCATTTCTTTCGTTGTTTCCTGGGAGAAACCCGCATAGGTTGATACATTATTTTTCCTTTACATAGATGCATTGATCAACCATGATTGCTCGTCATACAGCTTGCTTGAGCTACATCCATAATGGTAGGAATTACAGGTATATCTTGGATTCATACACGGTTCAACCGCTTAGACTCATAGATAAACCGAAGTCTATGGCGTAATATAGAAAGGAAATGTTCATCATCGTCAGTTGAGGTGGACTGTCTGTGGTATCATTGCGGCCTCTGCCCACCCATACCTCCCTGTTCAGGGTTTCTCGCAAGCACAACACCGCATCGCTTTTTTAGGTGCTCAGAGCACTTTTGAAAATGTGGAAATCCAGGCATTCTCGGTAGAAAGCCTTTACTCGGCGGCGGCGGCGGTGGCGGCAGCGTCGGCGGCCTCGGTCTCGGCGGTGATGAGCTTGGTGATCATACCAATGGCAATGGTTTGACCCTAATATATTGTTAGTTGATGTTTCACTTTTTCTGTTTCTTTTTTCCGCTTTCTCTTGAAGGGATAAATGAGAATGCATACCTGGTCACGTAGTGTAAAGCGTCCCAGCTGGGGGTATTCACTGAAAGGTTCCACGCAAACAGCACCAGCTGTGCTGGTAACTTCGAGTCGGGCGATAATAGTCTGGCCCTTGTTGGCGAACTGAGGAGGACGCTTGCTCTTACGGCCGGTACCGGGCTCGAGCTTGTGAAGGAGAGAGGCGAAAGTAACCTCCTCAACAGCAGAGTGTACGTGAAGCACACAGTTGAAACCGGCGGTGAGAATGCTCTTCAAGTCCAAGATACGGATCTTGGCCTCGAAAGCAGAGACACAGTGGACAGGGCGCTTCGGAGAGCATAGCACGAAACCAGGGAAGAAGTCCTCTTCTTCGATACCGCGGAGACGGAGGCGAACCTGATCACCAACCTTGGCAGTCGGGATTTCCTCTTCGGTCTCACCGTACAGAGCAGTAACGTAGACCTCTTCGCGGTTAGGCATCATGAGGTAGTTGCCGCTCTTCTTAATGATACCGGATTCAATACGACCCTCTGCCATGGTACCCATGTCACGGTACTTCGCACTGATGGGCATCATGAAGGGAGCGTTGATCTTACGCTCGGGGAGTTTGAAGTCGGTCAGGAATTCGAGGAGAGAAGGACCATCGTACCAGGGGCAGATGTCCTTGGGGATGCGGTCCTTGATACCGAGGGTGCGCTGAGCGGAGATGGGCATGCAGAAGATGTCGGACTTCTTATAGCCAAGGGCTTCCAAGAACTTCATGACCTTAACCGTGCACTCTTCGAAACGCTCCTTGCGCCATTCGACACTCGGGTCATCCACTATCCTTGTTGTTAGTATGTGCCTCAAAAATCCCAAAAAGGCAGACAGGAAGAATACGTACTCTTGTTTACTACAATCACAAGCTTCTCAACACCAGTGTTGCGAGCAAGAAGGGCGTGTTCGCGAGTCTGACCACCCTTCTCGAAACCGGTCTCGTACTCACCCTTACGGGCCGAGATAACCAGACAACCGAGATCGGCCTGGGAAGCTCCACCAATCATGTGGGGAACGTAGGACTTGTGACCGGGGGCATCGAGAATAGAGAATTGACGCTCGATGGGGCCATCGTCGGAGGGAATTGTGACCTTGAAGAAAGCGCGGCCGACCTCGACGGTCTTACCCTTTGCGCGCTCCTCGTTGGTCAGATCCAAAGCCCACGAGAGGTACCAGGTCTCACGACCAGCATCCTTAGCTTCCCTCTTGTACTTCTCCAGTGTACGCTCATCGACCATGCCGGTAGCAGCCAAGAGGGAACCTCCCAGAGTGGACTTGCCAGCATCGACGTGACCAATGAACACGACATTGACGTGCTCTCTCTTCTCACCGTAGATTTCCTTCAGGGTAGCCTCATCAACATCGGCCAGCTGCGACTTGGCGACGGCGTTGGCCTCACGGGCTTGCTTGGCGGACTCGCCACGGGCTGGGCTGGAGCGTCCAGGGCTGGAGCGGCCGGAGGAGGGTGTAGGCGAGGACTTGCCGCCGGTAGCAGCAGCCTTTTCGGACTTATCGAGGGACTTGGTGGCGGCGACCTTGGCGCCTGCTTCAACAGCCGCAGGACCCTTGGTGTCACCCTTGGACTGAGTCTCGTTGGCGGGCTTGGCAGCAGGAGTAGGTGTACCAATGGAAAGAACCTTGGTCTTAGGGGCAGAGCTGGAGGAGGTGGCACCAATGGAGAGGACCTTGGCCTTGGGCGGGGCGGCGGATGCGGGCTTGGGAGCGGGAGCTGCGGCCTGCTGGGGTTGCTGCTGGGCTACAGGTGCATTCTGGCGAGGCTGCTGCTGGTAGCCAGCATATTGCTGCTGGCCATTGTTGTACTGGTTGAATCCTCCGGGCTGTTGGGCATAGGCGTTGTACTGGCCATAGGCCTGCTGGGCCTGCTGAGGGTAGCCGCCATAGGCTTGCTGTTGACCATACTGGCCGTAGGGGTAGCCACCATACTGCTGGTACTGCTGGCCAGGAACGAAGGCAGAGGCTCCGGGGGTGAAAGAGGCAGCGCCGGGCTGGAAGGAGGGCGCTTGGGGTTGAGGGCGGGATTGTGCGTTCAGGTTGACTCCCTCGGCCTGCCTGGCGAGCTCATCCTCCCAGGATTCGGGGGTTTGGTTCGACATCGTAGACGACTCAGGATAGAATCAGAAACACGAAAATGCGCAACCAAAACGGGTTAGAAATAGTTTGTGTCAATAAAGACTGAGGGGTCCACGGGCTTTTGATTTTGCACGGCTGACTAAGACCCCGCGATGCTTCCACGTGATATGTTTATATCAAGTTGTTTTTCCTCCGATGTTAAGGACAGTGAATGCAAGTGTTGATATTTAATTTCCTTTGGATCTGTCATTACCTGAATGCCCAACCCAGCCATGACTCTTTAAGCGCGCGTCATTGTGGAGTTCACGCTCATCTTCTTTCTTTGGGCTTTCAACTATCTTATCGATAACCTGGTGCTTTCCAGTTGACCCCCTACTGCTCAGCCTCATTCAATCCTCAAAGTTGGGCTTCGAAGTGACTCAGGATGGATACATTCCTTACCGGGGTACGTCATATTCTGCCCAACCAAGCGCAGGCAGGCAGCTGATCCATGCACTCCAGCTTACCCGGCAAGCGATGAATTATGCGATTCGGTATGCCGGAACTTCACGATGAATATGCGTCTTAATTCTGACAATGTCTATGCAGCTCGGGAATTGCGATTACGGCGAGCTATGCGATGCGCCAGTCGTCGCGCTTGCTGAAGGTAAGTCTTGTTTTCAGTTATGGAGAAGTATCCGCTAATTGCTTTTGCTTGGCTAGAATGTCAGTAGCGAAGAGCGTGATGAGCTGCTTTCGCTGCAGCAACGTCTAGAGAGCAAAATACAAGTTTGTACAGCCCGTCAGTGAGAGCCAGAATTTATGGGCTGAACTTATTCTAGGTTATCTCTCCATCTATCGACATGATTGAGTTGATGTGGGTTGCCCAACGCTTTCCAAAGTTCCAAGAAAGCTCACAGTATTGCTAGTGCTGCTCGAGGAAATACTTCACTTGAATCTGCAGTCGCCCTCACCAAATCTCTGCGATGGGACATCCAGGCTCTGGGACAACGTCTAGCAAAGGCCGCCGCATCGGAAGAATTGATTCGAAAGGGGGCTAAGCCCAAAGATCGTGCACAGAGCGAAGCAGAAATCAAGTTCATTGTCAAGGACATCAAAAAGCTGTTAGCTCGGATTGAAGATGCGGTGCCACTCATGAATCTGGCAATTACTACATCCGGGGCCAAGCTGTCGACAAACTTGCCGGCAACAGTATCACCTTCCCGACTTCTTCAGGCGAGCACATTCCTCACCGCAGGAGACACACAATACTCGATGTCTCCATCGCAGGCAGTACAGGTTGGGCCGACATTCACCCTGTCAATGTACATGCTATTTGCCAGCCATTTACGACCTCACGACGAAGAATCTGTCCGTGAAGCAACATGGAAAGAAGTCATGCACAAGGCACGATTGAAACTGCGGCGTGTTCCAATAGATTCATTGCAATCTCCAGAAGAACGCAAACGAGCAAAACTCCCTGGGCCGGCCGGAGCTGACGAATACATATACCAAGTCCTCATAATTGAAGACCTCGAAGATGGTAGAGTGCACACATTTGACGAGAATGATCCACAGCCCAAGAACTACGAGGGCATTTCCCAAGCTGGAATTCGGGAAATTTTGCCTATTCATCAAATTTCCAAGATATTTTATGCCGATACTGGTAGAATCCTCAACATCAGCACCGAAGGCGAGACGAACAACCCAATACTCCTTCTGAAGCGTGACTTGAATGCTCTTCCCCCGCGCCGCATGATGGAACGGGAGGAGGTAGAGGACGAGTACCCTCCAGCTGAATTCGATGAAGAAGCAGAGGACGAGGAGCAAGCCCTACTCGATGCACAATTGAATGGAGAAAGTGAGTCAGCAAACGAGAGCTTCACTTCTCTCCATCAAGACTCCATACCCGAAGAATGGCGCCTGCCACCTGGACTGGATCCAGAATGGATCGCATTCGAAGTCTACAACGAGGACGAATCCTCTGATACCGAATCAGAAGCCGAAAACAATGACTCTACAAACGGGCCCTCAATCGACCCAAATATGATGGCCAAGCTATCAATCAATGACCAGAGCCACTCATCCCCCTCTCCTTCCCGCCAAAGATACACATCGCCATCGGCCACAGGAACAACCACAGTCACAAACCCTCACTTTGAAAACATCCGCACCTCCCTCTCCCTCCTGGAAACTCTCCTCCGCCTGACCTCCCTCCAGCAATTCCAGCAACAATCCCACCTCTCCATCAGCGACGAACTCCTCAATTTCTTCCTGGAAGAATCCTCCACAACAGGCGCCGGAGGCGACGAACAGCACCGCCAACGCCTCCGCAATGAAGCCCGCCGCCGCGTTGGCTGGGATCCTTACAACGAAAGCCCTGTCAAGCATCGTGGTGAAGATTATCAGTATGGCTGGGAGGCTGGTAGTCCCTATGGCTATGCCCGTGATGGAGCTGAACCTTACTCGCCTATGGGCAGAGAGCAGGGCCTCCATCTTCGTTCTAGAGAGGGGACACCAGAGACTCCCGTGCGAAAGGGTTCGCCTGGCGTTCGTCCCAGTGGTCTGCGTGGTATGACGCCGGCATATTCCCAGTCACCTCTTGGTAAGAAGCGATCACCGAAGGAGGGAGATCCGGGGTCCGGGACGGCGGAATGATTGGTGTTTGTACTCTACGAATTAAGAATTAAGTTAACATGACCCTGTACGGAGCACATATAATGATTATGATAGGCCATGAGATAGCGGGCGCATCACTCAATTCATTCTTTATCCAGATGATCATTAGATCTTAACTCGCAAGTCTGCTTGGCAAACGTTACCGTAATCATCCTTAGGGCAGAACTACCCAGGTACTGGACTTCCGCCAATTCTCACCTTCCGTTGCCCAGCCGTCGCTTCTTTTCGCTCAATTCAAAATGAGACGTATTTCTAAACAATCAGTCATATACCCCCGAAATAGCGGGACATCCTTGCGGTCAGCTGAACCTCGGCGGTATTTAGCAGCGACAATACCTCAGTTGAGTGCACACTCTCCCCATATCAAGCTACCCCTACCACCATGACGACCGTTGAAGAAGTATTCAACCAAGCTGCTGAAGACTTGAAAAAGATCAAAGCAAACCCAAGCCAAGAGGAACTGTTACAGGTAATTTATCATCCGTATTCCTCCATGGGATCTAGGAGCAATTATTGATGTTTACTGGTTACAAAGCTTTATGGGCTCTGCAAACAGGCCACAGAAGGTGACAACACTACACCTAAGCCAGGATTCTTCAATTTGCAGGTACTGCCCTCATTTCGCTATCGTTGAATCTCCACTAATACCGAAATATCCGCTAAAGAAAAAATCTAAGTGGCTCGCATGGGATCAGGTCAAGGGAATGTCACAGGAAGATGCCAGGGAGGTATATATTAAGCTGGTTAATGAGTTGAAGGCAAAGTATGGATATTAGGGGTTAACGTTCATTCATACGTAGAATATGAGGACCTTTACAGTTGATGCCGGAGATCGCTGCCGTCCTATCTATGAGTGTGGACTAAGAGTGGACTAAGTGCTTAATAGAGGTCTAATGAGCTCAGTGGGTTTAAGGCCGGAATGCGCCTAACTATATGTATAACCCTCATAAAAACGCTGGTAGCTAAGGTAGAAAACCCCATCCGAGGAGTTATGGTACGTGGAGAGACCTAGGTAAGTTGTCGGAATATGTAAAGAGGAATGATGTGCATATTCAGAGATCAATCGCTGAAGGCAAGTCACGAATAACGGAGTTGGGAATAGAAGAGAAGAGTCCGAAACGCCAAATATAAAAGACAATAAAAACCGACATTCCTAAACTCCGAACAAAGCAAAATGTGATGAGCAAGTAGTTAGCCGTACTCGGGTTGGCCGACAGCAAGAATGCGCTCGGGGGCTATATAGTATAGACAGGCGTCCCGCAAGATCAATTGTGTTCTCTTGCTGAATTTACTCCCAGTCCTCGTCACTCTCCTCTGCCTTCGCATCGGCTGCACTCTTTTCCTTGGGGCTCCCAGGTGTCCGGCTAGCGGCGCCGCTGACAACGTCGTAGCTGGATTCGCTGTCGGCCTGGGAGTTTTGATCGTTTGACCGGCGAGGCTCGGCTTTCGGCGTATCCGCCTTTGGGGTGAGAGTCTGGTTGCCGGGGCGAATCTGAGGAGTAGAGGGAGACTGGGACTCGGAGTCAGACTCATCATCCCAGCCAACTTCTTCCTCGTCTTCGGCGTTGGCGCCTATGGAGAAGTTGGTCATTAGCATTAGAAGACAGACGCGACAATCATAGAGCCAATATACCTTTCAGAAGCTCCTTGCGCTTCTTCTCCTCGGTCTCAACGACGAGACGCAAGAAGTAGTAACGAACCCAGAACTCCGCGTATTCCACCTGTTCCGGCACGAGCTTCTCCATGGCGGAACGAAGCTCGGGGTATTTCTCCAAGTCGGCGGCGATCTCATCGGTCTTGCTCTCAACATTGAATTCCTTTTTGAAAGCAGGCCATTCATCACTGACTGGGTCCTTGGTGAAGCTTTCCAGGTTCGAGTGGATAACATGCAGTTGAGCCTCAAACCGGGTGGCGTGAATGACCCGCTTGCCTTCGGCATCCTTGCTCTCGAAAAGAAGCTTGCCTGACTCATCCGTTTCGGGCGGGACAATGCTAACTGCCTCTCGCAGCTTCTGGCTGATGTTCATTCCAAATCGCATAATCGCTTCGTCGGCTGCCTCTTCGGCCTTCTCAATCTCCTTTAGCCGCCGGGCGGCTTCGGCCTTGAACCGGGAGATGAAACTCTCTCCGCTGGCGCCTGCGCCTTCGGCTCCCTTCTCCTGAGATTCGCCATCCGCCGAAGCCTTGGGTGTGGTGTTCTCATCAATCTGTCCCTCGCCACTGCCCGTCAGAGTAGCTGTGCTGAGAGACAGCCCCTTTGTCCGGTCGACGATTGTTTCCTTGAGGTCTGAAAATCCCTTCACAGCTTCCTCACTGGCAGCGGCGTACTCCTGGCGAGCACCTTCGTAGTATGTTTCGCCCTGCTTGCGTACGTTGTCCCAGAGCCCGCCGATTCGGGAACCCCACGGACTGGCGGAGAAAGCGCGGAAGGTTTCCTGTAGCTCGTCGTTAAGGTTGACATTGGGCTCTTGGGATTTAGAGTCGGTAGAGGTTTCTTCTTTGTTGGAGAAGGCCTCTTCTTGAATGTGATCGTAGGCGATATCCATGGTTGTGGTGGGATGCAAGAAGTGAAGTTCGAAACAAACAGGGTTGCAGTATCTCCGCGTTCGTCCACCGCCCCGCTTGGGATCAACATTGCAAAACATTAAAACATTTAGACTACTCTCGGTCTTGGCGCTTCAGTTCTTCGATATAAATGTTTAAAATACATATTCATAATCATTAGGTATCGATATCATCCTTCAGGTAAGCTGTACGGTTCTCCTACACTGTCCTGACTCCCCATCCAGAAGTTCGGTAGCGGAATACTCTCCATCACACTCGAGGTGAGAAGCTGGCTTCGAGATAGTACCCGACCTGGCCAATTATGATCCGCCGCCTGTGATGATTCAACTTGAACCACTGAGTCTGGAGGGCGAGGTCGTTGGAACGGAGGCTCACCCGCCCCAGTCTGAGACTCCCTTTCTCGGGTGGGAGATGACTCGGGAACCATTTCAGTTGATTCTTTATCTCCCTGGCTTTGTGTTTGTGTTTGTTGAAAGGGCCCCGGCCGTGTCATCTGAGAAGAAGGTTTGCATGGTCCCAACTTGGAGGACTGAGTGCTGTCCTCCTGGGGGAAAAGTTCAGCCAACTTCTGGGTATTGAGAGTTGGAATTGGCTCATGTGGAAACTGTGTCGCTGCATGCATTCTATGATAATATGCTGAGGCATCTGACATTGGGGGCTCGGATGGAGGAGCGTCATCACTAGGGTGATGTTCCGAGCCAGGGCTAGATCGCACATCCGGCAAAGGTAGCACCTGGGAATCATCCTTGGGCGACTCCGGGATATTTTGTGTGGTCTGCGAACCGATTGCTCGTGTTTTCTTCGGAGATGGCGTAAGGGAATCTCTGTTCGAATTTTCATCCTCGGACTCCCCGTAGTCTGTATCTGCATCCGTTTCGTAAACCACTGTCCGTTCTCTTCTTCGAGCTCCGTTCTTCGAGTCCTCGTTTGCTTCGGAGGGTTGGTACTCGGATGCCGAGTCAGTCGGAGGTGCGGATGAAGGATAATGTTCAGCTGGTTGAGGTATGTGCTTATTTAAAAGTTTCTGGGTATTCGACGAGTTGGTAGTTGTTTGTAAAGAGTCATCCCTCGAGTCTTGCGAGTCCTCGTCGATCCGCCGAGGCTCTGGGTATTCTTCTTTGATAGGTTGTATGGGCTGATTCGGGACCAATGGCCTCTGCTTGGAAGGCGAGTGGGTGGCCCCTCGAAATTGAGATGATGTTATCATGACTAGACCAGGGCTCTCGGGGGACTGCGAAGAAGGAATCTCACGTCTCCGAGGCTTTTGTGGCGTCACTGGTGCTGCAGATACCAGATCACCCGCATTTTCACTTCCTGTATTGGAATCTTGTGCATCCTTTGGCTGAGAAATAGGCTCCCCTGTTGAGAGATCTAGCTCCTCTTCGAACACTCTGCGATTTCGTTTCGCGGGGTTAAGGAGCTTCGCACGTTGTGATCTATTCTCCTCGGCGGGTCCTGCTTCTGTCTCACTAATTATGGGCTTCTTCTCTGTAGGCTGAATATATCCCATATTCACATCGTCGTCGTCGTCGTCGATAGTAATGTAACGGCGCACAAAATCCATCTGAGTCAAGGTCTTATCCCGCTTCCCTGTCGATTTCTCCACAGATTTTCGGCCGCCTTTACGACCGACACTCGCCCTTGGCGTTGCACTCCTTCTTGGCCCATGCCTTGGTTCTGTGTCTCGGGTACCCATGCCGGAGGTCCTTCGCTTTGGGGGGCGTTCACTTGAATCGTGTTCTCGTTCACTCATCTTGAATTTCGTAATACGAGCTGACCGGGCAGGTTGTGGTGGAAGAAAATCGGCATCCTTGTCAGACCCATCCTCTAGTTGGGGTTGCTTAATTGTGGTTTGGGTAGTGTCACGGTATTCATCAACGTAGTCGAATTGATCGTCATACGACGCTGTGGCCTGCGTCACAAAGTCGATCTGCGTGAGGGTGGGTTGAGCCCCTAGGCTCGGCAGTGAAATTCGTTTATTAGCTCTCGATGATGCCGACGATTCTGACGACCGTTCTCGTTTCGCGGTGGTGCGATTTGACTTTGTTGTTGAAGGGCCTCCCGGACTGGGCCTCCTCGGCGTACGGAACTGGTTTGGGGGTTTCTCTCGTGCCTTGCTGGATTTGTGCTGTTCTTTCATCGCAGCTCAAAGGAACGGGTCCAAGGGAAACACTGGACTGTGGTTATCCGCAAAAGTTGCTCATGACGTTAGGCAACGGTTGCCTGAGGCGGGACGCGTCGACGCGTCGCTAATATCGACCTGGTCCGTGCGTACTATATACTACAGTCCAGATTCAACTTCAATTTTGATCTTATTTACACAAAGTTGTAGATTCCATAGATGTGGTAAGTTTACAGAGGCTAATCTTCGTCAGACATGAGCCAGTCAGGAATTGCATCCTCGTCGTCAGGATCCTCAGACAGCAGAGATCCCTTCTCCAACTCACTATCAGAATCATAATTCTGCGCTGATTGCTCCTGAACTGGAGATGGTGGCCGAGAAATAGTGACCACGCTTGCTGATTTGGACCCAGCGTTGGTGGACGAATCCACTGCAATAGGCGCGTACTCGGAGGACCCCTGGAGGGTTTTGGAGGCGCTTGGATCGGGAGATTCTCGCCGTTCTTGGGATACTGCGCCTGAACCATGATTTGGGACGACTACCAGCGAGTAGCGAGGTGCATTTGATATTTTTCTATTGGCAACATGAGGAATCGATGTCGAGCGCGTAGCCAAGGGCTCTGGGGCAGGCGCAGGCTCAGGAGCTGTGGCTGTTACTGAGGTTGAATCATTGTCGGTGGGCTCTTCAGGCATAAATCCTCCTCCGAAATCTTCTTCGTCCACCGCGTATGAACCATTTTCGTGCTCTGCATAACCCTCAGGAAGCAAGTGGGTTTCTCGAGCTCTTGGAGGCGGGCTATTCGCGAGTTGGCCTGGTTCTGGAAAGAATCCCCCTCCGCCTTCCTCGACATCCATTTCCTCTGCGATATCATCTTCATCAACTTGTTCTTCACCCTCGGATGCATAGCCCTTCACTCTTTCTGCGATTCTGAGCTTCACCAAAAAGAGTCGCCAGAACCGAAGAGCTTCCGCGGTTCTTGCTTCGAGCACAGCAAGTCGTCTCTGGTCTTCAAGGCCTGTCAGAACCTCTTCAAGTGCCTCCTGGTATTCGGTTGCAATGACAATGCCCTTTACTACAGCAGTTCCACGGCGACCTCTGAAATCAAACCCAGTGACTGCATCTGCATAGTCAATGCCGAGGATTCGGGCAGCTCGAATTGCCTCCGGTCGGTTGATGTGAACACCCCCAGGCGGAATCATACTGGGTACATAGACATCAAGGTTCCCGTAAACATTTTTGGGAATTCTTCCATCAACCACCGGTGGTGGTTTGTAGACTTCCGTTTGAAACTCGGCATATAATGTTGTCTCTTCAGGTTCATTTTCGTCTTCGTCATCACTGAAGCTTGCGACTTTGTTGCGGCTTGCAGGGGCACGCTTGAGAGGCTGCTCTCCGACTTTGACATCCCGTCCCAGACGGTACCATTTATCAGCGCTTCGTACGACATGCAAGTCGGATCGGCGGTAGACGGGTTCAGTTGTCTCGGTTCTCGCTGCAGTCTTTCCCAAGCCAACGTGTCCAATTACTCGTTTCGGGTGGATCACTTCATTTCGACGGACGTGGCGTTCCAGAGCATAGACGGGATGATCTTTGAAGTCTTGGATATTGCGTGGCATTGGCTCCGCTGCTGATTTAGAAGTGAGTTCACTGATCTCGGCTTCATCTCGGTCCTCAAGGAAGGGTTTCTCATAATTTAGCAGCGCCTTATTCCACCATTTCTCTCCATGGCGTGTAGACTCCACTCGCAGCTTTCGCGTCTTTGCATTAAATGCCTTTGCATAGCGACGAGTGACATCTCTTGCAGATGTGTCGTCTTCGAAGGCCACCACGTAGTTCATTAGATTAAATGGATCACTCGCAGGCGGTTCAAACTTAGAGGGTTTTGCGAGTGATTTTGTTACTACAGGGTCTATTGCGATCCATTTTTGAGCAGCTTCGTTGAAAGCTTCCACCCAAAATACCGGGTATGATGACTCTCGGGATTGTGGAGGAGTGCCTATGAACGTTAACTTCATATATTATGCAATGACGGCCTGCAAGGCACATACCTAGGCGCATGGGAGGTTGGAGAGGGCGCGAAGGAGCGAACTTAGGCTGTCCAATCCGCCGAGACCTTGAAGCTGTAGGCGACTTTTCGGTCTTCGATCGTTCATCTGTCGATGAACCAGGATCGTCTGAGGATATCACAATGTATTGAGGTTTCGGTTTGGATGGCGTCATATCCTTGACGGTTCCAGAGAATGGCAATGGTTGCAATGAGCAGACAAGCCTGGTCTCGATAGCCACGCCCCGCAATAAAGCACAAAATAGCTGGGCTCCAAAGTCGCGAGAGCCTTGCAACGTTTTGGCTTGCGTTCGGAAATCCCCCTTCGATAGAAAGACCTCTGCGTCCGACATAATCGACTCCTAGGTAATCATCAGCGAATACTCAAAAGTGGAAGAATGCTGAAGGTACCATCTTCTGCCTCAACTGGCTTTCATCCTCTGACCAGTGAGCCCGTTTCATTCCCGGCTTGGTGACTCTGAATCTGCGAGCGAACGCATCTCCAGCTTGGTTGAGACCATCCATGATAGTGGTGGATCTGTTGTAGCTAGGTTTATCTTCATCGGGGTGCAAGAGAGCAATGACCTTTTTCGGTAGCATCTTCTTCAAGAAATCCTATGATTTATTAGATATCAGCTGTACAAACACTCGAGCACATAAATCATACCTGTACTTCCTGGTCGTTACACCACAAATTGCGTATATGAACGTGGCCAAGGAGGCAAAGAACATGGGCCTTGTGCACATCCAGTCGCACTTTCTTCTCCGCTGCAGACAGAGGCTTCCTTTTTAGAACGGCCCTTTTTCGCTTATCGGGTTCTTGTTCCAAGGTGATCTCGAGCATTTCGTCGCCGCCTCGAGATGCAGCAGGTCCTCTGAGCAATGAATCAGATGGTTGCTGGAACTCGACATCTTCCCACTCAATATCTGATTCCTCTTCTGATGTTGAGTCGTAGACAGTTTGGACTGGTTGAGCATTATCTTTGCTCGTTTCTGGACGTTTCTGCTCGGTTTCGACGGGGAGGGCTTTCATATCCCCAACTTTTCGCCTTTTGATCGGTCTTTCGGAGTTAAATTGCCCAGGATCCCGGGCTTCAGCCTCATCCAACATTTCTTGATAAACATCCGGAACATCCTCATCGCTTTGTCGCTTGCGAGTAGGCTGCCGACCGCGAGGTGCCCGGCTTCTTGTGGAATGATCTGGGGTTTGACGCGACATTTTCGGTCTTGTCCTTGGGTTGGAAGACCTTGGGGGAGCTTCCAGGATCTTTTGATCTGACGAGGCTATACGCGTCGCATCAGCGCAAAAGTAGTGAATACCCCGTCCCCCAGGTATATTCCACTAAGCTAGTCACTGAATAGCGTCAGCCGTGTAATGCTATTGCTTCAACATACTGTCAGCATAAAAGCACATGTCAACCTTGGCCCTTTGTTGATTCTCTCTATCTTATGTCTTTGGATGAGGAGATGCGTCATATCGGATATTGGTTTATCCGTGCCGACATGTGTGCAATATAACCCGTTTGGGAAGTGTGCTTTCAGAAGCATCCCATACTTTAGCTGACTGGATTTTTGGCTCATTGGATTCTCTTTGTGGTCTTTCTTACAATTACTTATGATATAGATTAGGTACATAGCTGCTTGCGGCTGATCTTTTAGATATAGTTGAAGAATCCCCCGAACTACGAATATATATATCTCTTGTCCCGTAACTACCCTCACCTACTCCTCCGAATTATTATTGATGTACTTCTTGGGAAGCCAGATATGGTTATCTATATATCTCGTTGAAGATTATCCTATCCGAGCTTGACAACCATATCAACTCATCCAAGAAGATAGAAATTAGCCATAAAAAAATAGAAGTATATCACCCTTCTCCCTACCTAGTTCTTATTTAATTGAACATCCAGCTCCTCATATATATTTGAGTTGAGTAGACTTCGTCACAAAAATGAGCAAAGAGATACATATCACACATAGCTCATTTATGAGATCTGATACATACTCACAGAATGTGCCTACTGCAAGGTCGAGATAGCCTTGATTGACTTCAAGCAAATCTTTGTCCACATACGTGAATTCTGCAAGGGGCATTAAAGAATCAGACTGATGTCTGTCAGCCAGTAAGGTAGTATCACTGCACATTTCATCTCTTATTTTTCTGCGCCGCATGTTTTAGGAGCTCTATAGTATACAATTGCAAGCCAATAAAAAGCTATACGCCTCGGTGGAGAGTGTTCGCTTTAACTGGAGCTATTTCCCGAGTCCACGAAATCCCGTCCTCGCCCTTTTGACGGGTATGTTTCATGATGCCATAGCCTATGTGAAGTCTCCACGGAGAAATACGAGGAAGAGTTGAGGTGGATATAGATTTATTTAAACTTCGAGAAATGACAAATCTTTCCAAAAGCCGCCATTCACGTATTCCAGGTCACTGTGAAGCCACTCCCGCTTATGGAGGCTCTCCGAGGGGTGTACTAAAGGGCCACAAGCGAATATCATTGGCTGGTGAGGGATATGATGTTCGCTCTCCAGACCAACCTAGGACACTCTAGACAGCATGATCTACTCTTCGCTTGCATCTGAGGAAAATTGTGTGTCGCTCGTTCTCTCGTTGTTTAGACCCGATTGGGCAGCCCTCCCGCCCTCCACAGTCCCGTTAGATTCCCCTTTGCAGCTCGCAATTCCAAATCTTTAGTTTTTTTTTTCACTTTGGTTAAGCGACAACTATGGGTCCTCTTTGACTTTTACCCCAAGTGGCCAGGTGGGAGCGTGCTGGTCGCTTAACCGGTGAATTTTTGAAACTTGATGATCCTGTAGTTCACCCCGCACCCACTTTAACAGGGTGAATGGCCCATTGGGCCCATTGGGTTGAGGGATGTTCCTGTGGGACTTTTTCTCCTTTGTATTCTCCGTATTCTCGTAATTCATCCTAGTACAGCCTTGAACTTGATACCAGACCGCCAAGCAGTCGACATTGCGGATAGGTGTATAGTTCCCCAGCCAATGCTACTTACTGACGTCTGTGGGGAACACAGTATTTGTCAAAATCCCAAGCAGTAAACTGTCTCTCTGCAGCCATTCTATATGCAAGACACGTAGTTTACCGAAAGTCCAGACGGATTACGAGGAGATGAGAGCTGCATGTCTTACTTGATGCGACGATAGTCTCCTTAGGCTGCACAATCTGACAGTTCGGTGAGTTGTCAAAATTGCACCTAGATGCAACATGCTATACGTTATCAGCAAGGTGCATCTTTAGGGTGATTTTCCCTGTACTTATGCTTAGCCTACCTGCCAATATGCGCTGGCTTCTTCCCCAATTCCAGTCTACAGGGACTGGCTGAATTATCCGGGATACCAACCCCGCTCACTCCTGCATGGACATGTTGCTTCATCCTAATTTCAGCCTCTGTGGCTCAAACCAAGTGTAGCCGAATATCAGTTGAGGACTTTAACCATTTTGTCTGACGTGAGTCGTAGGTCGCATTCGGAGTCGACCCCGAGTCAGTGGCAGGCCCATTCCAATTTTGAACCGCGCAAAAGGCCCGGAATGATGTCGGAGCCTAATTAGAGCCTAAGCAAGGATCCCAAAGAAGAAACCCCCCACCACCGTGGCCCTCCGCAACAAAGAGACGGTGCATGCTTCCGTGTTCATCGAGCCGTGTATGTGCATGTCTCAATACGTTGCCCTTAGAGGGGAGTTACCAACCAAGAAATCGCACCTACGTACCTAGGCATGCGACTCCGGAACAAAAACACGTTAACCCAGGTTCCAAGTATGTAGTCCCAGAATTCGGCTCTGGAGCCGGGCGTTACCGACGTGTTGGGATCCCCCGATCCTAGTCGTCGGGTCCGGGCGAACTGTTGTGACTCGTCGAATTCCCAATAAAGCCCCGGCGGCTCCCCTTGAAATCCCGGCTCCATGGGAGGTCGGCTGGTTTTTGGGACGGGCTGCAGGGGTATGTTTGGGATGTCTGTATGCAAGGTTGTTCAGTGCATTTTTCATGCAACATCTATAATATCTACGATTTGCCTTTTTTCTTTGGTCTCTGGGTTCGGAGTAATCCGAATACAAGATGAGAAGAGATACATGTATATTTGTTTTCATGTAAGGTTCCCCTGTATCGATAGGTTCAATTTTGCCTGCAGGACGACCGAGTGTGGGATTGGCCAGTTCGGAATTTACAATGCGGAAGCGATTGCACATTTAGTTAAGTAGTTCTGAATATTAATTGCATTGAACTGAATATAATGTAGAAATATCGTTGAATAAGGAGACCCGGGCCTCCGGAACCCCTTTCGCATATTCCGTGCTGCATGTTCCAGATCGCATGTGCTCCGCTCAGGGATGAGATTGGCGGAAGATTCCTCCCCAGTACCTTTACCCCAAATTGGAGGAGCCCAGAACTGTCACTGGCGCATTAGCTACTGTGTCAGCATGCTTGGGGAAAGCCTAGGCTTCCTCCTTGGAGACGCTATTTCTGACAGATCACCTCACTTCCCACCGCTAGGACCCGATATAGAAGGAGAGTAACTATTACGGCCGACTCTTGCAAAGGATCAAACAAAGTTTATAAGCCCGGTTGCTTTGACGTTAATGTTCCGAAGTCCTGCTAAAACAGTGATGATTTGGAAAAGATTGAAACAGGACAAAGGACCGTGAAATGAATGCCGATCCGAGTTGAAGGGAATTAATATCCGTAACATAGGGGGCATCCTAACAGCTCCACGTCTGCGGGGCCAAGGGGCTTTGCGAGTTTAGCCGAACTCTGTTGCCTCTGTTGCCAAGTGTCTTTTACTAGCATATTAAAAAAAAATGGTTAGGTGCGGCTTTGAAATTACAAAGAGTGTCCCCATTAAGTATAGAAAAAGGAATATAACCCTCAGTCCCAGCACAAGGGAAGCGGCCCGTGGGCCGGTTGCAAATTCCCAGCAGGATGGAAAGGGTAACTATTGGTCGATCAAAAGGCGATCAGGATTTAGGTGTTCGATTTGAGCAGGTTGGTTCCGAGGAATTGGGTAGGAGTCAGGTAATCCGGTATTTTAGTGCTTTTTAGTGCTTTGACTTTAGGCCCGTATGTGTATTTCGGCTCTACTGTATGTGTTAAAACTTGGAGAAATGATCACACCCTACCATCTCTCCAATCATTTCCTACAAACTTTGAGTAAAAGTGGGAAACAGACCGATTACCGTATTAATTCCTATCACGCCCGAAGCGCCCCCTCTGACGTCCGATACATACCCCCCCACTTGCTTTCTGATCGACGGTGATTTATAGTTGTCCGGATCGTCCTCCCGTCCTGCCAGTTTATAACTTAACCCAACCTGTCGGGCTCATTTCAGTCATGCCGGGTTTTGCATCGGTCTGAGGCTTTTTCCTGGAATGGGTGAAATTATTCTTTTATCCTAGCTTTTCCCCAGAGCATGACCATTGCTGGAATCTCCGATAAAAAGGTTCCTGGTTCCTCTTACTTGGGACGTGAATAATATCCCGATTTGGTGCTCACTGCTCCCATTCTCCCACCCTCGTTAGGGCTGGTCTACATTGCTCATCCCGCTTGGGCTAGATCAGAGATCATGGGTGCAAGACCTCCTGTAAGCTTGTTTTATAACCCATGCAGCCCATGTCCACCTTACTTTGCTATTGATCTCATGCGTTTGAATTGACTTTCAAGCTCTGTCTGGATGCTAACGTGAGATCATGCAGATACCTCGCGCAGAATGGTAATTCTTCCTGGACACTTTCACTTTCCACGTCTTACTTTGTCACACTCTGGAACAAGGTCACTAACAATATGACAGTGACACACAGTCACTAACTGACAGTGTGACGGACTATCCTGTCGAGAATGGCAGACGGTATCACAAGTACCACGAGGGAGGTATGTTCGCAGTTCCGGCCGTAATCTGACAAACATATCTAACCCAATGTCCTCCAGCCTATGTCTATCCCAACGATGAACAAGAACTGGATCGTCTAGACATGCAGCATCACATGTTCAAGATGGTCATGGATGGAAAACTGTTCCATGTCCCACTTGCAGATCCCCAAAAAATCCTCGATATCGGCACCGGTTCAGGGATATGGCCAATCGAGATGGGTATGAGTTCCCGCCCCCAACTTCCAAGCTTCTTGTCTCACATCTCAAACTTTCCTGCAGCGGCCTTGTTTCCAAATGCCGAGATCACGGGGACAGATCTCTCGCCCGTGCAGCCTACAGAGGTCCCACCAAACGTGCATTTCCTCATCGACGACGCCACAGAAGAAGAGTGGCTCTGGGATGCAGACCAGTTTGACTTTATCCACATCGGCCACATGACAGGTTCCTTGCCGTCCTTCAAGTGTATCTTACGGCAGGCATTCAAACACCTCAAGCCAGGTGCCTCGTTAGAATGTCAAGAGCTGGACCCGAAGCCACAATGTGACGACAACACCATGCCCCCCGAGAACCCTGATGGTGGATTCAGCGCGTTTGCATTGCACGACTGGGTAGATCTCAACGTGCGCTCAGGCCGGGACGCTGATCCAGCACGGCAATTCCGCATCGCACACCGAATCGATCGGTGGATGAAAGAGATTGGGTTTGTGGATGTTGAACAGCGGGTCTCCAAGATACCGTTAAATACCTGGCCCCAGAATGAAAAGTTAAAGATGCTCGGTGCGTGGAGTGAGAGAAATTGGCTGGAGGCTTTATCGGGGTGGTCATACAAACCATTTCTTGCTCTTGGCTGGTCGAAACCGGAGATCGAGGTGTTCCTGGTTGATGTGAGGAAGAGTATCCAAGACCGGAATGTCCATGCCTACATGGATTACTATGTTGTCACAGGGAGGAAGCCTTTTGCTGGTGAAGCCGAAGCCTCTTGAACTCCCTTTCTCCCCTTGTGAATGTTTTCGTTTACCCCATCGTTCTATTATGTCTTCTTTGAGATGATTAGCATGTGATACCACTGGTGGGCAAACTTCTGCATGCATTGGATTGGCGTTTTTATTCATTATTCACTTTCTTTTTTTATTCTTCTCTACATGTTAGCCTTCTCATATTTGATCGAGATTGTATAAATCTGAGGATATTCAAATCATCTGCCCTCGATCCACAGAGTTTCGCTTGAAAGGGTACCATACAGCTGAAAATTGTAGACACATACACATGAACAAGGCCCTACTCAAAATCCCAAATGGTAGACTAAACCACCACAGTCCCCGGATCTATAGACGCTGATAAAAGAAGCCCGCAGATTGGCTGGTTGCCGTGTGGATTAGTCATCCGCCAAGAAAAAGCTGCCATCCACTTTGAAAGTTGATCCAGAGTGCATGCGACAAGCCCAACGCAATTGGCTCCCCCATATCACAGCAGAGCTCATGCCTTTCGGTAGACATGCCTACCGGCATGCGTTAAAACCACCTGCAACCCCGACGCTCGACCACCTGTGGATCAGCGATGACCTACTCGCAGCCACGTTCCGTCGTTTCGCTAACGGCCAGCGGCGCCATGGGAGCTGTGTCCCCGGACCCCTGGAGGCGCGAAGACGCCTTGCGAAGAGACGGAATACTGCACTTGCTGGATTCGGGGGAAACTCCGCTGAGGATATCTCGTGTTTGTTTGGTCGATATGGACGGGAGCATATGAAGTGGACGGACCATCCGTGGCAGAGGGCTCAGTTTGAGACCCAGGGTATGTTTTTGCAATTGGCTGTTGATTGGGTATTTTGATTGAGCTAATCGTTTCAAAAGGCTTGGCCGATCATTCTTTAGGTCCTGATACTCCGTTTCCTTTCTCTGATCAGAATCCTGTACCTGAGCCCAGCGATTTCCGTGTTTCCAATGCTTCGCCGGAGCCCGTCAAAACATACTACAAAACGAATGAGCAGCTACTGGAGGTGTTTTTAAGTGGCAGTGATTGGGGAATTGATGATGCTCGGGATTTCACTCGTCGATTGAGGATTGACCTTCAACGGGAACCACGATACAGTCGACAGATATTCGAACGGTTACTCGCGCGTTCGGACCGGAACCTTACGGAAGCAATTGCCTTTCTCGATGATCCGTTTTTGAACACCCGGGGCTCTGGGAATTATGTTGCGGCAGTCGAGATCTTTCTCCGGGGGCAAGAAAAGGTCGCAAAACGAACCGCCGTCCTGGATGCGATCAACCGTGCGCTGGAACTGGGTTTGATCTCGACTGACGAGATTTGCAAGATTATCACTGCTCTGCCAAATATCGTGATAGCACGGAAAGGGACGTTGGCATCGGGAAACCAGAAGAAGCTGTTGAAGCACTACCAGGCTATGTGGAAAGCTATCGGATCTTGCAATATCCTCGGATATCACGATCTGGACAGAAAGATTATCGATGTTTGGCTTGGAGAGCTCCTCAGTATTCGCAGCTTTGAATTTGCTGAAGAAGTCATTATCGAAACCCATGATGCTGGCTCTCGCAGCCAATGGCCCTCCCTTCTGGTTCAAACTTGGTTGGAAGCTATGGGCGAGGCCGAGTTGGAGACTAGCCTGCCCTATCCTGACAAGATTTTTACCCAACTGGATGTGAATTGTGCTGCGGACTGTCTCATCCGTGTGACCGAGTCATTGTTAACCTCTTCAGCAAACAGACTCTCCAGAAAACGTATGATTCAACGATGGAAGGATTGCCTTTCGAGGATTACAGCTGTCTGGACTGTCGCAGAGTCGCAGATCTGGTTCGATTTCCCTCTTCCATCGGTTCAAGCACCACAGGAGCAGGCTCCTTTGAACCTTTCAACCCAACGCCAGATTGTCTTGCGCCTCTGGCTTCTACGCAATATCAGCCGATCTATGGGGCCAATGTACAGCAAAGTGGCCCGAACAACAGATCGACCAATTTCCTCATTGCTCAATCTCTTTGAACTCGTGGCCCAATCCAAGAACGGATCCTTGTTCACAGACTTGATGCGGGAAATCCATGCTCTCGACCTCCCATGCAATAGCCTTCTGCCGCTAGCTCTCAACACGAAGGGCAAAAACGCCATCACCAAAACCACCCGCGACACTCTCTGGCGGTTAGAAACCGCTCAGCTTTCCCTAGCTGAAGTATGGACAAACCCGTCCATATACAAGGGAGTCCAAAGACTTTTCCATGGCACATTCGAGGACATGTTCCAGCGCATGAATCTGACCAACCCAGCTACGGTGGATGAATTCTTGCATCTTGCCAGAACAGGAAACTCACAGAGCATCTGGTCTGTCCTGAGAATAATGAACAACAACACCGCATTCAAGCTCTGCCTCAACAAAGCTTGGATCCCCATTCCTCACCCCGACGAAAAAGTCCTCGTCCGCTACCACCCGCCTCAAACCGAGTACCCCGAACCCCATGCTGCAGTTGACCTGATCAACAAACTGGCAATCGCTTTCTCCTGCTGCGAAACCCTGTCCCCGTGTCAGGCTTACCACATGGTTCACTGGCTCTACGATTTCCTTCGCAGACACAGTGGCCCCGTCGATCCAATGCTCTGCCGGGCATTGTATCATGCTGGTGTGACTCGGTATCGTCGTGATGGTGGTTACGTTTCAGCTACCCGGTACGAGTATATCTTGTGGATCATTCGCAAGTTCGAGGGTCCTGAGGTTGCTAAGCAGCTCAGTTCCTTCGGTGCCATCAGGGAGTCGATGACGTTTGATGACGATTATGATTGTTGATTGCAATCCGTGCATGTATGTGCTGGTGGTTTCAACCGCGTGAGGTTCTGTACTATAAATTATAGATACCCATACTCAACTTGCCTGCGGGCTTGATGAGAGCTTAAATTCTACAAGGCATTTATATGTCAAGCTTTTGAAACCTTCCATTTCTGGCCGTATATTCTAAGCTTGTAGCATAAAACTGTACGTCCACAACGTTGGATCAGTACAATTGTAGGGAAACATAATGAGACAGAAGAAAGCCACCGTGCGTGCATTAATCAATTGAAGGCCATTGGCCTATGTATCGAGAAAAAGATCTAACTATCAACCTCCATGCTCTCCCCGGTGGCAAGGTTATCAACACCAGACAAAGTCTCGATGGTGACATATTTCTTCATATCCTCCTTGCTGATAACCTTCTGGTTCAACCAAGCAGTCGTACCACGAGGGAAGCGGTAGTTGCGCTCCTTCTCTCCACGTTCGTTGGGCTTCATGTAGTTACGGAGCAACTGCGTAGGCTTGTCCTGCTCGATAACACACACGTCGACATTGCTACCAGATCCCAGATCGTTGAAGATACCAGCCTTGATCGCCTCGGCACAGATGTCGATAGCGCCCTGGCGGTCCAGGTCGGGTTGCCACATCGACTCGAACACCGACATCGCCGCAAGCGATCCGGATCCCATCGTCACGTACGGCAGCTTGTCTGTCGAACCGTGTGCGTGCACAGTGTACAGACCTGTGCCGGTCGGGTCAACGCCCGCAACCACCAGGTACGCTCCGATGTGGCCCTGGTACCGGAACAGGTGCTGCTTCAGCATCGTCATGCAGGTGATAACGCGGGGGTCGCGGCCTGTTGATAGAGAGTGCAGTTCGACATTGGAGCTGATGAGGGCGGTGGTGAATTCGGTGTCGGCTGCGGTACCGGCGCCGGCACACCAGATCTTGGGCGCGATGTAGTGTAGTTTCTCACAGTTCTATCAGAAGAGGTATGTCAGAGGGTGTCCGAGTGGATGATCAGAGTAAGCTGTCTGTTGCCCACCTTGTCTGCTACAATGGGACCACTGGTGGCTCGGGTGTCTGCTGCAATCTGCAATCACGGTGAATGTCAGCTCCTGGAATCAAAGAGCTTCCCAAAGCCCTCGAATCATGGGGTACTGTACCACAACACCCTTATCATAGACACATCCCACAATTGTTGTACCAGTGCTTGTAGCCTTGGGGAGGGGAACGCCCCTGGCATGAAGCGCCGCATTGCGGTTGTAGTTGGAGAAGTCGAAGCCCGGCATCGTGAACTACGCTGGGTGCGCGACCAGCGGAACGGGATATCTGAGTAGAGGGCGGAAAAGCGAAGGTGTATAAGAGAGAGAAAATCAGATACGGCGGAGGTCGTGAATGGTAGAATGAAGAATGGAGGGGAGCAAGCTGAAGATGGGAGGAAGAGGAAGTGAGCTGTTTGGAGTGACGAAGCTCCCGCAGCCTAATGGCCTGAAACGTCAGGCAGAACAAAGGTGTTTTTGTTGGACATTATTTTCGGCTTCAGATGGACTTTGGGTTCTCTGCTTTCTTACCACTTTTCATCTCCGAGGGTTACTTAGTTTCATTTGCTTTTCTTCTCGATTGCGAGAAGTCGCGACCTCAAGATTTTCACGCGCACCCTTCACCTCTTCAACCGGAGTCCCCAATCACTCCACCGACGCTCTTTCTCTCCTACACCTCCCACCTCCCCGTCTGCCAATGCTTTCAGGACAAGTTCACCTCTAGGTGATACTACTCGTTCTGTCTCTGCAGACTTTGAGAAATACAAGATGTCTTTCGGCTTCCCTGCGTCCACCCCCGCTGGGGGCGGCGCGGAGCTTGGCTCAGAGCTACCTGATGTCTTTACCGACGTACGTCCACCCCGCTAGAGCTTTCACTGACCTTGACAGCTCTGTTCTAACATATTTGTAGGAAATCGGCTTCAAAGGTGTCTCAGGCGACGCCAACGTTCGATTCCTCCCGACTGCCTGGCCCGACGACGCCCTTCCAGCTCCCACCTCTTCCCTTCTCGCAGTCGCGCATACCAAAGGCCTGATTGTTGGCGCTGGTCCAGATGCGCTCGCAATCAGCAGCAATGACGCTGTACGCAAGGCCATTGAGGCGCCTGCCGGAGAAGACATGGAGAAGACAAAGGCCTTTCAACCCCATGCTACAATACCTCTTCCCGCGCGCCCTACCCATATCGCATTCAGTCCGGCCGACGATGCCTTGATTCTGGCCACAGAGAACGGCCCCTCCATCTCAATTTTTGAAACCACAAGCCTCACCCAGGGTAATGCGCAACCCGCGCTGCAGATCCCCACGAATGGTGTATCGCTCCGCGCTCTCGTGCCGAACCCTGATGCTACTTCCACACTTGTCGCACTGGTCACCGTTAATGGCGACCTGCTTATTGCTGACCTGAAGGCCGGCAATACGGTCCCTGGTCTCAACGGCCCGGTCCTCAAGACTGGTGTGAGCTGCGTTTCGTGGAGCAACAAAGGCAAGCAGCTTGTGGCTGGGTTGGCCGACGGTACCGCATACCAGATGACCCCAGATGGAACCAAGAAGGATGAAATCCCCCGGCCATCTGACCTTGAAGGCGAATGCCATGGTATGTTTTTAACCTATTAGTCGGATCTTGAAGTGCGCTTTCACTCACAACTATATAGTTTCATCCGTCGCATGGCTGGAAAACGACGTCTTTTTCATGGTCTACACACCCAACATCTTAGAAGATGATATGGGAATGATCCCAGCATCTTCTTACTACATCATTACTCGACGCAAGCAGGCCCCGTTCTTGATTCAGAAGTTGCCTGAGATTTGCTCGACCATGGGTTTCACCCTGAAGCGTGCGCCTGCATACCAGTTCATCACAAGAATCAGAGACTACAAGCCTCACTTGAAGGACGTCCTGATTGTTTCGTCGACCGTGTCCACCGATGTTGGACTGATTACTCGATCGGATCAGCCTCTAGCAAACGATGAGAGAACTAAATTCCATGTTGGACAGTTCATGACCACTGAGGTTTCGGATGATACAAAGCGCGCCAGTGTCCCTTTGAAGGACTCCGTTGATGAAACCTCAGTCATTGGTCTGGCACCAAACCTGTCAGCCACTGAACCTGTACCGGACCCGCTCCCAGGTTCAGATATCTCCGAGAGTTCAAGCCCTCTTCCCGGATTGTTCCTCTTGAATAACGATGGCATCCTCTCGTCTTGGTGGCTTCTCTACTCCGAAGCCATTCGCCAGAACACTCCATACTCCGGATTGGTTTCAGCCGGTCAGGTACCACAGGCTCAGCCTGCAGCGCCCGCAGCCCCGGCCGCAGCCCCGGCAGCTGCACCCCAATCTGGCTTCGGACAGTCATCCTTTGGCAATACCTCGACCTTTGGCTCAGGCTCTTTCGGAAAGCCAGCTGGCGGTGCTTCCTTTGGCAGCCCGTCGCCCCTTGGTGCATCGACTATGGGTGCGACTGCATTTGGCAAGCCGTCATTCGGCAGTCCGACCCAGATCGGCGGAAGTCCTGCACCGGCATTTGGAACACCTTCGACCCCGGCTCCCGCCGCCCCATCGTTCGGAACTCCCTCTCAGCCCGGCGCCCAATTTGGACAACCCAGCTTTGGACAACCTAGCTTTGGACAGTCCAGCGCCCCAAAGAATCCATTTGGTGTTAGCGGTGCATCTACTGGGGGAGGTTTCAGTCAGTTTGGAAGTGGAGGCGGCTTTAGTAGTTTTGCGGCAGCGAAACCAGGCGAATCGCCGTTCGCCAAGGCTGCTTCTGGAGAAAGTGCTTTTGCTGCGGCTAGATCAAGTGAATCGCCGTTCTCCAAGCCGGTCGAATCACCATTTGCAAAGGCTTCTACCGGGCAGAGTGCTTTTGGCGCGGCCAAGACAGACGAGTCACCGTTTGCAAAGGCTGCTACCGGGCAGAATGCTTTTGGTGTGGCCAAGCCAGACGAGTCACCGTTTGCAAAGGCTGCTACCGGGCAGAGTGCTTTTGGTGTGGCCAAGCCAGACGAGTCGCCATTTGCTAAGCCTGCTTCTGGGGAGAATGCTTTCTCCAAGGGCTCGGCTTTCGAAAAGCCCAAGTCTGAAACATCCTTCGCGACCCCCTCTGCGAATGGAGTGAAGAATCCTTTCGGTGCCGGGTTAGGTGGATTCCAGCTTAAATCCAATTTCAAGGGTGACGGCACCGCCGCTAATGATCTTCCAAAGTCAGACAAGCCTCCTTCCTCAGGGGCATTCTCATTTGGCGGATCATTTGATGACATGGTGTCGACACCGAAAGAAGGAAACTCCGACAGCGAGTCTATGGACGATGACTCGGACGACGCCGCGCCTACGAGTAACGAGCCATTCTCTATCTTCGGTGGACCCAAACCCACTGGGGAGCCTCCCACCTCGCTATTCGGTTCTACGAAGCAATCTTCTAAGACCACGACTTCGGCTGAAACCAACAAGACCTCTTTCTCATTCGGTAACATTGCCTCCCAGAATCAGGTGACAAGTCCCTTGTCGGCGCCTTCTGATAAGACTGAAACGCCAAAGAAAGATCAGTCAGAGGCTCCATTGCCCCCCGATCCTACTAGCCGGGCTAGTTACGCCCCGGGAGATACCTCAGCTTCCTCGAACGTTTCAAAGAGCTCGGTAGAAGACGCCCCTCTTCCTCCGGATTTCACCAAGAAAAATGCCTCTCCCAAAGCATCAACTGATGCCCCACTGCCTCCTGACTTCATCCCCAAGAAGAAATCTGTACCTCAAGTGGACGATGCTCCTCTGCCTCCTGACTTTATGAGCAAGCCTAAGAAGTCTGAGACTCCTGCTAGCCCCGAGGACGCGCCGTTGCCACCGGACTTTGTCACCTCGAAGCCCAAGAGTATACCTGCAGAAGAGGCGGTGCCAGTACCTGATGCAGACTCCGACGCAGATGAGTCTGATTTCAGTGACAGTGGTGAGGAGATCACCCACGAGGAGACGAAGGCGCCTAGTCCCAAACCATCCGCAGAAAGTTCATTTGGTGCACCATCTGAAAAAAGCTTTACGGGAGGACTCTTCAGTGGTTCTGCCAAAACTACACAGAGTAAGGGACCGTTGCCGAGACAGCTCTTTGGTGAGATTCCGAAGCAGCCTCTTCTCCCCCCTCCCGGGCCCACTGCTCAAAGCAGCCGCGAGCCTCACCGGTCACCTAGCCCGACTAGAGGCGGCCCCCGCAAGGAAGTGATGTTCTCAGAGAGACCACAAAGTCGCAAGGTGTCTACAAGTGCGCTGCACTCCCGGAAGACTTCTCTGACGCAACTTGCGCAGCGTGACAGGCACCTCAGAAAGGCCAGTGACATTGCTCGCGAAGAGCAAGAACGGGCACACGCAGCTGCTCAGCGCCAGGCATTGGAGGAGGAAGAGCTTGCTCTATCTGACGATGATGAGGACGAGAGACTTCGTAACGAGCTCGCTCAACCTATCGAGCCCGCTGACACCCTTGATCCATTCCTGCCCCACCAAAACTACATGGGCGAGACGGCGAAGCCAGGTATTCCTGGACAGATTGAGCTGCTCTACCGCGACTCCAATTCGATGGTTGATACCGCAGGCATCAATGCCCGGTCAGTGAAGGCCTATCTTGCCTATCACCAGCCCGCACAGGAGTCCGATGATTCTAAGTGGGATTACATTCTCCAGGGTGAACACCCTAACGATATTCTTGATGTCAAGTTGTTCTTTAAGGACATCGAAAACTTCCACAAAATGGTTGCCACCATCTCTCGCTCGCTCGAATCTCAGCGTGTGCAAGGAGTAGAGGAGAAGCTGCAGGAATGCCGCGACCTTCTCACCAAGCAAGTCATCACCTTGCGAAGCCAATTCGCTGGGATTCGCAAGACATTGGATGCCCACACTGATATTGGCGCCATCCTTGAAGCGCCACTTTCCGCCGAGCAGTCTACACTCCAACTTGATCTCCGGACGGCATTCACGGACATCCAGGCCAAGCTGGCCGATATCGAGCAGGCCGTGTCTCTCCTACGCGCCCAAATTGCCGATGTCCCCCGAGCCAATGGAGCCAGTGGCAACCGACCTACGGTGGAAGCTGTTATCAAGACCCTCAACACTATGATGACCATGACCGAGAGCAAGCGAACCGATATCGATGTCATTGAATCGCAGATGCGCCGGCTTGGCGTGGAACCTACCGGAGGTGCATCCCCTAGCCGTGAAGGATCACCCTTTACCACTCCCCGAAAGACTGCCGGCCGAGTGCCCATGACTCCCGGCTCGCGTGGTTCTTTCGATGGAAGCGCCTACCACACCCCCGAGTCCGCAACTCGCGGTCTCAACTTCCGGGCTAGTATCGCTGGCTCAGCGAAGCATAGCCGCCTTCGCAGTGTGGAGGGAGCAGGCGAGCTTGATGTTCCGGTTGAAGAAGCCACCCGCTGGAAGACCAAGTCAGCACGTCGACAGCACTTGGTCCAGAACCTCAAGAACGCCATCGACGGGAAAAAGACCAAGTTGCGCGGCGTTGACGACCTTTGACTCTAATTTTGACATGAACTTGGGCGTTGGGAATTTGCTAAGATCTTAGGGCTGAATTGTGGGGATTTCCTCTTAGCTACAGTCAAACTCATAAATGACATCATTCTGTGACATCAGTCCACGTAGAACAATCCTTTTCACTCTGTGTAAGTTGTAAACACCACTGTATCACCAACATGTCTCAATCTATCTGTCAATTTATCTTCTTCCGGGTCAAGCCGTCGGTCAAACCGGAAGACCCGTCGAACGAAGAAGGCTATGCTTTGATGGAGGTCCTCCGTGCGACCAAACACCAAAACGGCCATGAGAGCTCGTCTTGGGGACGCACGGTCGAGGATACAAACACGATCGTCTGGGTCGTAGGTAAGTTCTGTCCAGCTTTCTCTACAAGTCAAGTTCCATACCCGACCCCTCCAGCTCCAATATACACCATTTTATACAACTCCCACTACACCCTACAACCCGACATTCATACAATCATACAAACCAAGAGAGCCACCAACTAACAAACCAACAGACTGGACCGACGCCCGCTGCTCAACAGATACAAACCTGCTAGCCCCCTTCCTCGACCCCTCGAACACCCAACCCCCAACATCAATCTACGTAACCCTAGTCCCACCAATCAGATGCACAGCAACCCTAACCATGAACCCGGTCACAGAGCTCTGCGCGCTCCCATTTGCGAGCCAGCTCTCCGTGCCAGAAACCAAACAGCTGAGCACGGATCTGATTAATTTCCGCAAGGCGCTAGTCGAGCAGCTGCCGCAGCAGGCTGGGCCGAAGTCGTGGGCTATGGGTCATGTTGACCGACCCAGTAGGCTGCCACATGCGAAGAGTCCCGATGGAAAGGCTGTTGTGTATTTCCTCGCTGCTGGGTGGGATAGTGTAGATGCGCATGTTCGGGCTAAGGAGACGGAGAATTTCGCAGAGGCGATTCGGCCTATTCGGGAGAAGATGTTGCCTCCTATTCCTGGGTTGGAGATGAAACATGTTAGTTTTCAGATGGTTTAGTTGGACAGTAGGGGACGAAAGACAGGTGGATGAAAAAGCGAAAGAAAAAAAGAAAGAACGAAAAGAGAGAGGAAGGGTGGCGCTGTGGGTTAGTTAGGGTGGTTGAGGGCTGTGGGTGTATGTAATTGCGTTGCGAGGCGCGGATAGGATATCGGTGGTAATTAGAGGCAATGGAAAGGAAAGGGCTACTTGGTTCAAGGGATAATTGTGGGAATTGTTATTAGGCAAGGCAAAAAAGAAAGGTCAAACACCCCCTGGAATAAGATACAACAAGTTCAAAGTGAAAAGGAAAAACGCCTCGAGAGATATTGAAGGCAAAGAGAGAGTTATCATAAACCACCGTGGACTTTTGGGCAGAACACCGCAATGGGATTTCTCATGGAAAGCATAGCAAGGGCTGCTATGCTTAAATACGGTGCTTCTCGCTTTCTGTGTCAGATCGTTAGTTGGGTCATGACGCAATAAGAGAGATCAGTGGGGATCTAGAGGCCAAACGAACCAAGTCGGGAATAAAGCATGTAAAGGGCCATCTGGTTGCACTCTGCAGTGCCCGTGATGGTGACGAGACGCTCGTTGCTGCTTTCCTGGGGCTCGTTGATCTTGATCACACTGCCACTGAGGTGACGGATCTCGTTGATCTTGGCGCCACCCTTTCCAATGATGGCACCGACCATGTCGTTGGGGATGTAGATCTGTTGAGTCAGTGGCTGACCGGGCATGGCACCACCCACGGGGGCGGGGGCAGTAGGGGGTCCACGGGGAGCAGGGGTTGGCTGGGGGCCGGCAACGTATGGGGCAGCGGGCTGGTGGGGTCCAGCACCACCGTAGGGGGTTTGGGGAGCAGCGCCGAAGTGCATAGGGGACTGAGCAACCGGGGCGGGGGTGGGCTGGCCGTGCAGGTAGGGAACACCGTAAGCACCGCCACCGGCGCGGTTAGGGTGAGGGTGGTGACGCTTGAAAGTATCGGGGTGTCCGTATTGGCCGCCAGCGGGCTGGGGAACATAAGGCACGACCTGCATGCCACCGGGGACAGCACCGGCAGGACCACCGCTGCGAGTGGCGTAAGCGGAAGCTGCGGGACCGCCGTAACGCTCGGAAAGCTGCTCAACCAGTGTGACGGCAACGTAGTAAGTAGCGATATGCACGGCGTCGGCAACACCGAGGATGACGAGGGAACGCTCGGTGGACAGAGGAAGACAGGCATCAGAAGCGTTCAGACGGGCACCGGAGGCCTCCTGGATCTCACGGATACGGCTGCCACCCTTTCCGATGATGGAGCCGATGAGAATGTGGGGAATTAGCAAACGCAAAGGGTACGTCTTGGACTGGGCAGTGGATGGAGCCTCAAGGGGTTCATTGTTGAGAGTACGAATGATTAAACCAAATGCCTGGGGTGTATACTTAGCAATCAAAAAATTCCGTACTTTGCTGGGCGGAGACTCACCTTAGCAGTAGCATCTTGGGGGCCGCTGACGGTCAGGATACGCTCCACGGCACCCCGAGAGTAATCGCTGACAGTGCACTTGGCACCTGACAGACGACGGATTTGTGACACATTCTCACCTCCCTTTCCAATAACAGTGGCTGCCTCGGGGCTAGAGATCACAGCCCGGATGTGAACCCAGCTCGACTCGTCCTGGGGTTGCTGATCAGCGCCGGCTCGGTCACCCTGGGAAGCTGTTGATTGGATAGGCTGGGTGTCGGCAGGGAGTCCCTTGCCGTTGGGGGCATCGGGGACGACTGTATCTCCCTGAACATCCTTGGCGGCATCGACGGCAGGAATCTGGGCGCTCGATACATCGGTCTCTGCCTCAGCTTCGTCCTTGACTACTTTGTCGAGAGCTGGGCGCTTGGCCTCGGGCTGATCATTGGGGCCAGAAGGCGACGACGGGTCCTCAAGAGGACGCTTGGTCGATTGCAGGTTGGAAGGAGAAGCGGACATTTTGGGTAGTCTGTGCTGCTGTTTTCTTCACTTACGAGTGAAAGATCGAAAAGGTGTCAAGAACGAAATCTGCTTTCTTCTTTTATGATCGACTATGTACACCAGGGGTTCCCACGAAAGGTGCTGGTGCTGGCGATCGAAAGGGGAGACTGGTGCTTTTGAAAGAAGATTGGGAGGTTGTGGAGGAAGATGGAAGTTGAGGAAGTGCCGAAGTGACGGGAATAAGTGCGGGCTCAGTGGTGGTGAGAGGGCTGTGCAGTCTCAACCGGGGAAGCTTCACGGGGTTGCAGAGATGCTCGAGAAGGGTATGGTAGCGAGGAAGGTGGAAATGGGGCCTGAAATGGATGCGACGGGAAATATGAAACCAGGCTAAAGAAATATCAAGGGCCAGAAACCGTTGACTGCTGTACCACCGATAACGTCTGCGAATCTGAGGTCAAGGGGCTACACTGGAGTAGCTTTGGTGATGAAAGCTGACAATGACTTGAATAAGTCAAATCCAAGGGGAATTGCTGACGGGAAAATGGATGGGGAGATGGTTAAGGGGAGGTGAGGTGACGAGTGGGAAGTCGAGGGAACAGCTCGGTCACGTGAGGGCGATCATGGGGTGTGCAACATCGTGTTTCCCATTTGTTTACTCTGCGCAAGCAACCGATACATGCAAACGTTCAATTGGGGTCTCATTTAATACCGGATCATTCAATCCACAAATCTTGTAATCCACACCACCCCACCCAACAAAACATGGAGATCTCCGACCAAACCGTGCAGAAGATCGAGAGATTCGCAGAGAACCGCCAAGTAGCAGAGCGTGAGTCTGCACGAGAGCCTCTGAGTGACACTGCATTACATGCCTACACAAGACGGTTGGACGCAACCCTGAAAGGTCTCCAAGAGCAAGTCAAACGCCAAGAAAACGATCTGATCAAGGTACATTACAAAAGCTCTACGATCGAGAATATCCTAGCTAAACATGATTCTAGTTGCGAGAGCTTAACTCCATTGAACTCCCAGAACCGGGCACTGACACATGGGCCCGCGTTTCGCAAGCCCGACGGGCCAAGAAAGCATACGATTCAGTCCTCAAATCTGAACATGAGCTTCCAGCAACAGATTCAGTGTTGCCCTCACTTCTCGCCCTAGAAGAAACAGCCCGGCTCATCAAAGACAATAAAACCTCCGTCCAATTGACAGCTGAACAGCTATCTACGGACCGAGATCGCCTCCGCGTAGAAGACGCCAATCTACGCGATTCTCAAGCAATCGCCAGTGGACTCCGAGAGCGCATCCAGTTCATTCGCAATGCGCAAAGTAGGAAAAGCGACCAGACCCCATCCCAGGTTGCGCGTGAGCAGGTGATTCAGCAGAAGAAGCAGAATAAGGATCTGGACCGTACTTCTGCGCGTCTGAAGGTTGATCTGGATAAGTTCATAGATGATACTCTTGCTCCGATGCTTGCTGCTGAGGATTTGGGTGGCCCGACTGTTGGTGATGCGCTCGAGGTGTCGGATGCTACGTTGAAGGCTGGGTATACGGCACATGGCAAGCCCAAGAAGCAGAAGCAGCCGGTTGAAGAGGAGAATGGGTCGCAGCAGCGGATTGATCAGTTTATGCAACGCAGTGGGGATGATACTTCTCTGAACAAGAGGGAAGCTGCTGCGAAGGAGTTTCATCAGCTTCTTGATGATCTATTGGATGCCAACACTTCATATATCAATTTGAAGCGCGACTCGGCATCTTCGAGGTTCCTTGTTAGGGCCAAGGTTGCCCAATTCCACCCTCGAGATGCACGACGGCTTCGATTGATTGATTTTGGTCGCTCGCTAGGAAATTGAGGGGAACAATTTAGTGACAAATGGTGTTATTAAGGTGTATCTTATATCCTAGTCCTTTGTGATAGTGCCAAATATGAACACACGCATCGAGTCTATGCCATCACCGACGACGTATCATAAAACATAAACACAAACACCTAGAGATGCTTTATGCGTAAACGCCCAAATAATCATGAATATCTCAAACAAGAAAGAGAAAAAAGAGAAATCAAATAGGCATCATTCCAATCGTAGACTTGGGGGTCTTGGCTCTCGCATTCTTTCGCGGCCCAGACTGGCTCGTAGGACGGTCTCCTGACTTCGCTTTCGATCGCGAGCCTTTTCCCTTGGAGCTGCTAGTCGAGCCATACTTTCGTCGCGGTGCTCGTTTGCCAGGCTGGCGTTTGCGGCCTTTGGGGCCAGAAGCTGAAGTACCAGCATTGTAGTCGTCACCAGAGTCGTACCCCGGAGATGGTTGTGGGAAATAGCGGCTTGTGATATTTTCAGAGGCATTGGTAGCCGCGGGCTGAACAGGATTGTCCAGTGCGAAGCCAGTAACGTCATCCATAAATAGGTCATCGTCACTGTACTCGTCACTGCTGCTGAGATTGATGACATTGTGGTGATTGGGGTCCGGAACGATGCCGTCGGTCTCTGCCTCTTGTGTCATTTCATCATAGCGTCGCTTTGCATGTCCAACGATCTTGAGAATCCCTCGGCCATAGCGCTTCACTTTGTCCTGGTCGATGTTCGGAATTCTGGCAAGCTCATCAAGATCTATTGTGGTGTGAGCTTTGGGGTTCCTATAGCCTTGCATATTGATACTCACCTCGGGGGAATGAAATTCCCATTTCACGCAACATCTGATCAGAGAACGGCTGGGAACGAAGGTTCTTCTCCACAACAAGCTAGGCAAAAAAGTCAGTTTCACCACAGTGCACTGATGGGAACAGCGAGCATTCACCTTTTGGAGATATTCTTTGGCATTCACCTCAAAGCCTTCCACGACTGCACGATGCAGATGATCAAGTCTCTCCAACCGTTGATCGCAGGTGATCGGAGGACCCGACTGATGTGTGCTCGCACGACGAGGTTGGCTGTTAGTTCGAATTGGTTCAAATCCGTCGTCACTTTCATCGTCGGCCGCAAAACGATTACCTAGGGAGCCAGTGTATTGGAAGCGTTCCATGCGTCGATCTTGAGCAGCGATCACTGGCGATGAGACCATGGTGGAATGAGGAGCACCCTGGGCACCAGATTTTGATTTCTGCCCAGCAGCAGCCATCTTGCTTTTAGCCTTGGCCTTGGCTGCCTTGCTGTTCGGGGAAGCGCGAACCTCCAGTTCCATTCGCCGCTTACCAGACTCATACTCGGCTGCACGGCGACCGAGAATGATGTACTGAACCGCGAAGTCCTTTTTGTTGATGACGTTGTCTTCAGCCAGTGCGTCTTCGCCCAGTAACCGATAAAACAGACGTTCGGCTTCTCCCCGATCCAGGCTCGCACCTTTCCCATACCCTGCCATTTTGCGGTGTGATGGATCCTTCGGCCTTTTGCAATCACCGCGAAGTATGTCTGCGCAATACAGAACAGTCACTTTTGCTTTCTCTATCTGTAGGTTTCGCACAATCTTAATAGCCCATGAGGCCTGCTCAGAGAAGTCATGAACCTCAAACACCAAGTCAGACTTGCAGTTATCACATGTGTTGTTACAATCGTCACGGCGAAAGTACTCATTGAAATATGCGAGAACTTGCACACGTCTGCAATCGCTGCGGTTCTCACAGAATTGGACCACGTTCCGCAACATCTGCTTCTGGCGTGCTTTTTGTTGATAGCTGCCATCTCCCGAATCAATCATGCGCTTCAAGGTTGCGGTGTCCCTGTAGCCGTAGTAGAGATAACAGCCGGAACGCTTTCCATCTCGGCCGGCACGGCCAGTCTCTTGATAGTATCCCTCGAGACTCTTTGGGATGCTGTGGTGCATGACGAAGCGTACATCAGGCTTGTCGATTCCCATTCCGAAGGCAATGGTAGCTACGATGATGTGTAATCGACCCGCCTGCCACTTGGCCTGCACCTCCGATTTCTCTTGCGCCGTCATTTTGGCATGGTAATGTTTGGCTTTCAGACGATACTTCTTTTCTAGATCTTCTGCAACTTTCTCACAAGTTGCCCGAGAGAGGCAGTAAATGATCCCACACTGGTTTCGGTAGGAGCTTGTGATAGTCTCTGCCATACTGGCCAACACTTCATCATTCTTTCCTTTTGCCCGCACCTCGTAGGTTAGATTGGGACGGTTGAAACTCTGCAGGAACACTTCACATCCGGACATTTTGAGGTTATGCATGACGTCCACCTTCACATTTTCTGTGGCTGTGGCTGTGAGGGCCATGAGGGGTACTCCAGGCAGCCTGTTTCGAACTTCTCCCAGTTCTTTGTAGTCAGGGCGGAAATCATGACCCCATTGACTGACACAGTGAGCCTCGTCAATGACAAGGCGCGCTAGTCTTTTTCTCCGGTGAAGCTTCTCCAGGGCATTGACCAACGTTTGGTTTTTGTTGATCATTTCGGGGGTGATGTACAACACCTCCAAGTCCTCCCCTTCGGTGTGGGAAAGTTGATTTAGAATCCACGAGCGTTCTTCTCTGTCAGAGTCACCATTCATCATGAAGGCCTTGACGTCCAATTTGCGCAGGTGTGACACCTGGTCCTCCATCAAGCTCAGCAATGGAGATACCACAATGGTCACACCCCTAGTGTGGCCACCTGTTACAATTGAAGGCAACTGATAGCACAGAGACTTCCCTCCGCCTGTGGGCATGAGAATGAAAGTGTCTTTTCCGGCAAGCGTTGCGTCAATGGCCTCTAGCTGGTTTGGTCGGAACCCACGAAGGTGAAATCGATCTTTTAGAACGGTTCTCACCTCTTGAGACCACGGATGATTCGACCAGAAGGCACTACGGCCAGGGGACTTCTTTGGAGCGGGTGCCTTCTGGGTGTTGCCGGATGTCTCTGCAAACACCTTGCGATTCTGGCTAGTTTTATCGGGTATAGAACTTTGGTGACCTTCATTGAAGCTCCCTGCTGCCTCTAGCATCTCATCGTCGCTGGCATTCCAATCAAAGTCATCGAAGTCCATTGAAGTAAGCGGCGGAGATCCCATGTTTCGGGAGATGGACAGTTCGTTGAAATTGTGACGTTGTGTCTCTTGCGGTCTTTTAGGGTTTATGACAGGCACATGCCGGCTTGGTTGTACTTCTTGGTGGGCAGTGGCCCGTGAAGAGAAGGACGGCTCTTGTGTGGCTGTGCGGGTTTCAAACGATGATTCAGTATGATTCATAGAGGATGATTCAGGAGGGCAGTCATGCACCAGGTCAAAGATCTTAGCCTGAGGAAGTAGCTGAGAAATCTTTGTTTCGATTTGTTCCAACTCGGCCTCAACTGCTCGACTCTGCGCAAGCTCTTCCGGCATGGTTGTTGGATCTAGACCTTGGGAGATTGCGTGTATCAGATTCTCTTTCAAGCTCTGCTTGCGCGAAATGCAAGCCTTATGCATGGCTTGATGTTTCTGGAGCTGTTCAATCATCCCAATTTGAGCAACAATATTCTTGTTCTCGGCGACAAGTTCTTGGTCTATTTGACCTTCCATGACCTGCTGGTATACAATCTCCGAGTTCTTTTGCAGGGTGGCCCTTAACTTGGAGACCGCATGCGGGAAAGAATTATATCCAAGGGACAAGACCTTTAGAAGACCTGGATCCCTCTCCTGCGAGTTAGATGGCTTTGACCATGGCGTTGAGGGGGTAGGGTCTTGTGAGGGCGTCTTTTGTTTCGTTCGAGTCGAGGGTTGTGTAGGTTGTACCGGTGCTTTGGGAGTAAGATCGGAACGCGTATTCCAGATGTCATTCTTTTCCTCATCACCCGCTGGACTGATTTCAGGGAGTATCGGGTACAATGACTCCTCGGTATCTAGCACCATATCATCAACATGGGTATCCTCACCGACCCAGTCGTCGAAGAGGTCCTCGTCATCATCGTCCGAATCTGCAATCACCTGATTTCGATGGCTTCGCGGGACAACCGGGGAATAATATTCGGATCGTCTCGCCGCGTTGGGTGGAAGGGTCTGGGCCGTCTGGCGTGACGTTGTGGGGTGCTTCAGAACTGTCTCCTCTCTAGCGGCTGGTGGCCGGGTGGCTTTCGCGGGGCTTCGCACTTTGGTCACATGTTTCGATGGTGAAAGAAGATCGGATGTATACTCGTCGCTCTTGCGCTTCTTGCCGCGTTTTTCGCGTGGTGTGACTTCCTCCGTCCATAACCCGCGCGGCTCTCCAAACTGGATGGTCCCTGACGTTCCCGAAGACAAAATTGACTGGTCAAGCCCTCCTGTCAAATCAATAGCTTCGATGGCGTCGTGCCTAGATTGTAGCGGGGACGACTTTGGCCGAGCTGTCTTATGTGATGACGCCGGAGGTTCGCGCAAAGAGTCTACTCAACACACAATTCCCGTCAGTATGATTGATCCCCAATAATTACCCATGCTCGGTCACGCACCTCGAGCGCTTGGCTTCGGCGAAGACCGTTGCTTCGTTGATGGCGTATTAGCGGAGGTCGTGTCGGGGCGACTCAGCATTCGAGGCTTGCTCGCAGATTGGGGTGCAAATAGAAGTCTGGCCATTTCTTCGTCCGCGTCGTCCTCCACATGTTCCGAAATATCATGGAGGGTCGTTGATTCGTCTGCGGGGAGAGCGGATTGCAATGCTTGATTGCGTTCAGGCAAGCTGACGAGAGCAGGACATGTAGGTGGTGCTTGCTTCAACAGCCATTTCAGATGAACGGCCAAGTTATTCTTCGTCATGGGGGCGTGTTACTCTCATGACCGTTGACGATGTTTTTCGAGATCAGCAATCGCGAAACCATAGACGCGTCGGCACGTGAGCGGTCAGGCAGATTGATCTATGACGACCAGTAGCAACGATTGACAGTTTAAGGTAATACATGTAATGATAGAAATGTAATATGGCATTGTATCCATTGACTATTATATACAATGTATTGAAACTAAGCGTAAACAACCACTAGCTGCACCCAACCTTATAGATCGGAAGGGGGCAAATCAGTGTGGGGAAAAAAGGCATAATTTCTGCCCCACGACGAAAATTCACGACGTTTGTACATTCAACCATGGGCAAAAAGGATAAGAAGTCCGCCGAGCACAAGGCACGTGTTGCTGCCAAGCAAACAAAGAAAGGCGACAAGAAGGAAAAGAGATCGAAGGCCAAGGGCAAAGATGCAGACAGCGATGCGGAAGACGCAGATCTGGATGCCATTCTGGCCCAGTACGCCGAGGAGCAGGCCAAGTTCTTGAAGGTCACTGAAGTTGTCTCTGAGCCTCCTGTTCCCCGGTCATCTTCAACAGTGCTGGCATCGCCGTCTAACCGGAATGAGATTTTGCTTTTTGGTGGAGAATACTTTGATGGCACGCATGCCTCTTTCTTCAACAATCTTTTCGTCTATCTGATTGATCGTGGCGAATGGAGGGAAGTGAATAGTCCCAACAGTCCACTTCCTCGCAGTGGACATGCATGGTGTCGTGGTGGAAACACCGGAGGTGTCTACATGTTCGGAGGTATGCTTATTGTGCTAAATATACCGAGAAGGCGTGGAATCTGACTTGAAACAGGAGAGTTTTCGTCCCCTAAACAGGGCACCTTCTATCACTACAATGATTTCTGGCATTTGGACACTGCCACGAGAGAATGGACTCGCCTCGAGACTAAGGGCAAAGGACCCCCTGCTAGGAGTGGTCACCGCATGACCTACTTCAAGGTATGAATCGACCAGAGAGACTCGGGCTCTGAGAATCCCAGGCTAACAGTCCAATCAGAACTATATTATCCTGTTCGGTGGATTCCAGGATACTTCCCAACAGACCAAGTACTTGCAGGATCTCTGGATCTATGATTGCCAGCAGTATACCTGGTCCAACCCCACATTGACAACTTCCCAAAAGCCAGACCCCCGCTCATCATTCTCACTGTTACCACACGAGACCGGCGCCGTTCTGTATGGCGGCTACTCGCGTGTGAAGGCTTCAGCAGGAGGGGGCGGTAAGCAAGGCAAAGGCCCCCAGAAGATGGCTCTCCGGCCCATGGTCCACCAGGATACCTGGTTCTTGAGAATCACACCACCCGCATCTGAAGCACCGGCGTCAACAGGTCCCGCAATTAGATGGGAGCGACGAAAGAAGCCCGCTAACACGCCAAACCCGCCGCGTGTGGGTACTACCATGGCATACCACAAGGGCCGTGGCATCATGTTCGGTGGTGTGCACGACGTGGAATTGACCGAAGAGGGCATTGACAGCGAGTTCTTCGATACGCTCTTTGCCTGGAACACTGACCGCAACCGTTTCTTCCCTCTGAGTTTGCGCCGTCCTCGTGCGCCTGGCAAGAAGCAGCAGGCGAACCAGGCCGCCAAGAATAAGAACAGGGGTAAGGCGGACGAGGAAGAGCTTTTGGCAAATCTCAAGGCTTTGGAGGCTAAGGTTGGAGTTCGGGGTGACGATGATGAAGATGAGGAAATGACTTCCACGCCTCAGCCTGAAGAGCCTGTGGAACCGGCCAAACCCTCAGTTGTTCGCTTTGAGATGCCACACAGGCGGTTCAACGCCCAGTTAGCTGTACAAGATGATACGCTTTTCATCTTCGGTGGTACATTCGAAAAGGGTGACCGAGAGTTCACTTTCGATGATATGTATTCCATTGACCTGGTCAAATTGGATGGCGTCAAGGAGATCTTCTACAGGGAGCCAGAGAACTGGAACTTGTTGAAGGAAGAAGACAGTGATGAAGACATGGACGATGAAGAAGACGACGATGAAATGGATGAAGATGAAGAAAAGGCTGACGAGATGTCTCTTGATGCTGCTTCGCCTGCTCCAGAAGACGTGGCGGTGCCGTCCGTTACTAAGAACATGGAGCAGCTCGAGGTTGAGGAGTCAGAAGAGCCCAATGTCAATGACAGCAGACCTCTGCCTCGTCCATTCGAGAGCCTGCGCGAGTTCTTCAGTCGTACATCTGAAGATTGGCAGAATATCATGATGGAGATTGCCAAGGAGAGAGATCAGGCTAATGAGAAGACGATCAAGGAACTGCGTAAGGCGGCGTTCTCTATGGCCGAAGAAAAGTGGTGGGATAGCAGAGAGGAGATCATGGCCCTGGAGGATGAGCAAGAGGCGGCAGGCATTGGAGAGGTTGTCAGCATATCTGATCGCACTGAGAACGCGGGAGGAGCTGGCCGTCGCCGTTGATTCTTCCGTAGAGATGCCAAAAAGAATTTATATGTTTCATGTCCAATGTTAAGATCTAAACTATACAATCATTTTTCTTACAACAGGGGTCATAAGTGTGTATGCCATGCTACTAATGAAGTATTGGACAGTCTCTACAGGAAAAGCTCAAAGCGAGTTCATCGTTTCATGCATTATTATATTATTATTTTTTGGCTTTGCTTTCGCTTTTCTTTTTTACGCCATTTTTTTGTCCATTTTAGAGTGCTACAAGTAAAGTATTGTGAAGCTCTTTCCCAAAGTAGATAATGTAGGTACCACTTCCTCCTCCTCGACTCTTACTCTTATGTTTCTTTTCCCTTCTTATCTCTTAACATCAAAGCATTGATAATGTAGCTTAAGGTCTTTTACGCGCCGTTTCTTGAGACTCTTCGGGGCTGTCTATATATCTATGCTGAGGTGAAAGACTACTTCCCCCACCTCCTGTGAGTGCTGTGATCAATTGTCATACCTGATTTGTTTGTGCTGTCCCTGGCAAGCATGGTCATCTAGTGCCCCTTACAAACTACTCCCGCCAGGTACATCTTCTGGTGATGCCTGCCACTTCATTTGGGAGCGTCGCCGGATCCAACCAGTACGTTGCGTTCCTGTAAGACATCCCGCCAAAAGATGATATTTGGCTACCAACGCACTGGTCTACTAGGATGTACACGCCTTCGGTTGGTGTCTATTGCACTCTTCGTGGTCTCGGGTGGGAGTGCAATAGTTCAATGCTGGTGTGTCCATTCTTGAGCACACTGAAGGCCTTGTTCCGAGGAATACGAGCTTATCGTGTATACCGAAAGTTCTGTCTACAACGAATCTATGACACAATTTTCCCTAGCGTCTCAGCTCGTTATACACCCATGGATGTAATTAGGGTTCGCTGTACGATCTCTTGGCAGTCACGTGGCTGATCTAATTCTCAGTTGAACCCCATCTCGATGGATGGATGCAATATAGCATTTCACGCTTTTCACATATATAAATTCCTGAGATTAATTACTCCACCTGTCAGAAACGCCTTTTGAGTATTCAAATCCTGGAGTATATCTCTATATATATATGTTTACCGATATATTTTCGTGTTGCACTTCTTCCCCAGTGTAATGCATGTATGTAGCCGTGTCACAGGACCGTCCCCCACTCACAATAGGTTCCTAGTTCACCTTTGCGTACGGATTCCTTGAGACACACCAAGATCGCTACACAGTGGAATAGCGGCACTGCAGGTAGGGTGGATATTGTACATTTGGTATCAGAATCATGAAGTCGTAAGTAGAAACAGATAGATCCAGTAGGATCATCCTCAATAGTATACACAGACACAAAGCCCACATCTCGCTCAGTAAATCTCAAAAGAAAGCACCACACCTCGAATCCTCATGCACTTTATAACAATCCAAGCTACAAGTCCTCAAATGACAACTCTTACACCGAATCTTCCCCCAATACCCACACAAACAACAAAAATGCCGTGCCGGCCTCGCAGAAGACGGCGCCTTTGCTCGGGAAGCATTATAAGAAAGCGGCGGCTCAGACAGCAACCGCATCATAAGCCGTTCAGACGGAACAGGCGGCGCATAGGAGCGTAGCAGGGGATCCTGATCGAATTCTGATTTGATGAGTTTGGGTTTGCGCGCGGGAACGTCCTCATCACCCGTCTCCGCTGTTGTTGGCGCGGGCGTTGACGCGGCTGTTGTCGTAGCAGTAGATGTACCCGTAACAGCCGCAGAAGGCCGTTTCTTGCCCGCCACGCTGGCAGGCGTGGAACTGCGCGCTTTGGCGCCCCGCGCGGCGACAGCTGCGGCGCTGGAGCTGTGCGCGACGGCCCCGCCGCCGGTCCCTAGGGCTATGGCTGCTTCTTCGTCGTCGAGGTGGTTGCGGAATGTTTTTTGGGATTGGAGGATGCGGCGGACGTTGGAGGTTGTTTTTGACCGGTTGCCGCGTGCAGCGACTTCGCGCGCTTGTCGGACTGGCACTGGAATTGAGACGTCGCGTTGGTTTTCGCGGTCTAGTTCGGCGATGTGGCGGGCTATTGCATTCGCTTGGCGTGAGGTTATGTCGCCGCCCTTGCCGGCATCGCGGATGCCGCGTTTCCGACCTAGGGTAGGGGCCATTGCTTGGGTTGGGTCGAAGCCCCGGGCTGGGGCATAGGACCAGCCTGGAGTGGCCGTTGATGTGTCTTGGAGGAGTTCGACCCGGAACATTTTGTGTGGTGTTTGGGGATGGGGAGTTGGAGAGAGTTGATGGTGTCGGGGAAGTTTGTTAGAGCTGATAAGATGTTTGCATTGTTTGCAGGGTAGCTTAAGATCGGAGTAACCTATACGTACAATATTGGGTGGCACTTCGTACTTAGGATGGAAGATCGATTGGAAAGCAAATGATATTCAACAGAGACTAACTGAATGCAATTTCAATAGAAAGAGTCACGACATTTCAACGACATTTCATGTCGGGTTGACAGCCTTCAATGCACGAGAAACAAAAAGACACTCCCAACACCAAGAAAAATAAGTACACATATCACACAGGCCAGTCACTCATTTCTTCTTGTGCAACTGGTCAACCTTGGTCTCCAGTTCGGTAATGTATGACTGGAGCTTGATGGTAGCAGACTGAAGGGCCTAAAACAGTAAACACGAGACAATTAGCAAGCGACACATGAAAAAAGTGGGCGGCGCATTCTCCTGAAGAAAAAGACAAGCTGTCAACATACCGAAATGTCACCAGACAACATCTCATTGGAAACTCGGTACTCTCCTAGAATGTAATAGTACACCGACGCGCCGGCGGCAACTGATCCAGCCAGGAACCCGAAGACACTGTCGCAACATCAGTAATGAAGCTTGAGATGGCGGCATGTAGCACTGCAGGGGTGCAGGAATGGGATTCATTGTACGTACCCTCCACGGAAAGCTCCAACAGGCTTTCTGGACGGCAGAGGCGCGGTCTGGTAGCGGGCGCGTGACGTAGAGAAGGACCGGATGCCGACGCGTCCACGCAAAGGCAGCAGGATCTTTGAGTGAACGGTCATGATGAAACTGAATGGACCATTCAAGGTGGCTTGGAAAATTGTATGGTTCGTGTCTTCTGGAGAAGTTGGGTGGTGAGGGGAGTGAGCGCTTAGAGTGACGTTGATGAATTGCGGAGGGTCCGGGCGGCCTCGGAACATGTCACTTCTATACAAAGGATATAGTTATAACCCGCCAATGAAGAGACTTGTATTTGCTATCGCGTTACTATCCAAAATATCTATATTAGAGTACAAGCTAGGTATTCTTAATTGGCCATTGTGCTCTCGTTGAAGAGATCTGCCAACAGGTCGTTCCGGCACACCCCAAGATCTACACTGCCCATGCAGTACGTGCTCTCAAACACGTAGATACTCAACCGAGCAAAGAATGGTCGCAGAACTCGCTCGACGATCTCATCCTTGGCTGCTTCTCGGATCCAGTCTGAGATTAGCCATGGACGCTTGAGGCCACTGCGAGCTAGGGGCTCATTTGTCTCATTCGGAACGGTTGATGAAACCGCACTGCGTGGACCAAAACTTTGAGAAACTTCGTCGGCCAAAGCAATGGGTTCCCAGCGGTCGGGAGGATAGACTGCATCGATGGTATCAGTTACAAAGAGCCATTCCAGCAGCTGGAAGTCATCCGGGGCGAGGACAAGCAGGACATCGAGCAGCTTGCAGGCCTGCAGCAGCGAGTAAGAATTGTAGAGCTCTGACTGAGGACCTTGTGGTACTGCGGAGACAGCTTCTTGAAGCTCTGTATTGATCAAAGGCCAGAACGGCGCCATGGCGGAGGCCGAAGTCTTGAGTGCAAGAGCACGGAGGAGCATGAAAATCTCCGCTCTAGTGGCGGATGAAGGCGACGAAGCGCTGGTAGCGGCAAGAAGATCCTCGAGCTTCTGAAGCAATGCCGGTAGCTCACCAACGAAATAGTCATCATTGGCGGACAGGACAAGTAGCGCGATTCGCCTCAGGTTGAGCTGTGCTTTGCGATCGGCTTCCAGTCGGGCTGCAGACGCTCCTACACCGAACATGATACCCGCTGCGCTGGGTGGAGGAAGACGGACAAGGATCTCTGATAGCCGTTCCTTGTCGGCGAGAACCCACTGGCGCAGCAGGTCCATCCAGTTATTCTTCACCAAATCCACCTGCAATCCAAAGAAACGGGGATCATGGAACGCATCGGAGATATCCTTCTTCCAGAGTTTCGCGGCAGCTGGGACCTTTGTCATTTGTTGCAAGAGAACCATAACATTACGGTTGAGGTTGTTCGGGAAGAGGCGTGACCGAATGAGAGGGCCGACCACGTTAGTTGAGACGCCAGTAATGGCGGTGTTGATCCGATCTGAATCACCCAGAGTCGTGATGAACGACGGCATGGAGACCGCAAGGATGCTCAGCATGTCATCAGGTCCAGTGTGGGAGACTGAGGTCCGGTCATAATCCACTGACGATCTTGCCATGGGCCCAGTATCTTGATTGAGACCCAAGGGCTTGCTAGTAAAGACTGCTGTGAGAAGACGCAGCAGAACATCCTATACAATTGTTAGCGACTCTATAAATATCAATCGTGTAGAAACATACCCCGAGTTCTTTTCGCATACGGCGGTCTTCACCAAAGGTTGTATTCTCCAATTTCACTCCCAAGATGGCCGCAAACTCAATCAAACGCGGAAGAATCTGTCGATGCGGGAAAGGATTGCTGAGAACGTCACGCAGGAACGTTGTGCAGTCAGTCCAAATCTCATCAAGAACATCATCGTCCAGTGAGCGAGCATATGTGACCAAAAAGCTGGCGAGCTCCGATTCGGAAAGACTTGATGTCAACGAAGACTTCCTGCTGGGTTCCAATGCACTGGGATTCGTGCGAGTATAGATTGCATTGAAGATGGCAGGAATAGTGATCTTCGGACTTGACCCGTCAAGGGTATGAAGAAGATTAAAGATCAGCGACGCTGTCTCCGTGTCGGACTTCGTCCACATCTCCACCAATGTTTCAAGACATTCAAGTGCCTCTGCGGTGAAAAAGTGCTCCAGAATTCGTCGCGAGCGATTCCGCATCCGCAAAGAGGTGTACTGGAATGATGCGATAGACTCAGAATCCGGAGGAGTTCCACCTCGGTCTCCTGCACCCCACGCCCAGATGGAGAAACATAAACGAACAGCGTCCTGGAAACAGAGAAGAACGGTCAGGCGATCATTAGCGGTATTGGGGCGAGCTTGACCACCTTCTGAGTGGAATACTCCAGACACCATGTTTCCGAAGAAGCCCTGAGCTTGGTCGGGACTCTTGACTGTTGGCACGTTGGCTTCTTCCACAATGAGGCGTTCGTGGGCATTTGCGATACAGGTTTCAAGACCAGTGAGGAGAGCGATTGTGACGTGCTCAGAGCGGTCCTGCGGCCAGTCTTCTGTCTGCTGGAAAGACAACTGAAGCCTTCCATAGGACGCTTGAATTTCCCTGCAGAAACATTCCACGAGTATCAACAGGATTTGGAATATGGAACCAGAGTACAGAGGCAAGACCTCGCAAAGCAATACGATCCATTTATCCACAATCTCTCGAGACTTTGGTGAGCTGATTCCTTTAAGCAGACAATCTAAGAGCCGACCTGGTGGCTGGGGAAGCTGGGGTAGTGAGGGTCTTCGGTCTCCCTTGTCACTGGTGAAAGACAAAATCGAAGGACTGGTCAGACGATCACGAGAGCCAGCTCGTAGATGTTTTGGCCGAGGCGGTTGTGGTGGTAAGTAGGCTTGCGCAAATCGCACCTTCAATGCTGCAAGAAGTGCATCGATTAGTGCGCCCTGCACTGCGATGCTGCCACCCTCAGATGAAACCAGGAGGCGCTCAACTAAGAAATCGTCGATTCCAGACTCAACTAGGTCCTCAGCTCCGGGTCCAAGAAGAAGTTGCCGCATGAGTTGCAGCGCATTCTTCTGTAACCGTTCCCCTTCCAGGCTCACTTGCGTAGGGTCCATACTTTGAGTGCTAACGATTCGAAGAGAGGCATCGAATATGGCTGAGTGCAGGCTTTTCGACCCTGATCCTGTGTTATCTATACACACAATATCTATCAGCGACAAGTTCATCGTTATGGGAGGTAATCTATACTAACCTTCAGACTTAGAAGTTTCTGGGCGCTTTTCATTGCCGAGCATGTGAGTAAGAATGGTGACCCATCCATTATGTGAGAGTACGGCGATGATATTTGTGGCCGTTTGTAACAGGTAGTCGCACTCTTTGTAGTCATCTGGGGAAATCGACTGGTTGTCTGCATTTGGCTGGTTCTGGTCATCACGCTCACAAAGTTCATCCAGCTTCGAAATGATCACAAGGAAAACCCTGGTAATTTGTGTTAGGTACCGCAAAGTCATGACCTGTCAAGATGTACTTACCTGTGGATAGACGGCAGATCTTGAAGCCATAGCTGAACACTCTGGGAACTATCGCTTGACTCTTGGGAGAGAAGATCAAGTACAATGAAAAGTGGACGTTCCAGCATCGAGCATTGGTAAGAGAACAATGTCCCTCCAACCTCCAGCACTTGCTTTGGTGGTTGTTCGTGAATATTGTGATGGCTGTGGTTCCACAGCACGTAAAATCGCTCGGCTTGTTCCTCAGAAGACAAATGTCGAGACCCAGCCGTCGACACATTGATCATTAATGATGTAAGAGAAGCCTCGACGAGGTGATCAATCCAAGAAATGGAATGTAATAGCCATAAACAGCGGACGGCTTCCACGTGGAACTTTGGACTAAGCGGTGACAAGTACCACCAGAGTTGATTCACAAGAGGAGTGATGAGATCGCATGCATCTTCATAACTAACATAGAAGCCGGGTGTGTGGATGAAGAACAAGCTGGTCACTGTCGAGGCAATGGTGGAGATGACTGCAAAAGATGCCGTCGTCGGCTTGTCCTTCCCGGCACCCAATCGCTGTGACAATGCTTCGTAAAGCTTTCTATCTCGAAGGACACGCGACTTGGGAAGCTTCTTCAGCAAGGTGACAAGAATATCCAACTTTTCGTGGAGGGAAGATGTGTCATCTCGATTTCCCAGGGCTGCAATTGCCAGTTCATTGGCCTCTCGAATGATCATCTCTCCCAAATGCTTCGGTGGATACGGAAGGGGTGGGAGCTCCAAGCTGTTTTTGCTCTGCTCATAGAAGCCGCGAACGGTTTTCAAGACCTCAGTCCCGTGGCTCTTAATATCGTTGCCGGTAGTCTTTTCAGAGCCTCCCTTCTTCGAGAACGCGCGATCAGTGAGCAGTCCAGTCAACGATTTCAGAACCGTGTTCAATGCGGTAGACACCGCTCGCTTGTTGGCATTGCTCTGCGTAGACGAAATCTCTCTCATCTTCACGAGAACTGACAATGCCAACAGAGGCACGTGGATTTGAACCATGTCTTCTTCACGAACATTGAAGTTTTCAAGGATGAATCGTGCGAGATCCAAGTCATGCAAGATCTGGTCAGTATGGGTATCTAGTTCGGCTCTCCGGTAATCAACCAAGCCCAAAAGCTCGGAGAAAATCACACCACTCTCAACGCCATCAAAGAAAGCACTCGCACTGCGAAAGACCTCCTCAAAGTGATTCTTGGGAGCTTGGCCTTCAAATGCTTGAACGCTGCGTATTGTGGGCAAGAAAACCGCAGGAACGATGTATCCGCCAATTTCCCAGCGATCCATAAGCGACAAAGCTATCCGGAAAGGCTTGGTCCTCTCAGATGGAGTACCTGGTGCCTGCTTGATCATGTCCAATAGACCAGTGACCAAGGGCTGCAAGCCCACACGGCTGAAGTATTGTGATTGGGTGGCTTCCTTGCCATCGACAGAGGCAGAACGAGTAGTGTCTGATGAGAATTTGCGACTATCCGCTGAGGATTGATCGTTTGCATCTGGTCCAAGGAACCATGCCCAAAGCCGACGGTTCAAGCTCATATCTCGCCGAGTGACCACTCCCACGGCCGCAATAACCAATGTGCGCAAGTCACTGTCTGCGACTTTGGTTTGCAGAATGGGGGAGTTCAGTGGGAGATGGGTTACGAGAAGGTCGAGGAAGTTGCGTTGAACAAGAAGCTGGTCGTCAGATAAGCCTGATGCAACACATCGAATTAAAAGCCCAGGCTCCGGTAGAATGACGGCGTCTGCTGCGGCCAGCATTTCAGGTGGAATGTGCGTTGCCTCACTCCTATCAGCGCTACTTGGCCGACGATCCGAGATGCCTAGCTTGGGAAGGTAGCGATTTAGATATGCGAGGACGCCGAGCCGTCGACTGGGGTTAGTGATGGAGGCCAGGAACAGACATTGCCAGAAGTACTGCCCAGAAGCCCCTGCTTCCGAGGTTCGTTGAGTTTCAAGACGCCCAGCGGCATCACGGAGTTTGTTCACAGTTCGTAAGGTCGGCTCAAAGTCATCACTTGTCTCCTCTTCCAATCCCGGAAGTAGGGCTAAAATGATTGCTTTCAATGCTGGACGAATAGCCCACGGTTCCAGGTCAACAATGTATCCCTCCACCAAGGATAGGAACAATGGGCGAACGGTAAGAGAAGCGAAAGTCAAGGTGGGCGCAAGACCGGGGAGATACAAAGGAAGATCGTGCGACAATCCCTCAAGCTGGTGGTTAAGACATCAGTAAACACACAAACATCCAATTATCTGACCATCCATACCTTGATCAATCCAAATATGTATGTGTAAACTTCGAGGGCTTTCTGGTGGACGCCTGATGGTAGCGACGGGTTCAAGCATTGGGCCAGTCGCTTCGAGACAAGTACTTTGTGGGGGACGACTGGTTGATCGGGTGGATGGGTTTGAAGTGCCTAGTGAAGTATTATCAGCAATGCTATCCAGTACATCCACTGGTTGAAATATTCTCACCTTTAGCAGGCGACTGAGAAAGGAGATATAGTCGGCCCATTCTTGTAGAGCGTTGTCGAACAACGAAAGCGCTCTCTCAACGCTGGACGCATATCGGCGGTAGTGTTTGTCTTTCTTGAGGGATCCTAAATCCACCAGAATGGTTAGACTTGATCTCTATTGCAAACAATCGTGGTTGCTTACCTTCCTTGCCCTGTAGCCGGGAGCGCGTCAAGGAGCTCTCGGAGCTTGCGGGGGAGTTCGACCTCGGAAAGGCACTGGGATCAAGGCTCATGATGCCAATGACGGACGTAGAATCGTTGTGTAAGCGTCAGACTGGCCTCCGTCATATTTAGGACATCAAAGATGACCCTGTGGGAGAGGGAGTTTGACGGTTGAATGTTGCCCAGAAGCCACGCACGCGGCCACGTTCGATTGTTTTGTTCCGCCTTGGAGCTCCGACTCGCCGACGTCAGTGTCAAACGTCTCCCACGTACCCTTCAATCTACGGATATTTGAAGAATAACAATGCGCATTTAATGAACTATTGACCCGCGACGAGCGACCGCGTAAAACAGTGTATGCCCGCAGCGGGAATGAAGTCACAGCAAGACCCAAGAAGCGACGGCCACGAGCCCGCCGAGATATCCGAACAAGCCTCCATTCCCAAGACGCCAGACACCGGTCATGATAAGCGCAGTCCAAGTCCAGAGGGGGAACGGCCGCCTCTACCCCCACGGCCCAGCACACTGAGCCTGTTGAACGATGAAACGGCGTCTCGGGCGACTTTACAAGCGGAGGCAACAACTGCTGTCTCACGAATGGATATCGGGACACAGTCATCAGATGCTGGAAGTGCCCATTCTACAATGGCTCTTCGCGGCTTGCCCCGAGGTCCAAGGGCCAAGACGAGTCTGAGCCAGTTAGCAAGCTCGCGGGGCAGCGAAGCGGGGGATTCGGCCAGCATTCGCAGTTCGATTCTGAATACTGAAAATGGAGATGATGGGGCTCTCTTTACAGACTTTGTTGCTACAGCGCCTGGCGGTCAACCGCAGGATTCGACAGGTCTACTCAATTTCCCCGAATTTGCGGCCGATGATATAGATGATGATGGGATTCTGAGCGAATTCGAATCTATTGGCGAGCTGAACGAAGAAGGTGACAATGAAGGTATGATGCTTCTAATAGCACCTAATCTTGTCTTGTCATGTGTCTAATTCGTACTAGAAATGCTGCTCCAACGGTGGAAGGCGAAGCGCAAACACTATGTGATCCTGTCCGCTGCTGGCAAGCCGATTTGGACGAGACATGGTGACAGTGGACTGATATCTGGCTATGTCGGAGTTATTCAAACGATCATATCTTTCTATGAAGATGCAGATGATCACCTCCGAGGCTTCTCTGCTGGTGACACTAGGTTTGTTGTCTTGACTCGGGGCTCTTTGCACCTCGTCGCAATCAGCCGCATGATGGAGAGCGACAATCAACTTAAACTTCAGCTGGAAGCATTGTATATGCAAATTCTATCTACATTGACACTGCCTTCACTCACCCATCTCTTTTCTGTTCGGCCGTCTACCGATTTGAAACGGCCTCTGCAGGGTTCAGAGTCTCTTCTCTCATCTTTAGCGGACAGTTTCACACGAGGATCTCCGTCTACATTACTTTCTGCTTTGGAATGTCTCAAGATCCGCAAGCAACATCGCCAAACGATCAGCAATGCGCTTCTAAAAACCAAAGCCAGCAGTCTTTTGTACGGCTTAGTGGTGGCTGGCGGACGACTCGTTAGTGTTGTCCGTCCGAAGAAGCACTCCTTACATCCAGGCGATCTGCAATTATTATTCAACATGGTTTTTGAAGCCGATGGCGTCAAGGCCGGAGGCGGAGAGAGCTGGATTCCCGTCTGCCTGCCTGGCTTCAACAGCAGCGGTTATCTCTATATGTATGTCAGCTTCCTTGACATTCGCGACGATATCGAAAACAGCGCAGAAATCACCAAGGACGAGTCTGTTGCCATTGTCCTCATCAGTCCCGACAAAGAAGCTTTCTTTGAAATGCAAGGAATGCGTGATGCCCTTGTTGAGGTAAGTAAAACTTTGATATGCTTCGAATCTTGTGTTCAGTGCTAATGATGTGGTAGCAAATGGAGAAAAACGGCAGTCTAAAGGAGATCAAGACAGCAATTGGCAATGGCCGGCCCGCTACTACGGATATAGTTCCTGGAACTGTCCTCCATCACTTCCTATACAAGTCTCGTGCCAACGTACAATTTACCATGTCATCCTACTCGCCTGAATTTTCATCATTGACTCGGCGGCGAAGGTCAGTCAAACTTATTGATAACACTAAAAATACGAGATCTCTCTGCTCTAACTCTGATCATAGACTGATGTCGATGTACAACAACCTACACTCGAGCATCCATGCCAAAGACACACACGTCAAAGTTCACCACTGCGTTTCACGATCTGTCAGCTCTTTTGGCTGGGTGACCCCCGTCTTTGAACTCTATTGTATTGCCGAACCGAATACGAACCGAAATGCACTTGCTCAAAGTGCCAGCAAAGTTGCACAGTGGGCTCAACGTGAGGAAGAGAGGCTATTCATCATCGGTGGTGCGGTATGTATATCCCCTTATGGCTCTCAATCTAATATTGACAAGGCTGACAATGATAACCAGGTTTTCTGATATTGCATAATGCATCGAAGTCTTGCTAAGTCAGACCAATCTTCTCTGTACATATCTCTATAGTTATTATACCCAATCCGGCGCTGTCTATCATCGGCCTTTTTACTACTTTGCAATAAGGATTACCTTTTCTATTATTACTAGGTCGTATATGGGGTTGTTTAGATAAACATGATTGTACTCATTCGTTGTTCCACTCCATGCTTTAAAAGATAACTGGAAAGCCCATACATTAATCTAATCAATCGAGTCCTCGCGCAAGGCAAAGAGCTGGCGCATGATCTCACTCGACTTGCTTCGCAATGCATCATGGTACATGTTGTTGGCAATGAACTGCTTGATGTTCGGAACCTTGACAATGGTGGCTTGCACATGATCGAAGTGTACGTACATGTCTTCCATGTAAGTCGTGCTGTAAACAGGGACCTCGTTCTTGGCCAGTTGAGCCTCGTCGTAGAGATCAGGCCAGTCGTCGGTTGTAGCCAGGATCTCTGCTGCTTCTTTCACCTGCTCGAGCTCCGTGTAGGAATCGAACATGTCTTTGAAGACCTAAGGTACATATCGATGTTAGCCTTTTCTGTTGGTACGCCGATCATGGAGGGTTGCGTGACTTGCCATTTCGCCTGTGAAGTAAATTTCGGGCACGGAGTTATCGATCTGGAACTTCGCGTTGGTTGAGCGCAGTCTGTCTGCTGACCAGAGCGATGCTTTTCTGTGCTGATTGTCAGAGTCACATATCACCAGATAATGAGAGACTGTTTGCTTACCCTTGGCAATAGATCGATTCGTGAAGGACGGCATATATAATGTTCTTGTCCATGCCACCATTGTTGTCAATAACAGAGAGAGTGGGCAGAGTAAGGAAGCCGAAGATTTCCAAGTCATTGCAGACTCGAATAACGATGTCTAGATTACCGTTAGCTTAGTTGCCATCCTGTGACAGATAAACATCTCTTACCATGTAAGCTATCGAGACCACCGTGGAAACCAAACAAGATACCAAGTTGCTGGAAGCGAGCTGGTGTGAGCACACCTGATGGCAAGGTAACATTGTTGGAGGATAAGTATTGCATGATTTGCTTGACACGCTCTACATCCTCGGGGAACTTCTTGTAATAAGCTTCATTTCTTTGCTGAACCTTTTCTGTTCGTTTGTCAGTACTATGAGCGCAAAGTTAACTGATAGGTGGGCCTACCATAGGTCTTTGCGTAGACAGCATCCGGTCCGTTGACAAGCGGGGGAATACCACCACAAACGAAAGCCTCTCTCAAACCCCCCGGGCTAGAGCCATAGCAATAACATTAGCTGGATCCATTTACAATATGGGGCATTAGTGACGTTTAACACATACAACTTGGAGAGATAAGTCAAAGCGCAAAAGCCACCAAAACTTTGCCCAATGATACTCCATTTACGCTCTTCCTCCGGGTACTCAGCTGTCAAAACACCACGAATAGCCTCGCAATCACGAACAATATTGTCCGCACGAAAGTTCTTGAGGTATTCCGCCTGTTTGATTGCGTCGCCCTGGCGGGCAAGAGTTCCCGCAGTTATAGTCGAGCTCAGACCAGTACCACGCTGGTCTAGGAACAATACCTAATGGCAGTTCAAGGTTAATATGACTGATCTCACAAGTCCAGCCAAAGTAGACAGCTAAAATGCGTCACATACCTGATAACCCTTGCTGAGCATAACATCAAGCCAGGGGTAAGATTGCGGAGGACCACATCCAAAGCCGGGTCCACCCTGTAGGTAGACCAACCAAGGGAGTTTGCCCTCTTTGTCCTCATCTTTGGGCTCAATGGGCTTGTTCAGCCGACTGACACTGCGAGCAAAAAGTCGCAGCTGGCCAGCGGCGGGCTTACTGTAGTCCACCGGGACATCGAAGAACAGCTCGGCAACCCGAAGTTTGTCTGTGATTAGAGTCAGTCATTCCCGATATAATAAGCTTCGCCAATAACTGCGCCAATACCAACCTGGGACGTTATGGAATCGACGATCAATCAGTTTCGCAGCCATGATCGCGGTGTTGATGGGGCTAAAAACCAATTGGGCCGTCGAGCCGCTTTGCGGAGAGCCGTACCACTCACACTTCTCTCCCTGTTCAACTTCCTTTTCACTCTACTTTTGTGCAATCAATCCAATCAACTCAAACACTTTATTTTGCCTTGTATTCAAGCTAAATTATACCAGGCAGATGAGTTCAGAGGTGATCCACTGCCCCTTTAGGGAGGTCCAGCCGAATTAGTCCCAAATCCCGAGAGTACGGAAATCCTGCCGGTTGTATAAATCATCACCGTTGACCCTATCTCAGCCCTCAATATCTAAAGCGAAAATGGAGAGCCAGTTGCAACAAGATCTGTGGAAAGTCGCTCAAGGACCATGGGAGTCTGGCGTTCTTCCCAGCGCAGAGAACTTAGCGCGAGCAAGAGCTTCTCTGCCGACAGCGCTCCAGGACACAGGTTCCTCCCTTGAATCTGTCCAGCGACACATTCTTGATGATATCGTGCCAGCTTTCAACGGAGGGAGCATCAGTGCCAACTACTATGGCTTCGTCACTGGCGGAACTACGCCGGCAGCGCTATTTGCCGACAATGTTGTGTCTGCTTATGACCAAAACGTTCAGGTGCATCTCCCCAATCACTCAATCGTCACAGACGTTGAGTACAATGCACTTGGTCTGCTACTAGACCTTTTCCGTCTGGATCGCTCCGCTTGGCATAATGGAACTTTCACCACTGGTGCTACGGGGAGTAACATCCTTGGCTTAGCCTGTGGACGCGAGTTTGTTTTGCAAAAGGCAGCGCAGAGGAAGGGTATTGAAACCCAGAGTGTCGGAGAATATGGCTTGTTTGAGGTGCTGAATGCACTGGGTCTTTCTGGTGTTCAAGTGTTGTCAACTCTTCCGCACTCTTCCCTGGTGAAGGCTGCCGGTATTTTGGGCATTGGCCGTTCCAATGTGCACAACATCTGCCAAGCTGGCGATCCCCTTCGCTTTGATCTCGAGAGGCTTGAGAAAGAACTCGCAAGAACTGACAAAGTGAACATTGTCGCTATATCATGCGGAGAGGTCAATACTGGCCGGTTTGCGACAAGTGGCGAGGACTTAAGACAGATCCGCCAACTTTGCGATCAGTACGGGGCCTGGATGCATGCCGACGGCGCATTTGGCATATTTGGTCGAGTTCTGGATGACAGGCCGGAGTTTGCAACAGTCAAAAAGGGCAGCGAAGGAATAGATCTGGTCGACTCAATTACTGGTGACGGCCACAAGCTTCTCAATGTTCCATATGATTGTGGCTTTTTCTTCTCTCGGCATCCGGAGGTAGCATCACAAGTATTTCAAAATGCAAACGCCGCCTACTTAACTGCTGGAAGCTCCAATGGCCCTTCTATTCCTTCACCATTGAACATTGGACTGGAAAATTCTCGTCGGTTCAGGGCATTGCCCGTCTATGCCTCTCTCTTGTCATATGGCAAGTCTGGTTATCAAGAAATGCTAGAACGTCAAATTGGGCTTGCGAGGAAGATCTATGATTGGGTCTTTGATCATCCTAGCTATACAGCCTTGCCGAAAACATCGTCAAAGGCTGAATTGCTTGATCAGACATTCATGTCTGTTTTGTTCCGGGCTAATGATGAAGCCCTGAACCGCAACCTGGCACAGAAGATCAACGACAGCTCGCGCATGTTTGTCTCGGGTACCAGCTGGGATGGCGCCCCTGCTTGCCGCATTGCAATCTCAAACTGGCGAGTTGATGTTGAACGAGACTTTGCTCTAGTATCTGAAGTGCTGGCCAAGGTCGCTCAAGCATAGGAATATGACGGCTGTTCTTCAGAGTTTCATGCTTCAGGAATAATATACGGAGGCAGCGGAATCATCCTTTTACATGCCAATAGTATGGCGTTTACGAGGAAGTGACTGTGAGACCACGCAGTGAGTCACTCAAAAGTAGAGAAGACCCTTAACGAGCCTATTTCACAAAATGAAGTACTACTGTTCTAATGGGAGAAAGACGGGAGAGAGGGAGAAGTTTGTATCAATTCCCTATAATTATACTTATTCTTATCAAGATGGGTATTGTAGTCGCTTTTTTTAGTTGTAAACATCTTAGGCTTCTCTCAAGGTCCTGTAGGTATCTGATAGCTAGCTGTATATCAACGACCCTCACAAGAGACCGGAGGAGCAGCTTTTGATAAGGGCAATTAAAAAACAGAGACTGATTCAGACTGAGTGGAGGAATCACTCAATGCAGTAGGTCGAATGGCATATAAAACCAGCATTACAAATGATAAACGCAATGAACGTATGGAATGCACTGTCCACCTCTCCATGTCTTCTCTAACCCCCCCCCCCCGACATCCTCCTCATCAGTTCTCACCACAGTGACTGTCGAGACCTGCTCTGCTCTATGTCCGGCTCACAATGCTATGTTGAGCAGCAACGGAACCCCTCTGCTATGGTTTTTATGCTCCGTGTCCTCTTCTTCGTCTTGAGGACTCCTGGTGTTGCGAAATAAACACTTTAATGCTTTGCTTTGTGGCGTTCGGCAGCTGATTAGCTGTCATATTCGAATAGCTGGCCGAGGCTCTCTCTCTCCTCTTGGTCGTGGCGTTACATGTTGAGTACACAGCGTTTTCAGGACTTGGCTCTATAGCCGCCAGGCCATCATTATGCTAACCTTTCTCCATGTCTTAGAATTGAGTTAAACGAGGCCTCCACCACAGCTTTCGATGAATTCGACGAGAAGTATCTCGTCATCATAGGTGACGACGAATGCGGGTTGGGCGGGTTGGGCTTTATATACAACCTGTAGGGGTTCAAGCGCCAGATCCGTTTCCACGTGGAACATCCGCCCAGCGCACCAAGTCCTCCTCCCCGACATCTGCTCATCGCATAGGGCTTCGAGAGGCATATTGTTTCGGTCATACTGGTGCCTTCTCGTTTCCTCAGTGGAATGACAAATTGTTGCCAGGGCATCTTCAGCCATCCTCTTCTTTGGCCAGCTGCCTTGTATGGGGTACTAGAAGATAGTGCTTGTTAGTTGCAGCATAAATGAGGCACACAGACAAAGTGATATTAGCAAAACACACCCATGCCGGGAACCGAAGTCTTTCATGCCAGTGTAGATATCATATGTGAAGCCCCAAGGACGACAAGGAAGGGTGCAACAAAAACTTCAGGCAACATGACGAATGCTCTGAAGTCAAGAGATAAGAAGGTGGGAAAAGAATAAGAGTCAAAGAGGAGGAAGTGGCACTTCTATAGTTTCGTCGGTGAGAGAGAATCAATACTCTACTTGTAAACACTCAAAAAATGAACATGAGGTGAAAAGAGAGGCGGGGGAAAACAATGCATAAAACAGTATATTCGGTTCGAGGCTCCTAAATTTCGTATAAAGACTACCCAATACTTCATGAATGCCACTGTATACAGTTATATGACCTTGTATGCAAAAAAAATCCCGCCGATGGGATCAACATTTCAAATTAATACCAGCACGAAGCTCATCCTCGCGAACCTCAAACATGACCTGCACACCGACAAACAAAACAACGCAGCAGGAAATCAAATAAGCAAGACCGGAGTATGAGCCAGTCAAACCAGCAAGGAGATCCTTCAAACCATCCAAACCAAGCGCAAAGCCCACCAGATTCGCAATCATCATCATGAGAACATTTCCAACGGATCCAATACCACAGAGAACACGGTAGGCAGTCGGACGGGAGCGCCAGCGGTGTGCAGGGAATAGCATGCCACCGAGGACTTCTGGTAAAACGAAGAGTGTAACCAACCACCCCCACATAAGAAGACGGAGGTTGATATCGTGCCACAGGGCGACGAAAGTGAAGACCATGAGGAAGTTGCGGATTTGCAGGAACTTGTTCATGAAATTGGACTTGGGTGGTGAGGTGGGTTTGGGACCTCCGGCTGGTCGTCGTCCACCGCCGCCGCCGCCGAGGGGTATGTAGATGTAGCGGACGATCCAGCGGTTGTAGGAGCGGTGCCAGCCGCGCCAGAAGGCGAAGGCAGAGTAGTTGTTTGACATGCAGCGGACCATGTTCTCTGGGGGGTCGATGCCGTCCACTAGGGCCCAGAGTCGGAAGAAGCGCCAGGGGATGAGGAGCTTGAGCCAGATGATGTGGAGGTTGAAGAAGGCTAGCATGCTCAGCTGGCCTGGGGTAAAGACAGACCAGTCCGGATTGGATTTGGAGATTGCTACTGCGTAGATGTAGTGGAGGATTAGTTCCATGCAGAGGAGGGTGAAGCCGAAGCGGATGCCGTAGAGTGTGGTGCGGCTGCGAGTTACTGATGCTGGTTTGTAGCGCTGCTGGGAGACGTAGTCGTTGAATGTCAGGATTGGACCGGCTAGGTACAATGGTGAGTAGAGAATATACGCAATGTAATTGCGTAGGGTGAAAGCCGCTGGTTCTGCAGGGATGTTGACTCTTTCACGGTCAGAGAGGGACGCTGGGTCGAGTTGCTTCTTCTTGTGGAATTCGGTCAGTTGGGCTGTCAGTTCGAGGATAGGTACGATTAAGCACTCACTTCGATTGGACTTGCCGCGGGGTAGTCGACACTCCAATAGTTATCCATATTGAAGCTGATGAGGCGCAACACAGTCACTTTGAAGAGGACCTCCCACCGCGGCATGAGCCCTCCAAGGTTGTCCACATGCTGGGCCCATTGGACCAACATGCTAGTGCTTTCTCCATATTGGCCAGACCCCGGTGCAAACAGCGTCACTATCCGCTCGAGGGGGTATCCACCGCATAACTCATTGGCAAACAAGATGAAAAGGTTGAAAGTCCAAGTCGCCGCAGGGACATAGGAATGGGGAACATCCTTGCCGATTCGGTAGTTGATATACAAGATCGACAGCACTTTGAGAGCGGACACTCCGTGGAGCGCTGTGATGAACACCAGTCCGAACCAAAAGTCGAAGCGCATTCGCTGTTCAAGTTGCACCTCGCCCGCACCAACCACGGAGTTGCTCGATGGTTTTGTTTCAACCTTCGAGTGGTTCTTATATGACTGGTAGACTCGGCGGACAAGAGGATGGAGGATCAGGAGGAGGAGAAGAGGAGGGATGTTGTCGCGAAAGCTTGCATATTGCGAATCGGAGTTGTCCTGCGGGCGTGAGATCAGTTTTGTGCTTGTCGACGATTATCCGCTCGATGTAAGCACTTACGACCAGACGGCCAGGGATCCAGCCTGGTGACAAGAGATCAGAGTATTTGGGGTAGATCGGGTTGCTTTCTGTGATGTGTCCGTACCGGTAAGTATTCCAACACGTCCAGCGATTTGTGTGGTCCACTAACCCTTCGAGGCATCAATGACGGTCTTGAACATCAATGGAACGAGCGTGATGAAGAAAATGTAGTAAACGAAGAACTCCGGCGTGCGCCAGAGTGATGGCGGCGCGCCCTGGGCGATTGCGTTGGCGCGGGCATCTTTGGATGAAGGTCGCGTGTCGTGGGCAGGTGTTGCGGAGGAGGTAAAGCGAGTGTCTAGGGTGTCCAGCGAGTATACCCGCCGGAGCCATGCGAAAAGAGAGGGCATCTTATAACACTGGCATGGCCGGCGCGGGTTTGGAGAAGTCGAAGTCGGAGATGGTTGAAATTCTGGTGTTTACTCAGGGGCCGAGGTACCGCCACTTGGTGAGGTGGCCACTACAGGTATTGAGCTATGTGAATATACCATGTCAAATAGTAACTGATGTTTAATTATTCATCTTAGCCTGGCTTTTTTTTAAGTACATGTAATCACTAAGTCCCCGTAGATCCATGTGGATACAATCAGCGCCCGCCAATATCACATCGAATGATTCAAGTATACCAGGGTGGTTAACTTGAAATCGGGGGTAATTTGGTGAGCTTTAGAGCAATATGTAATTCTCAAAATAAATTGAGCGGCATGGAAAGAAACATACATACAATGGTGAAGGAAGAGAGGTACATGAAGAGGCGGATTTCTATACAATTGGCTATTATGGCGACTCCTACGCCATTCACAAGACGTAGAGCAAAACTTCTTATAAACATCCTGTATATACGCCTTGGTTAGATAGGGGCTGTTGGGTGAGGGAAAATACCAAAACAATTGATGTGTTCTACAGAATTTGCTTTACTCGGATATCCAACATGGCTTCAGGTGTTGGATCTGTTGGCAAAGACTAAGTAATTCCTAGGCTTTTACATAGCCCTAGTCTATTTGGAACATCATTTCTTCTCAGCCCAAAAATTCACCAATGGCTTCCAGCCCTGCTTGCATTTTCTCCGGCGGACCTGTGATATGCATCCGAACGAATCCACGGAAATCTTGAGCAGCTGGCAAACCAAAGCAAAGACTTCCAGGAGCTAACAGAACGCCCTTGCGCTCTTTCAGTCTCAGACAGAACTCAACATCGTCCACGGGCACTCCAGTGGAGGAGAAGCGTACGAAAGCCGTCGCCCCCGAGCTCGGCTTGATCCACGAAACACCCTCGTGCTTGTTCACAAAACTTTCAAGGAGGACGAGATTCTTCCGGGCCAATTCTAGATGCTTCGCCAGGATCTGAGGTCGGCATCGATCACTCAGAGCCTCCGCAGCAATGGCATCATCAATTGTGCCAATGGCCATGATCGTGTAGAGCCCCAGGTTGAAGCATTGTGAGAGGATTTTGGCGCTTTTCGTGGCGATCCAGCCTACTCGAGTACCGGATAGGCCCCAAGCCTTGCTCACAGAGCTAGTGACGATGATGTTGTCATTCTCTTCGGAGAGCTCCAGGAAGGATGGCGGGTTTGTCGAGTCATGGAATAGTGGGCGGAAGATCTCATCAACTACAAGGATAATCCCATGTTCACGGGCCAGAGCCACGATTGCGTGCTGCATTTCGAGGTTCAGGATGGTTCCTAGGGGGTTGTTAGGGTTGTTGAGGACAATCATTTTTGTAGTAGGTTTGATCATGTCTTTCAATTGCTGAAGGTCACTCTGGCCTTGATTGTTCAAATCGGGAGACCAATATGAGATATCCTTGCCAACTTTGGCTTTCGGAATAGCCAGAAGAGGTGTATAGGAGGGATACATGGCGATGACATGATCTCCGGGCTCCAGCAAGCTTTGGAACACAAGCGAGTTGGCCCCTGATGCTCCATTGGTAGCTAAAATGTTGTCTGCAGTGATCTTCTCGTCGTACAGCCCGGCGATCTGCTGGCGGAGATTCTCACTTCCATTTCCTGGACCCAGATTCAGTTTCAAGGTCTCAACAGACAAGTTGCTGGAAGTTGTCTGCTTGTCCGAGGAGAGCTGGATTAGATCCTGAATTGACAAAGCCGGAGTCGCACTGCCGGCTAACACTAGAGAAGCACTCTTATGTTTTGTAATCCACTTAACTTGTGTTAACGAAGGCAAAATTGAGAATTGGAGCTGTCGCGTACCTTGGGAAGCTCGAAAGAGGTAATTTTGTCCATTATGGTAGGATAATATGCAACTTGAAGAGAAAGAAGAATGCAATGGGCTTACTGGAGATATTATAGCTTTTCCAGGGCTCTGACGCATAGGAATGACATGCGGGGCCGTCCACAGGGCGTGTTCTATTCCTAATCTGATGCTTACCCGTCTTTCTGGCTCTTGGATTCACTAGCTACCGGCGGATTTATAATGATTCAATAATACTTATACCAAGCTATCTAGATGTGTGTTTGACGTCGATTGTGTGATAATAGAAGAGCTGTTCAATTTTTGGACTGGGGCTTCGTACGAAGGCGATGACTCATTTGGATCGGGGATTCCATATTTATATCGGCTAAAGCGGCAGTCATTGTCGGAGTGATAGCTAAGCTATTGTGAGGGCGAGCTTAAATATTATATGCTAAATAACTTACTGATATTGTATTTATTTGTCTTTCCCTACGTGTAATCGCCACAAGTATGTCCACGTCGATCCATGCGGATCCAATTAGCGCCCGCTATATCACGTCGAGTGGTTCAAGTACAGTATACAAGGTGATTTAACGTTAGCTTAAAATCCGGGGTAATTTTGTGCGTTTTAGAAAAACATGTACTTCTAAATATTAGTCTGAGAGGCATGGAAAGAAGCATAGGATTCGTCTTGGCTGTATATGTATGTAGCCGCTAAACTCAAACTGTTCGTTTTGTCACCCACATCAGCTCGTTGATTCTTCAACCCAACCCTTCATCTTACTCTCTATCCACAATGTCAACCCAAAGAGTAAGTACCACATCTATGATCTACCCTAATAGATCCAGTTGCCACGAGCATCTTTTGCCGGCTACATGACAGCTGAAGTTAAGTGTCCCCGCATGTTGATACTGTATCTACTTCAGGTTGCCTTCAAAGTCCACGGCGCCGTGCAAGGCAAGTCCCTTCATATCCCCGCTACGAAACAGCTCTCATATCCCACTCAATCATCACTAACATAAATAACAGGCGTCGGCTTCCGGTAAGAATACCTCAACCCAGCCGATGACATCATCGCCATCGAAGTGACTGACCGTGGCCACCATGAACAAACTACAGAGACTTCACCCAGAAATGCGCTACCAGCTATGGTCTTAAGGGCTGGGTCAGAAACACTACTTGCGGACGGGTGAGTATCTACTTCATAGGTACTGCTACGTTCCCAGTCGGGATTGTTGGCTGACTCAACCGGTTTTATATAGGTCGAAGGCGAGGCCCAGGGCAGCGATGAGATCATGAAAAAGTTCTTCCAGCAAATCGGCAAGGGGCCCCGTATGGCTCATGTAGTGAAACTTGAGAAGCGAGACATGGACGTCCGGGATGACGAGGATCACTTTGCTGTTATGAGGACGGGGGAGTCTATGTTTGATTCGGAGAGCTAGATCTTGTTTTTGATAGCTTTCCAAGATCATTTATAGTAATCATTCATAGTAGGATGGTCATAATAACAATGTTCAGTCCAGGTGCTGCAGTCATTTGAGTTTATACCTTTGTTACCTCCTGCTATTTATGGTTGAGGTAGTGTCGTCTCACACGCTGGGTTCAAGTTAGGATTGGGGTACATGTATAGGACTGTAGACATAGATATTGAACGAGTGATATAGGAGAGAATAGAATATAGATGTATCGGCAGGAACCGGGACGTCAACTCCTATCGTATCTGGCCCCGGTGAGAAAATAGGAGATCCAGAAATGACCTCAAACGAACTCGGGTTTGAATCGGGCTTTGAAAATGATATTTTCTCGGGATCGGTGACTGTGAAGGGGCGAGAGGCTCAGGGCAGAGCTGACTCATTCTAGCCCGGTCCATCCCGAAGTCACCTGCGCAAATTCGCTCTGCTTCGGGAAATAGACAGTAAACAGCGAAAATCGAAATATTCTCTAGGGATAATGGGAAGCCTGGTGAATTTAGTTTTTGTTCAGGTAGATTGATAGTTAGATAACCTTGCAAACCGACTGGGACAAGAGGCTCATGAAGGGTGCATAAGGATATGTGGGGATGTACATAGTGGAGCCAATGAGCTAAACGGATTGTCATCGTTGAACTTGCAGGTTCTCATCCTTAGAGATCGGAGGTCCCGCCAGGGTCCCGTCAAGAACCCGTCAAAGGCTGAGTTTTTCTCGTGATAGATCGGGTTCCTGTTTTGGTTCCAGGGTTTATGTAGATATTTAAGGCACTCCTGTTCTCTTACACCTACTTCCATAGTATACTACTATCCACTTACCTCAACCATAACATGAATTCACTAATGACTTCGGCCCCCTTGCGGGCTGCAGTACGACCGCAGTACCTGCATTTGGCTGCTCAGACCTGCTCGGGCATTGCAGTCACAACTTTAAGCTCGTCCTTGCGAACCAGATCTCTCAATCACACCAAACGTCTGATCTCGTCTACGCCCCAAAATCAGATCAAGGAATTCTTCCCTCCGCCCAAATCCTCCAACGTGAAGGAAGTGCAATCAGCATGGGTACACCCAGTGTGAGTAACCCGCTTCATCCCCGCTCGGGCAGGAGCTAACCCTATGCCAGCTATACCGAAGCCCAGATGAAAGATATCCATATCGCACACCGTGAAGCCTCAAATTGGTCCGATTGGGTTGCCCTTGGCACCGTCCGTGTCTTCCGATGGGGCATGGACTTTGCCACAGGTTATAGACACCCCAAGGCGGGCGAGGAACTCCCTGCTAGCTTCAAGATGACAGAAGCGAAGTGGCTCACGCGGTTCATCTTCTTGGAAAGTGTGGCAGGAGTTCCGGGAATGGTGGGTGGAATGCTGCGACATTTGCGCAGTCTGCGCAAGATGAAGAGAGATAATGGATGGTATGTGACATGTCCACGTATCCACGATGGAGAGATCTGCAACTGACTCGCAATGGCAATAGGATCGAGACCTTACTCGAAGAAGCCTTCAACGAACGCATGCACCTTCTCACATTCCTTAAGCTGGCCGAACCCGGCTGGTTCATGCGCCTGATGGTCCTCGGAGCCCAGGGAGTCTTCTTCAACGGCTTCTTCCTCGCCTACCTGGTCTCCCCCCGTATCTGTCACCGATTCGTGGGATACCTCGAGGAGGAAGCCGTTATCACATACACCCGTGCAATTGAGGAACTCGAATCCAACAAGCTTCCAGAGTGGAAAGATCTCAATGCACCTGAGATTGCTGTTCAGTACTGGCAGATGCCAGAGGGTCAACGGAAGATGCGGGACTTGTTGATGTATGTCCGTGCGGATGAGGCCAAGCACCGCGAGGTCAACCACACACTGGGCAACCTCAATCAGGCTCTCGATCCCAACCCGTACCAGACCGAGTACTACGATCCGGCGCGTGACCACCCTACGAAAGGCATCGAGAACATCAAACCCACTGGGTGGGACCGGAAGGATATCTTTGATGCGAAGAACTGAGTTCATCAAAACGGCGTTGGGGTCTGTTATACTTATACCATAGCGTTCTCCTCTCATTTGTATATAAAGTCAACTTCATACTTGTTCATACTTCCGATAAGCATAGAAGTCAACCATGGAACGCGGGGCAGCTAAGCCTAACTAGGCAATCCAGCAACATAGGAGTTCTTATTTCTCCATCTTTTCTCTCTTGTCTCGCTTGTCGTTAGAGAGGTTGCAGCTCCAAAATAAAGGGGGTTGATATGACATACATCCTTAATCAAAGAATACATCTCTTTGTGGGCGGCCGTTGACCCGCAACCCCCTACTAGCCCCGGTTAGTCGAGAGCCCCCCTTTTGACCAAAAAGAGATTCTCGTCCGTCGATCCTACATGTTCATTAAACCTCCGTCCTTTCATTAATTTGCTTGTATAGCCCGCTCAACCTCGGAAGCATTGACTTGGTCGCATACAATCCGCCACATGTCAAAGTCACGAACATTCCCAGGGACCACGCCGCGACCCCGATCCAACATTCCAACCTGAACCCGAACCCACAGCATATCCCAATGGACGAGCCACGACAGTCAATGGACACCGAGGCCTTCCCGGCTGCTGTACGGGCTTCTTCACCCTCGCCTTCAGTCCCAGCTACACCTGCCATCTCATCATATTCCTCCCCAGACCGCACATTCTCCTCCGAGTCTTCCCGCTCCACCTCATCCGCCACCTCCGCAGATGCCAGATCGTCCGTGTCGACCTCGTCCCGCCGCCATGGGTACATCCGTGCATTGGGAGCCGAGTTCGCGGACTCGGCCCGCCACCGCGACAGCGTTATGAGCCTCGGCAGCATCGCCCACCTACAATATTATTTCGCTCGGACAGGTCTATTGGATGGGAAGGGTGGTCGGGGCCGTGAATGGGACAAGGACAAGAAGAAAGGCAAGGATAGTGTGCCGCGGGTGTTGATCACCCCTAATCAACGACACATGGATGATTTGGTATCCAGCCCTACGGATATGGCAGACCCCGCCGAGGGTGAATTGGAGGATGAAGACGAGGACGCCGAGGTGATGCTGCCGCCTACCGTTAGCACGTACAGCATCAAAACGCATCATATTCCCCCTCCGCCGGATTTGATTTCTTTGCGCCGGCAATTGATGCTTGCATTGGATAAGGCGGAGACTAATATCGAGGCCATCGAGAATGGCGCTGAGCCTCCTCCCCGTGAGCCAATCCGGAACAGTCTTTCTCCAGGGGATGTCCCCGAAAACCATATGGAGGAACCTGGAGAGGTTCCTACTCCGAAGAACAAAGAGGAGGCACAGGGCATGTGCATCCTGGATGATGTGACGAATGCTATTCGGGCCGCGAAGATCTACTACACTGCCCATGAACACCCAGAACGTCTAGCTTCAATAAAAAGCGAGCGCGAGATACGCAAGGAGCTCTTTGATGTGCTGGAAGTTCTGAAGCGCTGGGCTGCCCGGCATTTCGCCAGTGGTCTCCGCGAAGAAGAGCGCGAGCGGATTCAGGGGTGGATCTCCGGTGTGCGCACCATGCTCGTACGTGAGAAAGCCCTGGAAGACCTCGAGGCTCAAGAACGGCAAAATTGGGATTGGGCAGCTGGCGACTGGAGAGGCCGAGAGCGTCCACGGGAGGAGTCTTTCCTGCGCAGTCTGATGCCCGGTGGAGACTCCTTGCCTACCTGGACACCCGTTGAAGAGACGCCCAGTGAATCCCTGCCGACCCCATTCCTGGACCAATTCCGCGATGGGCGTGCACTGGTCCAGTTACACAACCTCGCGATCAAGAAGTCCAAACGCCAATTCGGCGAGATCAAGGCATACCATCAGGACATTGCCAAGCCATACCGGCAGGCTGACAATCTTCGGTTCTGGGTGAAAGCTGCAGAGCTCCGGTGGGAGCTGCGTTTAGATGTTGATGTGATGGGGGTTGTACAGAACAGTGGTGCCGAGGCCTGGAAGCAATTTGACAGTGCACTGCTGGCCTGGTGTAAGACTGTTCGCGAGGAGTTGGTGCGAGATTGGCAGGCGGCCAACCCAGGACGGCCCCCGAGTGCTGGGTTGATTTGAGGATTGTTGGATTTGAAGTCCATGTTTGCATCTCGGTTCTTTCCTTTTCTCTTTGGGCATTTGATACGATACCCCCTGAATTGTCGCCGACTGTTCTGCCCGTCTCATATTTTGAATTCTAGTCTTTTTCGGAATTACATTCATTGTACTCATAATTTGGATTTTAATTCCATAGACGCATATATGCCTTAATTGTGGATAACGTTATCTGTGCCAGTGTACATGTAGAGAGGTAGGTCGGCCTCGTTGATCTGCACAGACGTTGAACATCATATGAAATTGACGTGTACTCCTGAGCTTTATGGACAAACTCGTGGGAAGAGTTAACGTTCAAATAATTTCCAGATTGCAGAGATTTCAATTAGAAAGAGAAGCATCTAAGTGAAACAAATAAGAAAGAAATACAAGACATGATTTCATCGTCCCTCACATACCGAGGAGGTACAACGGGCCCCATAGTAAATATACGGGGCTGAAGGTAGACAGGCCACTTCATCCCTCTCTCAACGGTTGCTGCCCAATATCTTCACATTCAAACTGGAATATACAGACTGACCTTATGTAGCTTGTTCCTGACATTTCTACCTCTGAACAATAGAAGGGGGTTACACTTCAGCTTTGCCGAGAGACGAAACATTCCAGCTATCCCTGTCTGGATCGCATTTTTCGGTCCTTTTGCTCTTCCACCCCCAAGGGCCTTGTCTCCATGCATGCCACAGCCGACAGTCCAACTTCTGCGACCGAAATCGCGCACCCTTCCAACGCGTCCATAACCTCCGCTTCTCCCCCGTCGCTCACCCCCGCGCTCTCCGTCTCTCCAAATGACACCGGCACCTCCACCCTCCGCCGCCTAAAATCCAAGTCATCCCTGTGGAGTCTAGGAAGCAGCAATAACGAAGACGAAAGCTCCCCAGTCGAGCCAAATAGTGGTCCCCGGCAATCAATCCTTCGCCGACTCTCCCCGGCTCTTGCAGCCCGCGTCAAACTGCTGGATGGCAGTAACAAGTCACCCTCGCAATCCAAGAACCCAAATGCTGTCGGTCGAATCCCAGAAGAGCACCTGAAGGAGCTGGACAGTCGGAACCAGGACTTGTCTATCAAAGTCGAGCGGAGGGGCCAAGCGTGGAACGGTTCAGGAACCTCACCCGGCCAATTTCACGATCCCCCGCGGCGTACCGCCTCAAACCACCTCGAGCTCCCCCACCAAGATATCCTCCAAGAAATCGCAGACGCACACAGACAGGACGAACGCGCCTCAACCGAAGCATTCGAGGACGGCCCTGACCAGGACCAGGACCAGAACCAGAACCAGGACGAGCCCGCCCCGACAACCGACTGCGCCAGTCCACCAGTCTACATGTCTGTTGCAGAGCCAGCTCCCGCGCCGGTGCGCGCACAACCAGAACCAGCCCTCCTACCCAGCAATCCCATTCAAGACGATCGCACTGACTTCCAGAAATACGTCGACGATACCGCCCGTAAGGAAAATCAGGATGCGCAGAGCGCGCCTGATCCTCCGCCGAAGGATTCCCCGCCTGCTTATACCCATTCACGCTCGTCTTCCAATTCCCAGTCCTATTTCAATCCCATGGGTCTACAGCGCGCGGACTCCATATACTCTTTCTCCCGTGCTTCCTTTAGCAATCAGCTCTCGCAGCTGACGTCCATTCCTCTCCCGCAGCCGGATTCGCTTGAGGCGAGTATTACGAAGATTGCTACGGCTCTTTCGGCTGTGAGGGCTTTGAATGGGGCTGCAGAGCAGATTCAGATTTGGATCAAGAAGGCTTCGGATGTGCTTAGTGGTTTGGATTCTGAGGATGACGTTGAGTGGGCTGCTGCTGGTGGTCGGGAGGGTCTTGATGGGGTTGATAAGGCCATTACCCGGTTCGAGTGCTTGGTTAATGTGTATGTGCGAGCCATTGAGAATGTTCAGCTGCGAGAGGATATTGCGAATGTCGACGCGGAGAATTTGACGACGATCGTCAGCCAGATGGAGAGTATCCTGGAAAATTGGAAACAGATCAAGAATAAGCTCAGAGGTGTGAAAGAGCAAGTTGAGTTGGCGATGGAGTGGGAAGAGCTTTGGTCGAATGTCCTCGGTGATGTGGGTATGGAAATTGATAATCTTAGCGGATTGATCTTCGAGATGGAAGAAAAGCGTCACCAGGCGTTGATGGATACGGGCGAGACGACTTGCGGTCTTGATATCAACGAGTTGGAGACGATCGTGGAAGAGTCTCCTACCAAGAGTCGCGCGGCTTCTCAACGCCTGAGTATTGGTCCTCTTCTGGCATCGGCTTCTGGCACTCCTGTTATCAAAACACCACAGGATGATACGAGCCACTCGAATCTGATGGCTATCTTTGCGCGCATGCAGCCGCTACGTGCATCGTTGGACTTTTTGCCCATGCGACTGTCCATGTTTCAGGCACGGGCCGAGGCTATTTTCCCGAGTGCGTGCGAGGAGGTTGAGGACCGGCGGAACAGGTTAGAAAAGAGTTATAAGGTTCTTGAGACAGATGCGGAAGCTCTGCGGAAGGAACTGGGAGAGGATAAGTGGATTCTAGTTTTCCGCAATGCTGGAAGTCAGGCACAGAAGATGTTTGAATCTGTGGAACGCAGCATTGGCAAACTGCAAGAAGGACTGGAGAGCGGCTTGCAGCTTAACAACCCGGTCACCTTGCAGAAGCGCATTGAGAACTACGAGGCGAAGAAGATGCACTATGTGCCGGCGATTGAGCGTGTGGTTTCCATCATCCAAAAGGGTGTCAATGACAGGTTGACTGTCAATGGCGAAATCCTACGATTGTTGTCTGATATGACATCGCGGATGGATGCTCTCAAGGCTAGTACCAAAGTCATGGACACTTCTCTTGAGGACGTACATATTGTCAAGGGTCAGCAGCTTCGAGACTCAATTTCTAGCATCTTGACCATGGACAGTCCGCTCACAGGCAGTGCCATTGACACGCCAGGAAGCTCGCCCGCGTCGTCGGTTATCATAACTGGCCCCAGCTACAAGGGCACCTCAACACCCTTGGGTGGTTCAAGCCGTCGCGAGAGCTTAGCTGGAAGTACCACAACTCGGTCAGCCCTGCCAAAGACCCGGCGATATTCTGGCTTGCCGCAGTCCACAGCGAACTACACAAGCCGGAAGTCGAGCATCCCCCAACCATCCGGCCTTACATCCCCCACTCCATCGAGGAGATCCACAAGTCTCTTTACGCCAACTCCGGCTTCCCGCTACACTTCTCGCACACCAGTGGCGCCATCTACAAATCCCAACCGTCCTCGTTGGAACGGGAGCACAAATACGAACGATTTAGATACTGGATATACTTCATACCGCAAATCATCCGCCCCGATATCTCGCACGCCTCGACCCGCATCGGCCATCCCATTCCCCAGTCCATTCCGTCGAGAGACATCTGCGTCTCCAGCACCGGGCGCTTATAGATCGACGAGTCGCGTCTCCAGCCGGCTCGGTGATCGAAGTCCCTCACGGAATATTTCCTCCCCTAGCCCAGCGCGATCATCACTCCTCGATCCGCCACCATACAGCCGACTGCGCCGACAGTCGGGGATGTCAAACACACCCCGCAGTCGCCAGAGCTACGCAGGCGTGAGCTCAGCTTTCAGCCGGAGCGTCTCACATGCTCCGGATGTATCTGAGACACCTAGCAAAGCCTCTCGGCCAGGCACATCACTGGGCCATTCAACTAACAGGCGTGTTAGTCTTCTCCCGCTTCCAACGCGGGCAGATCACAAGCCAGCGGCTCAAAAGGTGGATACTCGTCCTCCGTGGCGTTAATCTACGTAATTAGTATTGCTCTGTCGGCATGTACTATGTACTATATTTCACCCCCTATAGTACCTCTCTTTCACACCTATCTCTCTCCATCTCCGTCTCCCTCCCTCAACTTCCACACAAGCTCCATCCCGCTCATCCTAACATCTTCAATTCTACCCTGTCTAAGTTATCTCATCTTCTTCACTTGTGCATTACACCCCTCCTCCGTATTTGATTCGGTTGGTTTACATCTATATGTATACCGGCCTACTTCAACTGAGGCGGAGGACCACTCCATCATCTTGAAAGCCCGGTTTTGCGTGATATCCCTATTGTTTGCATGGTATGGTTTGAGCGTTGGGTTCATTCTACTTTTGTTCCGGTTTCTTGATCTGTTATTGATTATTATTTATTTTATTTTATTACCTCTTGTTCCATTTTGCCTCTTTACTATATGTGAAAAATATTACTTGTAGTTTATCTCCGTTTAGTGGATGGTATTTTGGTTGGACTTGGATTAATATTTAAAGTTGTGGTCTTGGTTCCGATCGTGTTTTTGTATAATGTCTAAACATAGTATTCTTTCTATATAACGAATCTCAAAGCATATTTACAACCGAATTACATACAGAATATGACAATATCTTCAAAGAAAAAGACGACAATATTCAGAAAATGAAAGCCGAGACTATCACTCTAGTTCCCTAACTCCCGTCCAAAAATCAACGCATCGACTAATTCCTTGCTATTCTCAAGTCGTGCAGCTTTGGGTACGCGGCCAATCACGCTGAAGCCAAGTCTCTCCCAGATGCGGATCGAAGCTGGGTTGTTTGCGAAGACTAGGTTGAAGACAGAGTATGTATAGCCCTAATTTGTAAGATTAGCCAAAGTTTCAAGGTGTGCATAACCATGTATGCATTATACAACAGCTGTTCGTTGATCTCACAGCTGAGCTGAGTGATATTGGGGTTAAGTCGTACCAGTCTGGGTGCAAAATCTAGATAGGCTTCTCCCATGGCGTAGCCGACACCTTTGCCGCGTGCCGCGGATGTAGTAATGAAGCCAGCATTACAGATATGAGAGCAACGTCCTGTGACATTTTAATTAGCAATAGAACATAGAAAGCCCGATAAACAGTAGAATAGAAAGACATACCAGGATAATTAGGCTTAATATAAAAAGTGCCCAGACAAGCACTCTCCCAATCCCTCCCCTCTGCAAGCCCCTCCCCACCATTAACATCATCCATAATCGCAAGCACGGCAAAAGTTCCAAACCAGTAATCAGCAAATTGCTGCAGCGGCAGAGGCTCTTCCATGGGATAAGTGCCACCACGGAGAATCTCCGCGCTGAACTCCTGGTGCAGGAAGCGAACAAGATCTTGCGGGAGGGATTGCGCGCCTCCCGTAATAGGGTAAAGGGTCATTGGGGCATTGTTGTCCTTTGGGAGAGTAGTGTGCCGCACTGTCAAAGTGGGCGCTGCTGTGATGTGCGCATGTGGTGGGGGATTGCGGGTTGAGGGGTCTTCCAGGAGGGCGGGCATGTTGGGCGATTGGGAAGTTTGTACTTAGATTGGATCCTCAGTGAACTCTGGGGAGAAGGAACGAATCGGTTTTATGTCGGGCTCTTCCTCAGAATTGAGGTTTTTATATACCCCGGCATTCGAGGCCGGCCTCCGCACTTTCGACTGATGACTCAGCTTGTCGTTTGGAGGGCGCGCTCCACTGAAATCTGATGTTTTTTTTAGTTGGTTTTCATCGTGTTCTTTGGTCTCTGTTGCCTCCCCCTGTGCATTTAATCGCACACGGTATTCGGCGAGATACTGGGGTCCAGCGGGGGGATTAGTGGGCTCAGCCTTGGGTTGAGACTTTGCCCTGGGCTTAGGCCTGGGATTAGGCTTAGGCTTAGGCTAGGCTCGGGCTCGGAGACAGGCGGAGGCAGGGTCTGTGGAATTCCATCAACATAAATTCAACTTGAAGTGTTTTATCCCCATTACTTACCAATGACCTCCATCTTTTCGGACATGTCTAAGCCGCCCGGTCTGGCTGCCCTAGCCACAACCAGGCCGTGTAACGTGGCATAGTGACGAAGGGTGCCTATTAGATCATAGAAGAACTATGGTTTGTTGGTGTGTGACTCTCGTGAGCGGATTGCTTCAAATGACTTCTTTTAGGGCATTCAGGAACCCGGCAAGAGTGCTCGCCAATGTACATATTGATTTCGCCTCTCTCATTCTATAATTGACATATTATTGATGACCTATTTATTGGTGAGGTAGCACAATCCTGACTTACCTTCTCGTAAGCAGGCGAACTGCTTATCTCAGCCTTGCCATCTTCAATGTATTACTTGTAGGCATCCACATCCTCCAAAAATGCGCCATATCTAATATCTTGAATTGATTGTATAAGTTTTGCAAGTGAGATGCGAGAGACCTCGGGAATTTGTGGTTCCCGTACAAACATGTCAAACACCGATTTGGAAGGTTGTCTAATCTATGTAAGGTGTACAGACAGCTTGATGGAAGAGGGTTTGGTACCATGGGATATTTACATCCGGCTTCTGACTTTGCGAACTACTTTAAATCCCGCTGAGCCGATATGAAATGCCAATTTAACGTTCGGCCTGGGATTAGGAACCAAATGTATACCATGTCTCTACATATATCCAAGGAGAGTAGGATAGCACGCCGGATCTAAATTGAAACGAGGCTATAATAAACGCTTATCACATGGTTTGCCTTTAATATCTTACATCCAATGAGGTCCCACGACCTCGTCTGTTCGCTTTCTAAAGTATGTTATGCTGATGGGAACATGAGAGATGCCTGCACCTCTCAGCAGAGCCTTACCAGACATGCATCAACTGCCACAAGTTTCCTCAAATGTGACAACCAAGAACTTTCATTCTCTGAAGTTTATTGTGGATCAATTCAGAATCCCCGGAGGTGTTCCGTCTCGCAGGGTAGATGATCAACTCATTTGTTCTCTCCCTCATCACTGCGAATAGCCTGCATCAACTCGAGCAACTGTCCAAGTTGCTGGTCTGCAACAGAATATATCTTTAGCATTCGCTTGAAGGACCCGCAGAAAGGAACAACAACATACCACTCATCTTATCCAACTTGGACTTGTCCAGCTTTTCCCCAGCCCATTGATCACCCTCCAGCTTTTGCGCATACAGCTGCCACTCAGTCAAGAATCCGATCTATCAACGTAAATGTCAGCAACAGCTCTAGCCTTAATAACCGGTCTCTCCGCAGCTCCGCCTCGCACCCCGGTCACTTCCACCAGATATAACCACCCCAACACAAGCAGGAACAAACATACAATATGCAGCGGGTTTTCCACAGTCCTGTGCGCGCGGAATTCATTCTTAACATAAGAATCGCCCAACACGCGCATCTCCGGGTCGAGCTTGCGATGAACGCGCAGGATGCGACGGTACAGCTGCAGCGGCGGGAGCAGCGCAAGAGCCTCGCTGAGACTGGATTTCGAGCCGATCGAGGCCGGCGTGGCCATGAGTAAACGCTGAGCGACGCGCATGTTGAACACTGGAGAGAAGTTCGATGTTGAAATCGAATGACATAATTTCCTGGGGTTTTCTGTCAAAGGCGGCGTGCGGGACGCGCGAATCAGCGGGTCGGGATGACTCGGGTTCTTTTTTGGGCTTCGTTTTTCTTTCTTACTTCGTTGATGATTTCTGGGTTGTATATTCCAGGGCAAATACAATGAGACTTACGTTGTTAGTGTGAACAGCGCAGTCCTGAGCCAACATCGCAGCATTTTTCACGATATCATTCCGACACCCCACCAGCGTCATTGAAACCCCAAGAATTGATACATGATTTGAAATTCCTGAACAACGAAAGATTGAACATATACACCATGCTTCCAACACCGGATACTTCTCATGTATCCTTCGACACAATCTACGAGCCATCCGAGGACTCGTATCTCTTCCTAGACACATTGTCATCAGCATCCGAATCAAAATGGCTCATTGAACGATTCGACAAAACCAAGCATACATCACCATTAGTGGTTGAAGTAGGCACAGGCTCAGGCGTAGTCCTCGGCTTCGCAGCCGCACAATCCGAAAAGATCTTCGGCCGACGCGATATCCTCACGCTAGGAACGGACGTGAATCGAAATGCGTGTCTCGCAACGCGGGAGACGGTAACGAATGCCATCAAGGCGGAGCAGCAGCCGAATTCCCGCACTGTTCATATTTCTTCCTTAACGGCTGACCTGTGTGCGCCTCTACGTCCTGGGAGCGTTGATGTTCTGCTTTTCAATCCGCCTTATGTTCCCACGGAGGATTTGCCTCGTTTGCCCTGTGCTGTCGATAATGATCCTGCTGCTACGGCGGCTATGTCTCGCTCTGCCAAGTTTGATAATGATTCTTACTTTTTGTCGTTAACTTATGCTGGTGGTGCTGATGGTATGGAGACTACGGATCGGTTGCTTGATGCTATTCCTGGGGTTTTGTCGACGCATGGTGTGGCATATGTTTTGCTTTGCAAGCAAAATAACCCTGATGTTGTTAAGGAGCGGATTCGTGGGTGGGATGGGTGGCAGGCTGAGTCGGTGGGATCGAGTGGGATGCAGGCTGGGTGGGAGAAGTTGGTTATTGTGAGGATATGGAGAGATGATGGCTTATAGTTTGTGCAACAATGGGAAAATATTGGGCATAAAAGTTCTGGTGAAAAAGAGATACCATTTGTTACTTTCATCATTATGGACTTGTAATGAGCTACAAAGGCTTCGTGGATTGAATATTTTACGCGCATTTAAAGGGCATTGGAATATTGTCTGAAAATACTGTATAGAGCATGAGCCCTGAATTATTAACAACTGAAAAGCCCGTTGGACCACACGGGATTGCTACCACACTAGAGGCATAAGTTAGAAAAGCAATGTATGAAGTTGCGTATATTTAAATCGAGACCACGTCTGGTACGGAAGGCACAAAAGAGCATAGCTGCTTCGAGTAAGTTATTGTGATGCTGCATGGAATGCTCGTATCATTTTGATATCCCCCGAATTTGTTCTTTAGACACTACGAGAAACTCTAAAAGCTTTCTTGGGCTGTAAGCAGTGGTCCAAGCAGATTTACACGGTGCCCTAACAAAACGGATATATACAATTGTTGATCTCAAGCGATAGGAGATATCCCCCTGCTCCACCGTCAGCGTCAGCAGACCTGCCATTCTCAGACAAGGCTTGCCCATCTGACATGCGATTCGATCGGCCCGGAATCATACTTCTTGGCCCCCAAACGGCAAGATGAGATTCACGGCCGAAGTCGCCGGGCGAGCGACGCTCCATGAAAGTTAAAAACTAACTGCTAACTTTTAGCATCAAAGCTAATGTATGGGGGCGCTGGAACTGCCCTTACAGTAGTGTTACTATTGAGATCGGCGGTGGCGCTTTTACGTGTGCCCTGACTAAGGCTCTTGATAGGGTTGCGGATATCCCAGTGAAGAAGCTCACAGTTAGTCCGACATGAGCCGTGGAGACGTTGTCGAGCAATTACCACATTGAGTAAATGAAACTGACTGTCTCAGCTTCGTTGTTTTGTGGGTACCTAGGTACGCTTATTATCAATTACAGTAGCTGATCTGCAATCAAAACAAATTAATTACTCAAAGTCAATATATGGTATCAGAACAAGTAAGCCGTCCAATACAAAGACGAGCAGTTAGCTTCATATACCGGCATGTACAGTATACAGGTCATCACAGTTCAACATTGGACTTCACGGGAATTGCTACCCAAGCTATGCAATTTGTGCAGGTGGATTTGTTTCGATACTAAATAAATGTTAAGATACAGACCATTCTTGTTTTTTACAGCCTTGGCCCTCATGGAAATGGTATGGTATCGTACTTTACGTCTACTATTGCCTCAAAGGGTGCCGAATTGCTGATCCCAACCACTATCAAACTTGGCATGGGGTCGTCACAAGAAGCTCTAGCCGACGCCTTCTTGGTTCAGATGACTCAAAATAAGGCCTCGATATTCAATCGCAACAGACACGTAGTCAAGATCATCAGGCTGCCATGAATAGCGAGGCTGGGAAGTGTGTACAGGGGTCACGCCTCGACAACTAATCTATAGTAGCAGTCAACCATGAACCCATTAGCCTTCTAGCCTTAGCTGATGATCGTAATAGGGTTCGGCTCCTTTCGGAAGGCTTAACTGGCTGTTAGTGCATATACAGTCCACGTACTACCTTGCTCCTTGGCGACACACACCTAGCATACTAGCTTTTGAGATGCAGATGCACAATGCACCCATGTCCTTGTTTGCTAAACATACTCGATGATGACTTGTCGAGAAAGAACAGCGGTCCCGACAGCCCAAGTGATAGTACCCATGTGGAGCCTATTGCTTTGCCCATTGGATGCACATTGTGATATGACTCGAACTATATATGACGGTGTCATACACTGTGGGCCAAGAGGCGCGGGAAAAAGCAATATATATGATTCCCGAGACCGTTTTTTCCGGCATGCAAGTGCAAGGATAATGAAGCCCGACTCGTCCGGTCAGCAAGCCTGGTCACAGGTTAGAGTGCTAAATTTGGACATGGGTTTGTCAATCCCCGGAGTTCCAGGGTGGGTGTAGTCCGCCGGTGAGTGACATATGCAAATGGGAGTCACTAGGCCGTTGCAGTGGCAAACTACGAGACTGGCTGGTCTGATGTTTACTAGTGGAAACTTTGATCTACTCAAGGTGCAGGCATGACCTGTTTTGGAAATTGCTCCAGTGTAGATCGGATTAATCTTTGCGATATCAATGTTTGGCAGGTCATCCACCCGCTTTACAGATACAGAGAGGCCAATAAGCAAATGGGACACACATGGGCCAGATTGGAGATGTACTCTCTCAGATGCTCCCGCAGTAAATTGACAGGCTGGTCCGCGTCAATACCTCGCCAGAGGCCCAAAAATGAACCTCATGAGATCGAGAAATGTGGCACTCCAGATGGTAGGGAAAATAACACCGATTCAATTGCTTTGTCTCAGTTTATCGCCATTCAAGTCGGAACCCCTGGGTAATGGAAAAATAGGATAAAAGATATCCCGTGATCATGCATGTTGAAACCGAATTCCGAAGACATAAACAAACGCCGGATTGTCCTCTCAAGAAAACAGAAAAAATGTCTAGAAACCACGCCCGCGGCCGCGACCACGGCCACCTCCACGGCCCCTGCCGCCTCGCGGTCCACCACGGCCGCGACCACGGTCTGTCTCCTTGCGCGCCTTGTTCTTAGGCTTAGGCGCATCATCCACGAGTAGGGTGTCGAGGGGCAAGCTGTCGGGTAGGATGTAGTAGCGGATTGTCGAGCCGCGAATGTTGATTGTGTCGAGCGAGATAGGGTCACGGCCCTTAGGGGTCATCTTGACGGTGCGGAGAGAGGTGTTCATCTGCGGGGAGACGGACATGATAGTACCATGAAGGATTGTGCCTGCATTGCATATTCAAGTTAGGAAAGACGGGTCTTGGTTTTTTCTTGGGTGGAATGGCGACTTCGGTGAATTCGAAGGTTTTAAATGCACAAGAATTGCGCGGGGGACTAACCATTCTTGAGCTCAACGGTGACCGTTTCATTGGCACATTTCATTAAAAAGCTAGAAAGAAAAATATACGTCAGCTGGAGTGAACGAAGGTGATGCGCCTGGCGGAGCTGGTGCTCGCGCATGAAAAGTGGGATCGCGTACCGGACGAGCTTCATGGTGAATATGTGAACTGCAAGCCAGGGATTATTTCACTTTGATGAATTGTCAAGTCACCAGAGAGCTAGCAGAATGTGGGGACGACGGACGTGGGTTGGTGTTGGTGATGAACCAGACGCAGAGAAGATCGGATCAGGTGATATCTGTCACGTGATGTACATACTGGCTTCAGCAATTCCCACTTCAACTACTGATTAATCAGTTTCATAAACAAAGTCTTGTAAATTGTCTGGTAGACAATGGGGAAATAGCGGCATGCAGATTTGAACCTCATTGACCTGTTCTGACATGTTTTCTGATTCTCGTCTGCCACACTGCCAACCACAGGTTCACAACAAAGCAAATAACTGAGATTTTGGAGCTTTTACCGAATATTTACCATTGCCATTCTCTTCAGAATTCGACTTAGAGAGGGACAATTGTTAGTTCCACGCAATCTACCAGGCAAAACAATCAACCAAGGTTCATCCTCCTTGATATGCAGGTGGTGAGTTGAAATGGTCCCTCTGCTGATCCATGAATATGATCAACAGGGAACATGTGGGCAATTCCTGCGTGTTGTTCCCTGGAGATCAGCCTTCAGCCAACATACCTTCCCCAGAAGAGCCAGCCTAGAGCCTGGAGTCTAGAGCCTATGGCAGTGCTCTTCTGTTGCCCCTTCTCCTGGAAATCCCAAAACAGCGGGACCAGATTGTAACAATCTCGGCGTATGATCCCGATAGTATTGGCCCCAAAGCCAATTTCTTCCCCCTTGTCTTGACATTGTTTCAACAATTCGCCCATGTGTCAAATCTTGTTTGATGGGTTCGCCAATCTTGCTCGATGCTACCACAACTGGGCCAGACCGACTATTTCCTCTACAGGTAGGCCCAATGAAACATCAGGGCGTATATGTCACTGGCAGGACACACTGGATACAATCTAGGTCGTTACTGCAAAAGTTTACAGGGGTAAACGAAGTGAAGTCCGAGGTAGGGCAAAGGAAACCACAATCAAATGAGTTGAAATGACCATGGTTCAAAGGTCTGACGGCCTGTCAAATTAACCGTAGCAATTTCTAGCATTGGGTAGTAGGAGAATAGCCCTGATTTATGTGGGTCTCCCACGAGGTAGAGAATTAGCATCAACATTACCCTAATCTATCATACTACATTAGGTGCATAGACTCGCAATGATCTCCCACGCAGATAGCGATTTCTTGATAAGTGCGGATCCCGGACCCCTGTGGAGAGAGGCGATCTTACAACTCCCGAACTGCTGCAATTGGCTTCAATACCCCATGGCTACGGGAACTGAGAAATTGCCACAGCGCTAAATGACCGGATTACTTCAGATGGCTATGAGAGATCCTGTCCTGTTGAGATATTTCAAATAGCTCTTGGCTATTTCAGCTCCACCTTTTTTTACAGCCACACGACACTACGAGTGGGCCCCGCTTAAACGGGTCATCGGTCACATAAGACCTATAACAACGCTAATTTCGAAAGCTAGGACAGTTTGGTGCCTGCGGACTACCTATTTTGACAGGGGCATCGACTGGGTCGTCTGGGGCCGAAAAACGTCTTATGTATTGTCCCCGGGATCTACATTCCTCTGGACACCATTTGCCTAGATCGGACCACCCTTTCTGTGTAATGGAGTGAAAAGAAGAAACCTAATGCATTCGAATTAGGGCAATGTCAGCTCCACCTAAGATTGGTTGTTAGGTACGGAAAAGTGAAATCTCTTCCTAACCGCGTGTTCGTGGGGGCCAAACTTGATAGGGGACCACATTGTCAAGCACCGTCGGGCCGGAGACGGCGTTTCAGTGTCTCCAAGCGAGTATACAGGTAGCAAGGCAGAAGATACAGCTTAAAATGAGAAATTTCGAGAATTGCCAGCCATGGTACAAGCGTATGGCCCCCAAGGGCCCAACTTGGCCCCCCGTTCACTATTTAGTACAATGGGGGTAGAATTTACGCCCAGACCAAGCTCCATTAGAATCAAGGCCCCAGTCGTAATCCTCCCGAATCCTATTCCCACATAGGCCCTGGCTAGGGTCCCGTCATCTGTGGGGTCCAAAAGTCCACGAATTCGCTCGTGATAGTTCTCATCGGCCCACCTCATCGAGAGTTTTTCTTTTATTGATCACGGGGCCAATGATATCACACCTCCAACTGTTGTCAACGGGTAACTAACACAAGTGCGTTTCAGTCAGGGTCAGGGCAACAGATATTCTAGAAACTGTTTTCCTGGAGGCCAAACCTACGGCCTCGGATCAAGAAAGGGTTGCGGGGAGGATGAGTCTTATAAGCGCCTTTAAAAACCTCAGTACGCCCGAGATGTGGCCCATGGGAGTCAGAAACTAAAAGGCTTCTGCCATATTAACGGGATTCTGGACAGCTGTATGTTGATTCTTATGCGAGTGCCACTTTTCCCCTTATACCCATTCCCGGCCCCCGCCCCCTACTGCTTGCAATCTCTTCTAGGTCTATGACCTATATAGTTCCTAATGTTCCCTGGAGCGTTCGGCTCACAGGAATCATCTTCTCACAGAAATCACCCCGATCTGTCAGAATTTCCAGCCAGAGAGCCCGAAGTTGGGTCCCTGTCTTCATTGGTCGAATCAGTTGAATCGCCAGACTTTTCGCAGAGTCTTCCCAGCTCTGCCGCTACGTGGTCTGATCAGAATCATATCTCTATAAACAATTCGCAATCAACACAAGAGTTTGGACTCCCGGTACCCCCTCAGCACTCCACGTTAACGCTGAATTCCAGCCCGAATCAGCCTCGCAAGCAGGTTGTCTTGAATGACCAACATAGGCCAATTACCCGGTCCTCTCTTGAGAGCCTGGACCCTGCTGAAGGGCAGATTACCTTGAGCAATACCCCGTAAGTCAGATTTCGGCCGCCGCGGATTCGGTGCTGACTAGGGCATCCCACTTGCAGCAGCCTTGGCATCTCATCCTACTCCATGTCAGTAGTATCGGACGCCTATTTTGCTAGCCCAATGCAGCATCCTCACCGTATGAGCATTGCCTACTTCTGGTTGGAAATACGCTTGCTGACTCTTCCAGACTATGCTTGGGCAAATCGCCCTTATCAGCCTTTGCAAGCGCCACATGAACACATGAATCCGCCATTTGCATCTTCGCAATCATCCTACTCTTCACCAGGCTACCCAGTTGGATATCCTAGTCATTCAAGTGCTCCGCTACCTAGTTATCCCCAGCAAGTACCGGTGTCTTATCTAACAGCACCAGGCAGTGCTGCTCGTCAGAGCCAACCTCGAAGGTAAGCCACATTCCCTCGTGTCATTGTAGAAAAGGCTGACATTGTCGGTTA